GGGGGGGGGGGGGGTTCTCTCAAGGATCGCAGCCGGCGATGCCCGTCCAGCTGCTGAGCTCAGCCGGTCATAACCTCCGCTTGCGGCCTGTGCAAGGTCGTGGATCGTTAGTGAGCTGTCATTCAACGCGGGCCCCAATTTCTAGCTGTCGCGCGAAAAGTAGGGTTGGTCTGGGAAGCGGAAGGAAAAGAAGAAAAAAGGAAAGAGAGAGCTGTTCGCTTCCACAGAAAGGAAAGCGGATCTCTTTCCGGGTCGAGAGCTTCCTTTCCTGCCATCATCTTGTCAAGTCACGGTCAACACATGGTCTCGCTGTCTCCATAATCGACGACAATCCTGGTCGATACGCTCCCGCTTGATCGTGCACGGCTCTTCACTTGTGGCGTGTCGTCGTCTTGTTGCTCTCCTTCCGCGCTCGTTGTTGTCTCTTTCCCTCTCAAACCTAACGCTCCCTTCACCGATTCGTGCCGCTTCCTCTCTCTCCATATCTCTTTCCTTACCCATCCTTTCTTCTCTCCGCCCATATTAGAGTCCATAAGATGCATTCTACATCTTCTGTGACGGGACAAACTGGGCCACAGCAGCGAACATTTCGACTCGTCGAAGCAGAAACCTTGTCATAACTATCCGGCTCGTCTTGATCATATGTGGACGACTCGGCTGAACGACCTGGAACATCCTTCCACTATTCCATCTTATGCTCTTGTTTCATCTCATTGTGCACATTCACGGAAAGAGTCCTGTCCGTTCAGAGGTACATCACTCGCAATTGCAAGAAAAGTTGAGAAGATCTCCAAAAAAGAAGTCTGAATTTCCGGGACACGGGTTATGAAGGGAGCGCGGTGCGAAGATGTGGAGCTTCACATTCCATCTCGGACCAACTCAGCCATGCCCGTCCACGCACGATGGGCGAAACAAAGGCGAAAAGCTTGCGGCTGAGCTTCAAAGGAGACAAGCCAAAGAAGCGCAAGCGGAGCTCTCACAAGCACGATCACGGCGAATCCTCGTCCAGAAAACGAAAAGCGGGTGATGCTTCGGACGTCGAAGACGTAGGCGGCGACGAACGAGCATGGGTCGCCGTTGAGACCGAACAGGATCTCAGTGGACCATGCTTCCTCTTCCAACAGCAGCAGTCGGGGTCTTCGACCGCAGCGTACTGCGTTGCATTCCAGCCTACGCTGCAAAGCGTCGAGGCGGCACTGCTGCTGCCCAGCACAGAGGAAAGTGCTTTTCAAGACCGAGCTGATCTGGTAGCGACCGATCCGAAACTCGCGGAGGAGCTCGAAGGGGCAGAGATCGTACCTGATTCTGGTCCATCGAGTAGCTTCGCAAGTCCGACGCCCACATCCATGTATCAAGTCTGGATAGCAACCAAAGTGCCCGGAAGCACATCCCCCGCACGCTTCACCTTCAAAAGCGCCGAAGGAAAGTTCCTCGGAGCAGACAAGTCTGGCCTGCTTCGTGCGTCCATGGAAGCCAGAGGACCGCAAGAGGAGTGGACCATCGACCCAACCGGCCACGGATCGTGGACACTGCGATCCGTGCACAACCGCTATCTCGGCCTAGACCAAGTAGCAGGAGGCAAAACCGTCGTCCGGGCCGTCTGCGACGCTACCGACAAAGAAGCCGTCTGGCAGATCAAGGTGCAATGGAAACATCGTCACGCCGCTCGTCACGCAGACGATCCGAAAGGCATGAATAGAACAAAAGCAAATGACCCTACCGCCGTTCAACTCGGCCTGCGCGATCAGGTTGTCGCTCAGGAGCTGGAAACGTTCAAATCTCGAGCCGGCTCGCGGTACCTTCCGTGCGACTACGCTTCCAGTTTATCCAAGGAGGAACGCAGAGCGCTCCGAAAGGCCGAAAAGGAAGGACGCTTAGCGGAAGAGATGCTCGACCGCCGCAGTAAGCTCAAGAGCGACAAGTACGCATGATTCACACAAATCATCAAGAAGCGGTATGGGCAAAGATCGTATTTCAAAAGCTCCAGACTAAAAGGCTTGTACACCTTCACAATCGCACGTTCATCGACTGCACCTGCATCTTGACAAAATACAGCGCCCGAGCCAGAGACTGCGCGTTGGCCAGAGCAGGATGCTTCTCGGCTGGGTTGCCGTGGTTGACATGCTGCTGCGCCATCGGATTGGGAGGTGTCGAACTTACGCCGCTGGAACTCGGATGGCTCTGCGTGCCGTTCCCTGCAGCTGCGTTCGACGTCGATGCAGGACCGTTCTGCGCTGTGGTAGGAAAGCCAGACATGAATGGCCACTGGAAATCAAGCGGATCGCTGCTGCCATCGCCTCCCTGCCCACCTTGCGGCTTTCGACGCTCGTCGTCCTCGTGGTCGCCGCGAAGATCCGCATCCGAAGCGGACCGCTTGATCCCTGATCGCTCTATCCGGGACGTGCTTGTTCCCGCCGCAAAGGTTCCCGCAACCGAATGGAAGGAGTGGCTGGTGATGCGGAACACGTAAAGCTGCACAAATTTCTCCGTGACCTCGAGCAGCGACTCTGCCTCCTTGGCCATGAGAAAGATCTCCTTGCGTTGTACCAGTAGCAAGAGCAGTCCAGCCGCATGACCCAGCAGCCAATGATAGAACTGCGGAAGATACGAGAGCTTTTCGCCAAAGTCCGTGGTGGCGAGCTTGAGTGCAAAAAGCGCCGAGTGCTTGGCCGTGGAGATGGTGCGAAGCTGCGCAACGGCAAGCCGGGAAAAGTCGGGAGGATCGGCGTTCGAAGCAGCCCTGAGCGCGTGTTGCGTCTCGTCGAGTATGCCAAGCTCGGGATCCAGTGGATGAGAAGCGAGAAACGCACGCGATAAATGGTAGAGCAGGGAAAGATCGATCGACTCGAGCGAGCTGTCTGACAAGTCTGAATGCTGCGAGGTGAGCAGACGCCATCTGTTGAGCTCTTCCAGCCAGTCCCGCCATCGCTCTACCATATGGGATGGCTGAAAATTCCTGACCCTCTGCTCAGGCTGAGAGTCTGTTGATGGAGCTGCGATACGCGCTGCGCGGCGAAAATCCTGCGCTGCTAGAAGGATGGACATCATCCGAGCATGTGCGACGAGTTGACGATCCGACGAGAAGGAGCCGATCCCACCGGCTCCATCGCTGGGAGGGGCAGGCACGGCGGACGACTGCGAATGAGTGGATCTGGGTGTACCGTCAACGTTGGCGGGAAGATCCGACCCCTTACTTCCTCCATTTTCGTGGGCGGCTGATTCGGCCAACTCTGAACCGTGACGGCTGGCGTTCAAGAGCCCTTGACAGTAGTGCGCCGGGTCGCTCTGTGGAAACAAGCTCGCTTGGTCGTTGATGATGGCCTGTTGCGCTTCGGTGATGTACGACATGAGCCAGATGCGAAGCTTTCCCACCAGATCGATCTGACGAAACGGAGGTAGGATCGTCATCCACTCGCCTAGAGTCTGTGCCGACCGCACTTCAAAGTGTTCGAGGTATCCTATGGCCCAGTATCGAGCCAGGCGTGCGATGGATAGCGCCGTCTGTCCACCGAGCCAGCAAGCAGCGATGCAAGCCCCGGTAATCTCTTCGACGCCGATGCCAAGTTCAGGATCCAGCGGTGCGTGTGGATCGATGTGCTGATCCAGGAGTAGGGGGGACGAGAAGGCTTCGTGACGAAAGCGCTCAAAATGTTGCCTCGAGTTGGGCTCGTGCATGGACGAGACCATGAGGATGCAAGCGATGATCAACGGTGTCATGTGCTCGTTTGCTGGATAGGCTGGGAATCCAAAGCAGTGCGGTTGCAGAAAGCGCGCAAAGAACTTGAAAAGATGACGTGCTTGGTCCATCGAAACGAGGCCCATCGATAACACGGTGAGGCGCGGATCGTTGCGTCCGATAAAGTGGGAAGGCCTCGCGTAGGGTGAGCTAGATGTCGCTGTCATGGATCCCGTCTGCAGCCTGGTTTGACTCGCTTGGTGACTGACTGGTTGCTGCAGGGCGTGTAGGATTGAGGAAGGCCGACTCTGACCGGGTTCGATGCCATAATCATGCTGAGCTTGCCGTCTAGGCGACGAATGCTCATGAGAGACAGTGGACGATCCGGAGGGCGAGATATGTTGAGAAGAAGCAAGATGCGGCGCAGATATGCTATTCGACATGGCAGAGGAGTCTGTGACGGGAGGCTGAAGAGTCTGCAACGCAGAGAACGAAGGGAGCGAGTGATGACTGTAGTACGACCGTGTTGCCTGAGTTGTGGTCGGCGGGCGGTAATTCTTTTGCGTGACTGAGGATTGATACGAAGGCGAGGAGACAGATCGTGGATGCGAATCACCTGGACTGAGAAGGCCTCCTGCGCCATCGAAGCCGAGATAGGTGGTGGACGAGGGCCGAGCCTGAGAGCTCGAGCTTGAGCCGTTGTGTGAGTGCGCAAGATCTGATCGATTTTGTCCACGGTCACTCGACAAGTTCGAATGTGTCGAAGGTGCGCTCCAGATATCTTCGATAGGTGCTCTGCCCAGTTGCGGCGGTACGTGGTAGTGACTCGCTCGTTGCGGTTTCCGTGGTGAAGGGGCAGACATGGGAGAGCTGCTGGTTGTTGCTACATCAGATCGGCCATAGTCGGGGTACTGGTGCTGATACTGCTGTTGATGTTGTTGTGGTGATAGAGGTGGTGGCCGTTGCTGTTGCTGCTGCTGCTGCTGACGCCGTTGCTGTTCCACGAGCCAATCCACACTCTCGCCAAGCCGGCTCAAGACATCGTCGGTGCGCTCGCGCCATGTTTCATCGTCGGCGCGGAGACGAAACTTGCACTGTGCTTCTTGCTGCGTGTCCTTGCAGCGCTTGCATGGAGGCGCACCGTCGTGAATGCACTTGACTTTGGACCGGCGACAGAGGACGCAGGCCTTTTGAGGTTTCACCTCGATTTGGGGCAGCGATCCTAACGATGTGGAGGAGGATAGGTCTCGCATTGATCCGAGTGGTCTGGGCGGCGAAGAAGCCGAGACGGGCGACGCAGAGAGGGTCGGGTCCGGGCGCGGAACCTTCGCTTTGGGCGGCATAGCGTGCCGCGGGAGCCCGAACGACCTCAGGCAAGCAAGATGGTGGTGGTGAAATCAGGAGGATGCGACAGGATGGAAAGCTCAGATCTCATAAATTAAACTTCTCTTGCGCCATCGCCAACAGCCGGCATGACTTTTCCACCTCAGCTGGCCAAGGACGCGGCGTGGGAGTGCAGCGGCTATCTCGGCTAAAAAAATCCGAGGTTGCAGAACGCTGACGTGCAGGTTGCTCTGAAAGGGTATAATGATTGCAAAGGCGATGCTACTCTTCGCCGCTGTGATCTGGAGTCAACATGCCTTCAATGACGACGCAGCCGATCGAGCTCGCGGTGGGCTCGCAGCATGGCGTTCTCGTCGCGCAGACGCTCCAGCTCCGCGCGAAGCACCTTGACTTCAGCTTTGAGCTCGAGCACGGTCTCAGTCTGTTCTGACTCCTCGGCCTTCTTCTCTTGACGTCGCATGCGTTGGTATTCGACGTTGCGTTGGGCGCGACGACGTTGTGCTTCGCCTGGTTCGAGGACGGGCTTACGCCCTCTCTTGCGCGGCGCGCTTTGCTCTGTGACGCCTGCTGCTCTCGGGGGCGGCTCAGACAGTGATGCCACATCCGAACGCGCGGGCCTGGACGGAGCGCCGGATACTGGAGAGCCTGCTCTCTTCCGCGAGGCTCTGATCGGTCTGCCAGATGGCGACAGGAGAAGATCCGAAGCCATCGTGGGTCGATCTGCTCGTGTGTAAACCGCAGTCGAAGGGGGAGGAGTGGATCGCCTCGTTGCAGTCCGCTGAGCATCTCGTACTGCGGGATGCGTGGGTGGAGCGGATATCTCTGCGGTCGGCGTCGAAAAGTGCGATAGAGAAGCCCGCCTGGAAGGCTCTTCAGATAATTGTTCAAAAGACGTGCGGCGTCCGCCTGAGTCCCGAGGAGAAGGTATTGCTGATCGTGCTGTGGAGTGCAGATCGCGGGCTCGATAGCTTACGGGCGGCGGCATGTCTAGTGGAGTCTGAGCGCCAGACGGGGTGCCGGAACGGGACGCTACTGCGGCAGCGGCTGCAGCAGCTGCTGCTTTCGATTCTTCAGAGGCTACAACGTCGCGCACCGCGAGAGACCAAGCCGAGGGAAGCGGGAGATCGGGATTCAAGTCAGGGTTGAAATCGGGATCGTCCTCATCTTCGTCCTCAAAGTCGAGGTCGGCAAAATGAAGAGGTTGATGCGTGGCACTGGCCGGCAGTCCGTATGAGGTTGCGGCGCCGGTCCATTGCTGGGATAGTTGACTAGAGGGCATCTGCGCCATCGATTCTGGCTGGACGATTTCACGGTTGGCCTCTGCGAAGGAGCTGTCGGATCGAAGCGGTGCTCCTTTGTTCGTCTGTTGACCTTGCTGCTGCTGTTGCATCAGGGTTTGCAAGAGAGCGGTGAGGTCTTGCTCGCCTACCGGTCGGCGCGGAAGTTGATGGTCTTTTCCGAGGCGTGCTATGAGCGCTTGGATCATCGGCTGCAGCGCCGAGAATTCTGCCTTGTTCTCTCGGTGTTTGTTGGTGCTCCCCGAAGCGAGTTGTGATGGCGTGGACACGGTACCGGCTGCATGGCTGGGTGTCTGCGCCGGACTACTGTAGGGATGGGCGAAGGGAGAAGGGGCGAGCTGTGATCCTGGTGTTGGTTGATTCGGCCAAGAGATTGAATCCGACGAGCCGAGGACGTGAGTGAGCATTTGGATCATAGCACCGTAGAACTCTGCATCATCTGCGCTTGCTGCTGGCGAGCGGCCGTCGTTCTCCAAAGCGACGTTGCGATGTGTCGGTTGCAGTGCTGAAGCTTCATTCTTTCCCATCAGCCAGTTGGCTCCAAGCCCTTCGAGGAATTTGAAGGGAGACTCGTCTTCATCCTCCTCGGGTTGATCTTCTTCCTCTTCTTCCTCTTCCTCTTCTTCCTCCTCCTCCTCCTCCTCCTCCTCATCGTCGTCGTCGTCTTCCTCATCATCATCATCTTCTTCGCCGTCGCCGTCACTTCCGCTTACTGCATCGTAGACCTCGCTCTCGTCCCCACCTCGCTCATGGCCTGTGGTTTCCCCGCCAGATTGCACGTGCCTCTGGTGATGGCGCTGGGCACTCGCTCGTGTTGCTTGCTTGCTCGTCTCAGACCCCTCCTCGGGACCATCGTCGATGTCGTTGCGGGACTGATTGCTGCGCAAACGTCGCGTGCCGCGGGAGGCCGTCATGGGTGCCGTTCGGCCGTCATGAAAGCATGAGTGAAATGGTGGTTGCATCGGAAGAAAAAGCTGAGTTCCGCAAGAACGCCAACACCAACACTCCACTTGACGCGCCAAGGCGCGAGGCAGAACTTTAGCGGGCTTGACAAAAAACTGGACAGCTTATAACCACACAGCCAACTGAAACTGGAATCATAGGGTCTTTAGCTCAGCAGTAGAGCGGCAGACTTCGGTTTCAACCTGAAGGTTCCTTCGGGTATTCTGCAGGTCGCGGGTTCAATCCCCGTAGGACTCTCTTTTTTGCCTCGATCAATTCCAGGTGCAATGCATGCAGAGTCGCGACACGAACAAACACATTTGACCGTGTCGAGCGCGTCCATTCACTACTCTTCTCACTCCACCTCTCATCCGAATCTGCTCTCGACACGAACAGCATCTCCACCTCGTTTACTCGTCTGGCGGCAGAAGGGAGATGCTACTGGTAAAGCGGCGGCCAAGACTCGAGCCGAAGCCAGAGCCAGGCTGTTATGGCGAAGCGACTTGATGCGAAAGCGCGGCTTCTATGGCGCAGCGACTTGGTCCTCATCGACGGCACGCGCTTGCCTGGGATCGCCATCGTCTCTTACGCCAACCCGTTCGTCGCAGGCAGCACAAATAACGATGCTCAGAGCAACATTCACGAGGCGGAAGCCGATCTGTGCTTGGCGCTCGAGATGCTGCGAAACCAACCACTGCGCATTTCCGCCGTATCAACCGATCGAGGGTCCTCGCCAATAGTCGGCACGACAAATCACAAGCAGACACATTGGGTGGCTAGTGGAGAGGTTCGGGTGTACATCGATCCTCGTGAATCGGCGACATGGAGCTTCTTTCAGCGTATCTTCTGTTTCGACGCCGACTTTGTGCAGGATGCGGGTCAACGACGGTCCGCACACATGGTCACCGTCTCGCTTCAGCCCTCGCTACTGGCAGAAGGGGACAATGCTGCCGCTTCGGATCCATTCACTTTTTCCGCCGCTGGTCACACGGAGTATGCTATCTTTGCTCAGCCAGCATCTGATGCGGAGCTGTCTTCCGGTTCCACACCAGTGCGACTGGTGTTGGGCCGAAGAGTGACGGTTCAGGCGCGGAGAGCCGATGCAGGCATCGCAGCAAAGGAGCTCAGCAGATCGCGCAGCTTTCATCGACAGCCAAGCGTCGGATCGCAGACGCTGCACGATGTGTTCAGCCAGGCGGGGCTATCTCTTCCGCATTTTGGTGGTGTCGCAGCGAGATCGACGAGCACCGTCCCGCGTCCAGATGACCCGCTTCCCCGCGGGTCTATCTCGGCACTGCTCCAGGCAAGGTCGAAACGCAAACCGAGTCATACCCAACGTCACACGGCAGCAACCCCTATCAGAGACTCGAGCGCAGCAGCGCTCCCGGCTGTCAACGCACACACACCAGGTCGACGCGGCGAGAAGCGACACGGCAGCAGCTCCGACCGTAAAGTCGCTGGCAGTCCACGCCTCGACAACCACCTCAAGAGCGAATCCCTGGACAGCAGCGCGTTCGCGCCGACAAGAGCGATCAAGCACCGTTCAGACCGCATCCTGTCCGACCTGCCCCGTCTCAATCTGGGCAAGCAGCCAACACGAGCCCTGCTCCGGCCACCGCACGACACCGGTAATGATCTGCTCGATGTGAAACCCGTCAAAGTGGAGTCCGTCTCGCCAGAGCCTTTTCTCACCGATACAAAGCCGGCATCCAATTCACCGACTAGCGCCGCCGACGACACCGCATCCATCGAGAAGCTCAACCGCAATACGATCAAGAAACTCGTCCATACCCTCCTCGTTCGCGAACACAACCTCTCCAAATCGCATCCAGATTACATCGCATCCTACAATCAGACATGCTCAGGCACCTGGTGCACATTCCGCAACCTCGCCTCCATCCAACCGCTCGCAAAAGACGCAGTCGAAACCGTTGTTCGCATTCATCTATCTTTGTATTTGTACTCCAGTCATTCCTAATCAACAGCATTCGAGATCTACAAACCCTCCAGGTCAGCAGCAACGAGGTCAAGCTGCAGTGGCTCTGGTGAGAGTCTGCTTGAGTCGCTCTTCCAGATCCACCACCTCTTGCTTGAGCTTGTCGGCGTCCTCATGTTCTCGCGTGAGGAACTCGACTTCTCTCTTGGCATTCTGCAGGTCACGGGTGACGTTTTCGAGCTCTTTGCGTTCGGCTCGGCGTTCGCTCAACAACTGCTCGAGCTGTTCGTGGTGCTGATTCAAGAGTGTGGCTACCTTCTCGGTGTGCGCGGCGTGGAGTCGCTCGAGATCGCTCATCTCCTGATTCTCCTTGCCCTGTCCGTCAAGCAAGCTCGCGGCCGTGGTGGACGTAGTAGAGGCAACCTTGGACCTTATCAGGGCCAGCTCTTCGGTGGCAGCATCGCGAGCACGAATTGCCTCGTCGAGCTTGTCTTGGAGATCCATGAGTTTGCCCATGTCCTCCAACTCTTTCTCGCGCACCGGCACAAAGGCAGCTTCGTGTCTCTTTGTGAGCTGATCGAGTTCATCGACGTGTTTCTGGACCAAGTGTTTCTTGTCGGTCTCGTGCTGGTTTGAGATGGCTTCAAACTGCTCGACAAAGGCGTTTTGCGACTGGTCGTGGGCGCTGCGTACGTCGGCAAGCTCCTGCTGAAGCTGTTCGATCTCCGTTCGAAGCGCCGACGTCTCGGACGAGCTGGCCGATGCGGAATCCTTGGCAGCCTGCTTGGCCTTGTCGGACGCGGAAGACAGCTCGGCCTGGAGGGACTGGACGCGGGCATCAGCGGCTTCCTTTTCGGTTTGAAGCTTGGCCAATGCATCCTTGATCTTCTTCAGATCGCTCTGCGCAGCACCGAGCTCCATCTGGACACGTTTCAGCTCGGTCGTGTGTCGCTCGTCCGCTTCAGCGAGCGCGGTGGCGTGTGCGGCCTGCGCGGCTTCGAGCTCGTCGGCGTGCGACTTGCGCATCTGCTCGATCGTTTTGGCGGATTGCTCCTTGAGACTTTGGAGATCGGTCGAGTGGCCATCGCCTGCCTCGGCACGGGCTTTCTCATAGGCGTCCATGACCTTCTGATCATGCTCGGCCTTGACTTCGGCGACCTGCGCAGCGTACTTGGTCTCCTGAGCTGCGAGCTCAGCTCTGACCTGCTCCAATGTCTGCTGCACTTCCTTCAAGCGCCCTTCGGCGGCATCGTTCCGAGACGAAAGCTCCGATGCATGGCCATCACGAGTCTGCGAAAGCGTTGTCTCGTGAGCGGCAGCCAAAGCGGAAAGCTCTTCGGCGTGTCGCTTAGCATCCGAAGCTCGCGCCGCCTCCAAAGCTGCTTTGTGTTCCTTCTGCAGCGCCCCGCGGAGCTGCTCTTCGGCATCACGACGAGCAGCGTCAACCTCTCTCGCCTTCTCTTCGTCGTGCTTGGCAGTCGCTTGCTCTAGCCTATGTTCGAGCTGCTGGGCGTGTTCGGCAGACAATTCACGACGAGCGCTGCTAATAGCGTCTTCAAGGACAGCTGCGTGCTTCTGCTCCGCTTCCGTGCGCGCCTGCTCGACCGCCTGAGCGACTGCTACGCCATGCCGTGACTCAACTGAGGCTGACTCTTGCTGATGCGACTGGTGTGCCTTTGCGAGGGCAGCAGCTTCGGCAGCAGCGACAGCTTCAGCCAGCTTGCTCTCGAAGGCGGAGAAATCAGTCTCTGACTGGGTCTTGAGGTCAACGTTGCGCTGCTCCACTTCAGCAAGCTTCGCAACTCGCTCTTCCAGCTCCGCATTCCGCTGTTGGACGTCAGCGAGCTCGACCACCTTGTCTTGCAGGTCTTGGTGGCTCTGTCTGAGAGCGGTGAGCTCGGTTTCCTTATCTGCCAAGGTGAATGCGCCCTTTTCGCCAGCCTCGCTGGCCTCGGTTGCTTTGTTCTGAGCTTCTCGAAGCCGAGCCTTGAGCTCGACGATCTCGTTTTCGAGCTTCTCTTTCTGCGATTCCAGAGCGGTAGCCTTGTCGTTGGCCTGGCCCACAGCAGACTCGTGAGCCTGACGCTGTTCCGCGAGCTGAGCGTCGCCTGCACTCGTCTTCTGCTCGTGGTCCAGAGTCAGCTGTTGAATGCGTTGCTCAAGCTCGGCAACAAGCTTGTTGGCGGACTGAGCTTCGTCTCGGGCTTGCTTCGCGCTGGCCTGTTGCTCTTCGATCTTTTTCAAGCTCGCGCTGAGTTTGTCCTGGATCGCTGCCATTCCTTCGAGCTGGCCAGTTGCAGCTTCGAGAGCGGAACGCGCCTGGGTCAGTTCCGTCTCGAGATCAATGATTTTGGTCTGAGCCTCTGCAATGGCGACCTCTTTTTGAGCAAGGACGACATTGTGTTGAGAAGCTTGATCTGCGCCTTCTTTTTCGGACGAGCCAAGTTGAGCTTGAAGACGGTCCACCTCCGCTTCCAGCTCTTTGACTCGATTGGAAGAGGCTGCAGTAGAACCTTCGTCCAGCTTCGCTTCTTCCTCCTTTCCTTCGGCGAGTTTAGCTTCGACTGCCGAGAGGCTGACCGTTTTGGCTTGCAGCTCTTCGTCCTTCGACTCGAGGTCGGACTTGAGCAGGTTCAATTGCTCGCTCTGCTCGGCTAGCTCTGCTTCCAGTTTCGACACCTTGTCCTGCAGATCTTTCACAGCGGCGGCGGCTGTAGATCCAGCCGGAGCGAGGCTCTTTCTAGCAGCAGCGGTCGCGGCCGGGGTGGCAGCGGCAGCGGCTGATCGCGTCGCTGGAGCCAAGCTGGAACGTGCTGCGGACGCAGGACGCGCGGCTGCGCCAGGAGCACCGGCACCGTTGCTCGTGATCGACGCGCGCCGGGCTGCAGTCGTGGCTGCAGCAGGCGCGCCACCTGAAGACGCAGTCGAACCGGCTACCGACGCCCTCTTTGCCGCAAGGGACGACGAGGTGGTTGCCGCAGTTGAAGAGACAGGAGGCCTACGAGCAGCCGCGGTGGTGGATCCAGCAACCGAAGTGGTGCCAGCGGGTTTGCGCACAGCCGCTGTGCTGGAGCCTGGTGCAGCCGCAGAGCCCGCACCGACAGGTCTTCGTACCGGCGCTGCGCCGGTTGTGCTCGCGGCCGGCGATGAAGGCGCGGTAGACACACGACGTGTTGCACCTGCTGTGGAGGTTGGAGGTCGTGCTGCAGTGCTTGCCGCGCCTGTTACTGATGGCCGGGCGGCGGCGGCGGATGGGCGTGCGGCGGCGGTGGTAGGTCCCGGAGCTAGACTAGGTCGTCCGGTGACGGCTGGACGAGTGGTCTTGGCGGTAGCTCTCGAGGCTGTCGTAGACGAAGCTCCTCGAGCAGCAGTGACGCTGGGGCGTCCTGCCGCGCCCGTTCGTGCCGCAGCGGCTGCAGTCGCCGAGGCAGCGGGTCTAGAGGCTGCAATACCAGCTACAGAGGGTCGAGCTCCGGCGACGACCCTGCGAGCCGTAGCAGAGGCAGCCGTGCTCGTCTTGGGGGTGCCTGCAGCACGAGCAGCAGTAGATGAAGGTGTCAGAGGAACCGAAGGTTTGGGGGATGTAGGGCTAGAGGCAGGATCGGACTTGATCTGATCGCTCTGTTTGATGTCATGCTGATCGTCGTCCTGCTCGTCACCGACCACGTCCTCTGCGACAAGCTCCCCGCCTTCCTTCTCAGAGGAAGTCCGATCGCTATGAAGCGCGCCTTCGTCCACAGATCCGTCGTCCGCGACGGAAGCCTCGCTTGTCCGTTGCTGGTCTTGACCGTCTAGCTCGTCGAGCGAAGGTTGGTCAGCGTGAATCGATTCGTTGGGATCTTCGACGTCCGACATTTCTGCTAAATGCGTAAAGGCCTTGTAAGCTGAAGCCTACACGTTGGATGTGGTTGATGGTAGAATAGAGACAAGGACCCGCAGCCAAGTGTTTGTTCAACACTGCCAAAAGCTCAAGCTCGCTGCAGTAGACTTGTCGCATGCGTGTGAAGTGAATGCTGGCCAGTGTGGTGCATGCGTGTGCGTGCGTGCGTGTGTGCCTCTTCCGATGGACATGCATGTGATTTCTGGAAAAACGCAAGTAACTTAGTGTCACTTTCGAATAAAGTCACACATCGACGCGTCTCGCTTCGCTTCGCTTCTGTCGCAGAAGCCTGTCGAAACCTCAGATGTCGTCCTCGTCCTTCTACGCCGGCAGGCACGGGCTCACAAACGGATCGATGTCCATGTTGAAAGGCTGGAATTGCTAGGATCATGTTGAATGCTTTTGAGGCGGGATATCATGTTGAATGCGTACAGAATACAGAGGTGGAATACGAGAGACAGATGCGAGAAAGATAGAAAGACGATGACGACAGTAGAGGGAAACCAAGGTTCAGACTAGAGGGAATAGGACAAAATGAGGGGGAATACAGCTGTGCTCGACCGGGACCATAGCAGTTGATGCCGGACCCATAAGGCGAGAAGAGCGGGAGATGGAGAGATTGAGGGGAAAAGAAGGTTTAAGCAAGGGTCTTGCGGCACTCCTCGGCGGCGGCGACCATGTTGGTGAGCTGGGCAGTGCACTCCTCCCAAGTTCGGGTCTTGAGACCACAGTCGGGGTTGACCCAGATCGAGTCCTTAGGAAGCACCTCGGCCATGGCCTGGATGCGGCCAATCATCTCCTCCTTGCTGGGGACACGAGGAGAGTGGATGTCAAACACACCGGGGCCGATGTGCGAAGGGTAGCCGACCTTCTTGAAGGCGCCGAGCAGGTGCTCACCCGACTTGGAGTGCTCGATCGAGATCATATCGGCGTCGAGCTCGATGATCGACTTCATGATGAGCGAGAAGTCAGAGTAGCAGAAGTGCGAGGCGATGTTCATGGCATCCGAGCAGCCCGAGGTCGAGAGACGGAACGAGTCGACAGCCCATCGGAGGTAGCCGGCCCAGTCCTTCTGGCGGAGGGGCAGACCCTCACGAATGGCAGGCTCGTCGACCTGGACGGCGCGGACACCGGCCTTCTCAAGGTCGATAACCTCGTCGCGGAGGGCGAGGGCGATCTGCTTGGACTGCACCTCCTTGCTGATGTCGGCACGGGGGAAGGACCAGTTGAGGATGGTGACGGGACCAGTGAGCATACCCTTCATGGGCTTCTTGGTGAGGCTCTGGGCGTACGACGACCATCGCACAGTCATGGGAGCAGGTCGGCTAACGTCCGAGACGACGACGGGGGGACGAACGTATCGCGAACCGAATGACTGAACCCAGGCGTTCTGGGTGAAGACGAAGCCGTCGAGGAGCTCACCGAAGTACTGCACCATGTCGTTACGCTCGGGCTCACCGTGGACGAGCACGTCGAGGTTGAGGGCCTCCTGCTTCTCGACGACCATCTTGATCTCGTCCTCGAGGAACTTCTCGTACTCCTCCTTGGAGATGTCGTTCTTGTTGAAGCGCGCACGGTACTGGCGGATCTCCTTGGTCTGGGGGAACGAGCCGATGGTGGTGGTGGGGAAGAGGGGAAGGGCGAGGTGCTCCTTCTGAACCTCCTTTCGGACGCTGAAGGGCGACTTGCGGGCAAGGTCCTCATCCTTGATGTTGGCAACACGGTCACGGACGGCCGAGTCCGAGTTCTTCTCAAAGTCGCGACGAGCCTTGATGCTCTTCTCGTTGGCGGCAAGAGCGTCGGCGGCCGAGCTCGAGTCACGGAGGGCGGCAGCGAGCGTGGCGATTTCGGCGCACTTTTCGTTGGCGAACGAGAACCAGTCGAGCACCTCGGCGCTGAGCTTCTTCTCGTTGGCGATGGTGATGGGGGTGTGGAGGAGCGAAGACGACGAGGCGATCTGGACACGCGAAGCGTCGCCGAGCTTCTCGACGGCCTTCTGGGCGGTCTTGAGAGCAGCGCTGAGGTCGGTCTTCCAGATGTTACGGCCAGAGACGAGACCGAGCGAGACAACGTGCTTGGTGTTGGCGAAGGCGGCGAGCACCTCGTCGAGCTGCTCGGGGGCACGGTCGAGGTCGATGTGGAGACCGGCGACGGGGAGGGTCTTGACGATCTCGAGGTTGGACTCGAGCTTGTTGAAGTAGGTGGCGATCAGAATCTTGACCGAGGGGGCAGCCTTGGCGATGGTCTCGTAGGCAGCCTTGAATTCGGCAGCGTACTGCTGAGCACGGTCGAGGACGAGGACGGGCTCGTCGATCTGGACCCACTCGGCGCCGGCCTCGCCGAGCTTGGCGAGCATCTCACCGTAGACCGGGGCGAGCTTCTCGAGGAGCGAGACGGGGTCGAGCTCGGCGTCCTTGGCGTCCTTACCGGGCTTACCGAGGGCAAGGAGGGTGACGGGACCGACGAGGACGGGGCGGGCGTTGTAGCCGGCCTCCTTGGCCTCGAGGAAGTCGTCGATGGGCTTGGTGTTGTTGATCTTGAACTCGGTGGACTCGCTCAGCTCGGGGACGAGGTAGTGGTAGTTGGAGTCGAACCACTTCTGCATCTCGGTGGCAGGGAGATCGACGCCGTTCTTCTGGTGGCCACGGGCCATAGCAAAGTACGTGTCGAGCGCATCGAGACCAGACTTGGCGTAGTTCTCGGGGATGAGGTTGAAGGTGTTGGAGGCATCGAGGACGTGGTCGTAGAGCGAGAAGGTTCCGGTGGGCACAACATCAACGCCAGCGTCCTTGATGAACTTGTAGGTCTGGAGACGCTGCTCCTTGGCGACCTTGAGGAGCTCCTCCTGGGACGACTTGCCGCCCCAGTAAGCCTCGAGGGCCTTCTTGACCTCACGCTGAGGACCAATGCGGGGGTAACCGAGAACGGCGGAGGTACTGCAAAGGCCAGAGTCGATAAAAGAACGGGAGGATGAGGTTAGACAATGATCTGCACTGTGCCAATGTGGTCCCGAAGAGCGGACTGAAGCTAGTACTTACGCCATTTTGGATTTGTGGAAAGGACGGACGAGACGGGGAACAGGAATGGTAGGAGGTGTGGTAGGCGTCTAAACCAAAGGATCGAGACGACAGGGACGAGCTTCTTTGAACGTGTCCACGAGCAAGAAGAGTGGTAGTTGTGGTAGAAAAAGCGGAGAGAGGGAGGGATGGACGGGTGGTGTAGGAAGAGAAGAGGAAGGAAGGAGTCACGTTCGTCAAAACGAGAAGAAATAGGAATTGGAAGATCCACGGTCGCACCCGGTGTCGCGCCAGCGCAAGAAGGGAATCCCACAAGTTGTAGAGTTGCAAAGCGCAGATGCACAGTCGCCACTTTGCACCTGGCCCAAGCGAAGTCAAAAGTGGGCTGTCGTGCGCTCCGGCAGTGCGTGAGAGAGTGTCGCGGTCCAGCGTGCGTGCGAACAGCACACAGCACGTTTTCACCCAATCGAATGAGAAAGCAGGAATTTTCTTCTTCCTTTCTTCTCGCTCTTTGCCTCTGCTCATGTGCCCTTTTCAATTTTCTTCTTGTCCATTCTTGTCCGCGAACACAGGTGTACATTTCCGAGGGTTGGGGTGTCGTCTGCCAAGGAGGCCAGATCAGATCAGGGAAGATCAGCAACTAGGTCAAGGCTCCAGATCGACCCACTTCTCATTTGATGCTTTCAGGCACTCTGGTTGGTCGACGCATGTCGGTAACCCTGAGCCGTCGTTCAGATTGTGCTCGGTCAGTGTCTCGGTGCGGGGAGATGAAATCACGTACGACAAACGAGCGCCCCACCCATCGAGTTCCTCTTTCCCCCGTAATCGTCGACTGTGGACGCCAGGCCTGAACGCAGTCAAAGAGCAGGAGCGCTCCCACCAGGGGTCTCTAGTTCCCAGCGAACCACTGTTGAGCAGCAAGTCGACCATGCGAGGGACATCTAGCGTGAAGCAGGTATACAGGGAAAGGTAGTGAGCGGCCTTCCCGCTGAAATTCCAGTCGACCAAGTGGGCGAGAGTCTAACATTGCGAAGAGAACACGTGTTAAGTCGTGCTCAGGTGCCATGACGATTGCAAGCGCCTGCCGACGTCCGTGCATGCCGAGCTTTGACCCTGCTTCCGACGTTCGGCTGTGCTGACGTGACACTTGACATTTGCTTCACCTCTATCGCTCCACCACACCATCCCTGCCTTTTCAGACCGGACTCGGGCCAAACATTCGAACGTGGCGTGGCACAATGTCGACGATCGCACACTCGCTGCGCGACTATCGCTCGCCGACTCGGTCGCAGCTTTTCGCGCAAGCATTCTCTCTTCCCACCGGCGAGTCACCCATCGCAGATGCAGAGATTACCTCGGCCATTCTGTCGCTCTCAGCGGCCACCAAGGACGGACTGCAGGAAGATCAAGTCTATGCTGGCCGCTTGACTCTGACGCAGTCCTTCCTGTGCTTTGCAAGCCAAGGCGACCGCGGCCGCAGTTGTCGCATGAACCTACCGCTCTGGTGCGTCCGTCGTGTCGAACGTCTCAACACAAAGGGCACCGTGTTTGCGCTCAGCATCGTCGTCTGGCATGGCATGAAGATCATTCTGCAGCTCAATGCGCTACGTCCCACCTGCGAACACTTTTGCGCAGTATTGCGCGATCAACTCCGCGCACAGCTCGGCAACATGAAGCTCCTCAAGCCTTTCCTTTCGGGTTGCTACAGCGAATTCCTCATCTCGGACGACCTTTCAGATCCCAAGGGCAAGCGCGCCGTCACAGATGCATCCCTCACGCCATCATCTGAGAAAGAGGATCCCGCCACCGCCGCTCCCGCAGATGCAGCGACCAAGCCAACAGCCGACGCGTCTGCAGACAAGGAGCCCCCCAAGTACCAAGCTGGGCTGGGAGCAACCTTTGGCTTTCCAGGCGATGCACGAAAACTTCGCGAGAAGAGCAAGCTCAAACTTTGGCGAGACTACATGCTGGCTCACGGTCGCAATCTCACACTGTTACGATACCCGCAATTCCTGCGGCTCGTGCAAGTTGGCCTGCCCAATCGTCTGCGTGGAGAGATCTGGGAGCTCACCTGCGGATCGATCTACAATCGATTCGCTCACGCCGGCGAGTATCAGGCGATCCTCAAACGATACGAGGGTGTTACCAGCACCAGCACCGAAGAGATCGAAAAGGATCTCAACCGCAGTCTGCCCGAATATCCAGCCTACCAGACGCCCGAAGGCATCGAAACGCTGCGACGAGTACTGGTGGCGTACAGCTGGAAGAATCCCGAATTGGGCTACTGCCAGGCTATGAACATCGTGGTCGCCGCCATTCTGATCTACATGAGCGAGGAGCAGTGCTTCTGGCTGCTCGACACTCTCTGCGAGAGGCTGCTGCCCGGCTACTACACGCAGTCCATGTCCGGCACGCTGCTCGACCAAAAGGTGTTTGAGAATCTGGTGCAGCGTACACTGCCTATGATCCACGAGCACTTTGTCAAGACCGACATCCAGCTGAGTGTAGCCTCGCTGCCGTGGTTCCTGTCGCTCTATATCAACTCGATGCCCATGATCTTTGCATTCCGCATCGTGGATTGCTTCATGGCTATGGGGCCCAAAGTGCTCTTCCAGGTGGGGCTCGCAATCCTAAAGATCAACGGCGAAGAGCTGCTGGAGGTGACGGACGACGGCGCCTTTATCAACCTCATCAAAGGCTACTTCCGATCGTTGGGCGACAGCGCGCATCCGAACAGCACCAATCCACGGCACCGACAGATCACCAACTTTCAGGAGCTGCTGGTGGTGGCGTTCCGAGAGTTTGGCATCATCACGGACGAGACGATTGCAAGCGAACGTCGGCGCTTCCGACAGGAGATCGTGCAGGAGATCGAGCTGTTCGCCAAGCGCAGCGCGATCCGCAATCTCAAGAACCACGGTCACTTTTCCAAGGAGCAGATCGGATTGATCTATGATCAGGTGGTTGAGTCCATCTACCGCGCAAGACATGCGCCTGGTGCGGTCGCCGACGCCAAAGCGAATCCCAACGCCGGCATCGTGGCCAACGATCCCAAGGAGGTGATGGAGAAAGCGCTTGCGCGAGAGATGAACAAGGAGAGCGGCGAAGAGGCGCTCAACGACTACAAAGAGATGCGCATCGACCTCAAGACGTTCCGACTCTTCCTCGGAGAAGTGGCGACGTGGGCGCGAGACGAGTACGTAGTCTCGAACGGCTTCCAGGAGCGCGTGGAGAGGCGTGTGCCGGAGCACGAAACGGTGGCGCGGCTGTTCCGATTCTGGGACAAGGACAAGCGCGGTACGCTCTCTTTGCAGGACATCGTGAGCGGATTGGACGCCATCATGTTCAACCAGGAAGACGTCATGGCCAACATCCAGTGGTTCTTCGAGCTTCACTCGGACGGGCGACCGTCGTTGACCAAGGACGAAGTGCTGCGTCTGAGCGAGTCGCTGCTGTTCTTCTTCCGCAACGAGCCTAACGACGGCTACTTGGGTGCCGTCTCGCAGCTGATCGCGCAGGCGTTCGAGCACGGCGGAGAAGGGAGCTATGAGAAGAAAGCGTCGTCGGCGTCCGAGGCCACGGCGGCTTTGGAAGCTAGCGGCTGAAGAGCTGGTCTCTGATTGCACTTGATCTGTATTTCGCATTTTCGCACTTTGCATCGCATCTGAGCCTGCATATTCATTCGTACATTGTCCTCATCGCATTGACTCGATCATGATAGGACGCGTTGATGGTCGCGATCGCACAGGCAGCCTCCCAAACGAGGTCAATCGTCTTGTCGAGAAGAAGCTGAAGTCGCTCAGCGGGTCTAGTCAGCCGGCTGTCGAGCCAGCGCGCTCGGCAGACAGAGTGCGTTGACCAACTTCGCCAAAATTAGGAAATCTGGCTGGAGCTCTGCTGCAGGACAGGCGAGCAGCAGCAGAGGAGCTTTGTGCTGGTTCGACGCGGTGCGTGTGTGCGTGTCGGTTGTGTCAATTGTGTGCGAGTGTTACAAATTTATTTTTATTTGACAGCGCACGCGCCTCTCGCACGCTCTGGTGAAACCAACCTTCTTGCCAGCCGTGGCCACACGAGGCCGTGCATTTGTGGGCGCGCCAAATTCAACCAAGCCCAGTTGGACGGGTCTGGACCAAGGAAAGCCACACGCTGCCGGCTTCTTTGTCGCAAGAGTGCTTTCGATTCGATTCAGCCAGATCCGCGAATCGCAGTCAGTGGGCGGTCTCACCGGGACGACACTTTCGCTGAGTCTGCCGCCCTGTGCAAGCGCAAATTGATTGATCGCTCGATTGACCGCTCGCTGGCTTCTGCTCCTTCCAAAGCGTCATCTTCCAGATCGTACTTGGACTTGCCACCGTTTCCATCGACGCCTCACCGCTAGCAAGAGCCTCACGCTTCACCACAACACGGTTCCGACTGTCTTACCTAGGAGACATCAAGGCTTGCTCGGTATCATCCCAGCCTTGCCTCTCAAACGACAGCTTCGTGTACTTGTGACGGACGCATCGAGCGCTTCTCCCGTCTCCCCGTCGCTTTTTCTGGCACGCTTTGCTCTTGATACTCTCAATCAGCGGTCTCAATACAGCAAATCTGGTCCGACGCGACTTTTGTGTTCACACGACCACCGTGCGTTCAATCGCCTCAGTCGTACAACAGGTAGGTCTCGCCGGCAATCACCCTCTTCCCCGGAACTGCCACTGTATGCTCGACTCGGTCGCAAAGCATCATCTCAGATTGTAGACTGACCACCTCTGTGGATTTGCCTCCTCTCAGCATCGCATCCGACCGCCTCGACGACATTGGTGTTCCATCCTCGCCACTTGTCCAAATTGCCCTTACCCACAGTGACCCCCGCCCAAGCCCAAGAACCGTGCACGACAGGTCTACCTCAACTGCTGTGCCTATTGCAGCCTTCGATCCCACCCTTCCACCCATCTCCTGAGCGCTAGCCACGCGCCTGGACTGTCGCCGTCACGCCATGACTACTCCCGCCCAGGTTGAACGGCAGCAGAGGCTCGTCAAGGCCATCGGCCAAATCACCAACAAGCAGGCACCTCCCGAGATCGACTTCACCGTGCACACCACTGATGACGGAACCCAGGTCAGCACGCAAGAACGTGTCATCAAAGACGTGCAGGCACCAGCATTCCAGAAACCTACCGATGAACAGTTCTTCAGCGCCAAAGACCCTTCCAAGCCCGACATTGCTTTCCTGAAGAATCACTTCTACCGCGAAGGTCGTCTCACCGACGACCAGGCCCGCTTTATCCTGACAAGGGCCACCGAAATTCTGCGTCAGGAACCCAATTTGCTCGAGGTTGACGCGCCCATCACCGTCTGCGGCGACATCCACGGCCAATATTACGATCTCATGAAGCTCTTTGAAGTGGGTGGCAATCCCGCCGATACCCGGTACCTCTTCTTGGGCGACTATGTCGACCGCGGCTACTTTTCGATCGAGTGCGTTCTTTACCTGTGGGCTTTGAAAATCTGGTACCCAGACACGCTCTTCCTCCTCCGTGGCAATCACGAGTGTCGCCACTTGACCGACTACTTCACCTTCAAACTCGAGTGCAAACACAAATACTCTGAAGAGATCTACGACCTCTGCATGGAATCCTTCTGCACACTGCCTCTTGCCGCCGTCATGAACAAGCAGTTCCTCTGCATTCACGGTGGCCTTTCACCCGAGCTTCAGACTCTCGACGACCTTCGCAGCATCGACCGCTTCCGCGAGCCACCCACCCACGGCCTCATGTGCGACGTTCTCTGGGCCGACCCGCTCGAAGATTTCGGATCCGAAAAGACCAACGAGAGCTTTATCCACAACCACGTACGAGGCTGCTCCTACTTTTTCACCTACAACGCAGCCTGCCAATTCCTCGAGCGTAATCAACTTCTGTCCATCATTCGAGCGCATGAAGCGCAAGATGCAGGATATCGCATGTACCGCAAGACAAAGACCACCGGCTTCCCCTCCGTCATGACCATCTTCTCGGCGCCCAACTACCTCGACGTCTACAACAACAAGGCAGCCGTTCTTAAGTACGAGAACAATGTCATGAACATCCGACAGTTCAACTGCACGCCTCATCCCTACTGGCTACCCAACTTCATGGACGTCTTCACCTGGAGTCTGCCCTTCGTCGGCGAGAAGATCACCGACATGCTCATCGCCATCCTCAACGTCTGCAGCAAAGAGGAGCTTGAAGAGGAGGAGGAGGAAGACGAGATCCCCACAACACCAACCTCGCCTGGAGCCGAGGAAGAGACGGCCGAGCGCAGAACACTCATCAAGAATAAGATCCTCGCCGTCGGACGCATGTCTCGTGTCTTTGCCCTCTTGCGAGAGGAGGCCGAGCGCGTTTCAGAGCTCAAGTCGTCGCAAACCGCCAAGTTGCCGTACGGCTCGTTGGTACTCAGCTCCGAGGCTGCCAAAGATTCGATCGCCAACTTTGACGATGCGCGAAAGGTAGATATCGAGAACGAGCGTCTGCCACCCGACCTGATCGATGCCGACGAGGCGGGACCTGCCTCTCCTGCCGATGGTGCGCGTGTTTCGTCGCCTGCATTCGAGGAGATGACGTCGCCAGGCAGCCCGGCGTCGCCCGCGACGCCAAGTTCGCCCATCGCAGGTGGTCACCGCCGCGGACACTCGAGGACGAGCAGTCTTGGTACGACCATGTCGAGTCCTTCGAACCGTCGCCGCTCACTAGAGTCGACCGTCAGCATGATCCGCGAAGCCCTCGAAGGTACGGATGCAGCAGACGACAAGCACCTCGAAAAGCTTGCAAACGACATCACCTCGCCCGATTCACCAAAGGCAACCGACTCTCCAGCACAGTCGCGCTTCGCAAACAAGTGAACAGCAGCCGACTTCAAAGCAATCACACACCCAGGCATCTCTTTCCGTCTCACTTGAGCCTCCTAGAGCTCGATCCTTTGTTTTCAGATTCAGTCGCATCGTATCTGAAAAGCGCTTTTGCAAATTTCATCAGCTTTGATGTGATCGTGACTGGAGTGTAGTGAGAGAGTGTGTCGTCATGGTCTAGTTCTGAGGAGAAATCCGAATCCTGCGGATGAGTGGAGCAAGGGAAAACACGGAAGAGACATTCGGGCTGATGAAAGAGCACAGCTTGGCTTGGCGAGACGACTGCGATCTTAGCGCAGACCACGCTCTCGTTGGTCAAAGTATTCGTCGAGAAGGCTGAAGAAGGCTTGCTTGTCTTGGTGTGTGAAGCGGGAAAATTCGATGTGGGACGATGAGCCTTGACTTGTTGGATAAGCGTGCTGTGTTTGCGTTGCTGGAGGGTAGGGTGGAGGTGGATTGTTTGTGCCGTCTTCGTTCTGCATTCTGGCTGGCAAAGCTGGAGGAGCAGCAGCAGCAGCAGCAGCAGCAGCTGATGTGTTTGATGCAGAGTGACGAGAGGGAGGAGGTGGTGGTCGACCTTTGTTCAGCGCGGAAGGCGGCGCAGGAGGTACTCTGCTTCTCTCCGGAACCACGGTTGAGGCGTGCTCCGTTCCCGGTCCTGCGGTCGCTGACGTTCGAGACTCGACATCCCGATTCCATCGTGGGTTTTCTCCCTTCAACATGTTCATCCGATCCTGCAGTCCGATCTTGCTGCCGCTGGAACCACCGCCGGCGTTGGCTTCGCGCTGCTGGCGATACTTTTGCTTTGCATCTTCTCCAAAGTCATCGAGCTTCTTGTTGAAGTCTTTGCGCCAATCGTCCCAAGGCATAATGGTCGTGTTGTCCTTTCGGGCGTGAGAGGGTGAAGGTCGTGCTTGGTATGTTTGGGGCAGGCTCAATTTGACAGAGGAGGCTGAGGGGCGCCGCTAGCCTGTGAGTAGCTCGTTGCTCGTATCCTGGTCTTGATCTTCCGTTGAGGACGAAGAGGAAGCACGGTCGACGAAACCCGCATTGAAGACACCTCGGGGCGCTGATGAGAGCCAGGACACGCCAAGACCCTGAAACTGAGGCTGTGTGCTCCGTGCGAGCGGTCCCACAGTCATAGCACTTGGTATGTATATGTACACAATAAATGTGCCAGATCTGCATCCATTGCGGGCCAATCGTATAGTGGCTTATTATGCTGTCTTAGGGCTTTCCCCTCCATCCAGAGGTTGCACTAAGTTGACAGAGGTCCCCGGTTCGATTCCGGGTTGGCCCCCACCCTTTTTTTCACGATTGTGACGTCTATTTCTGGAAACATTTTTCGCTGCTTGAAATGTCACATCGGTAAGCCTTCTCTTTTTTATCTTGCCCACGCGAAACACCGTAGAAAGTCAGTGAATAAACGGTCCAGAGTATCGGGTCGACTGTACTGGCGACGACACTGCTTCAAAGAGAAAGCTCACAGGACCTCTCGATGTTGTGAGCTCTGGCTAGTGGCGAAGGAACGATGTTGACGGTGATGGACAGCATCGGCCGACGTTGCAGAACAGGAAAGCCACAAGAGTAGCAGGCTTCAAAATGAACTGAGAAAAAAGGGGTCTTGAGATTTGGCGGACTTTGACAGGCTCGGAAACACAGGAGGCGGAAGCGCAGAGACGTCGGTTTTTGGACCCCTGATTCTGAAATGTAGAGTTTGATGCTTGACACCTCTTTAGCTCACACTGTTCGACAGGCAGCAGGGTGTGCGCTTCATGCGATGTGCCGTTACGTATGCAGAGAAGCTGACAATGCGGGGTTGCCGTCGTTCAGCAGTTCTCTTGGCTCTAAGGCAATTTTTGGGCGCTGGTTTGGAGTTGGTTCGTAGGGGAGCCTTGGTTTCATCACACCACCATACCTACGCAGATCCTCGATCGACCATCTACCATCACCTTCTGTACTTCCATCACCCATATTCGCTCGAGGAAGAGCGCTGAGCACCAACAGAATAAGCAACTCTTATATACAACACCGACGACGATCGCCGATCATGGCGAAACACAAACGAAAAACAGCCTCGAGGCTGATCATGTCTCTTCTCGGAACAGTGGCTCTCTCGACCTTTTCCCCGTCCGTCTCTGCACAGACTTCGGCGATCACATGTAGCAGCTCCTCCCAATGTCCCCAATCGAGTCCCTGCTGTTCTGCCGAAGGCGTATGCGGATCAGGCGCGATGCAGTGTGCTGGAGGCTGCAACCCATTGGCGAGCTTCAAGCCCTCGTCCTGTCTCCCCAACCCAGTCTGTCGAACCCGTCAGATGAGCATCAAGCCCAACGACTACAACAACAACGATATTTTCATGCCCATTCTCGAATACAATGGTAATGCATCGTCACCTTTCACGCTCGACTCTGGCTCCCTCGGACCTGGTCCCGAGGGTGTTCTGCTGCAACTCAAAGCAGCGCAACAGGCCAAGATCTCGACGACAGACTACTTCATGTACGGCTACGTCGAGGCGACACTTCGACACGATGCTCGTCAAGGTCTCGTCGCAGCTTTTATTCTCATGTCAGACGTGAAAGATGAAGTTGATTGGGAGCTGGTCGGATCCAACTCGTCGCAAGGCCTGACGAATTACTTCAGCCTTGGAGTACCTGTTCTCAACCACGCTGCCAACGTCAGCGCAAGCAATTTCAATGTCAGCGACTGGCACACATACGGCCTCAATTGGACTAGCACGCAGCTTCAGTGGAGCATCGACAGTAAAGTGGTCAGGACATTGACTCGAGCGCAAGCGGGGAGGGATTATCCGCAGACGCCATCGAGGATTCAGCTCAGCACCTGGGCAGGTGGAAACGAGACGAACCCACAGGGAACGATCGACTGGGCCGGCGGATTGATCGACTGGGATTCGCCAGAGTACAAAGCGAAAGGATTCTACTCGCAGGAGATCAAACAGTTCAATGTACAATGCGCCAGTCTCGGCAGCTTGAACGTCACGAGTATTTCGGGATCCAGCAACAGCAGTGGTGACGTGACTTCGTTTGGCTACACGGGTGGCAACTTCTCATCATCTACGGGACCAGCATCATCTATGGGACCAGTATCATCCACGGGACCAGCATTTGGAACGAGCACCGACCCATTAAGAATTCTTTCGGATCCAGGTGCGGATGGGATTCCTGGCTACCCCGGTTATGGTCAGTCCGACGACAAAGCAGGTAAAAATAGCAAAGATGGCAAGGATTCGAACAGCAGCAAAGACGGTGACAAGAAGGACAATAACAACGACGCTGCAAACAGCTCATCAGTCTCCACTTCGGACGCTCTCAAATATGCCTTGCCGATCTCTGGCGCGATCGTGGGTATAGCAGCGCTATGGGCGATCATCGCCTTTGTTCGAAGTCGACACCTCAAAGCACCGGTCATCAACGCGATCGGCGTGACGGGCGTCAACGATCCTCGATTTACCGGGCCCTCCTACGGAGCAGGGTTTGCCAGATCGACCACCAACAACGTGGCAGCTTCGGCGTATCAGGATGGCGAGCACGAGCCTGCTAGCGTGTATCGGAATGAGCCGAACATGAACCTGATGATGGGAGGAGGCATCATGTCGGATGCTGGGTTGACCCATTTGCAGCGACAGACGACGGGTGGTTCGAGGGTGTCGCGGAACTCGAGCCGAAGCGTAGCGGATCGATTGCTAGGAACTCAGGGTAAGGGACAGAGATACCAGCAGCTGGATGCGACGCTGGAGGAGGAAGCATATGACGCTCCGATCATCCATCCTCGGGGTGCGAGCGCATATCGAGGCCACGCGTACGAGCAAGCAGCGCAGGAAGCAGCCTACGAAGAAAGCCCTCGCACGTATGCCGATGCGAACAGCTACTACCACACCCCCACGACCAGCCCTGTCAAGAGCAACGCCTATACAGCAAGAGGCTACTACGAGCCAGCATCAGGAGCAGCAGAGACATCCTTCGAAGCATGTCAATTGCAGTCGCCACAACGACGCACTCTGCCGGTCACGCCGTACACACCCAACTACGCCTTTTCGCCGACAGCGCCGCCACGACCGTCGGGAAGAATGTACGACACGCCCAACGTCAACTACTATCCGACACCGATGATGATGCAAAGCGAGGCGTACACACCCGCTGCTCCGCTGGCTTACGGTGCCGCTCCCCACAACTATGCACCTCCGCCGGCGGACGGGTATTACTATGGTGGATACGTTCCCACACCACCGCCGAGACGCCAGTGAGCACCGGCTCTGAGCGCGCTCGAGGCCGACCTCATTGGCGGACAGAGCTTTGTACAATTGTATGAGTATGTTAGCAATATGGACAGTATTTGGCCATTGCGAGTATGTTGCGTGTGCTCGTGTGAGCAGTCAAGAAAGTGTGCCAATTCCAGCTTTGCAGAGTCGGATCTTCCAAACGCGGATGAGTACATGGGGCGGGTAGCGTGTCTCGAGACCAATTCGGAGCTTGAAAGCAAAGACGCAGCAGCAGGGTGGGTCTTATCCGAATGCAACGCCCACACCAGAAGAGCCACATCCGCTATCTGGTCTCAGCTGCGCAGACGGGACCGTCTGGTTTTGACGAGTGGGATAGAGAGGAGTAGTACGATCGCTTGCGTCAAACGCGGGTCGAAGCGCACCACAGCGGGGAACCGCTGGCTCGGGACAAAGAAGCGCTAAGCGCAAGCGAGACAGAAAGGCAAGGATGCGAAAGACACTGAAAGTGACACCAGACAGCATAGATTGAGGAATGCAAAAGCGATCTAGCATCCAACACGAAGCGCCGACCAACATGTGGCTTGAGACGTGCGAGACGTTCGAAAAAAAGGCGGTAAGCGGGATGGAACGAGGCGTCGTTGTTGGCTCGGCTAGAGAAAGGGAAAGCTTAGATTCGATGCAGAGCGTTTCCCCTTTGGATGGATCGCTTGACAGGCATGGGTGCCCAGACACGGTCTTACCTTGTCGTCTCTACAACATATGCGGCTCATGCCGGTAACGATCGCCTTGGACGTATGTCTTTGGCACCGCATCCATGCCACGGATGCGAACAGCGAACAGGCTTCCCGTGGATCGGCTTGAGCACGCCGCATTGTAGCAACACGGCACGCATAGACACAGCTGTCTCACCAAAAAAAAAAGTATCGAGACGGCGCTTGCGAATCAGCGAAAGATTGGGCGCAGCTTCCCCGAGGGTCGGGTAGAAATGAGAAAAGCAACCAAATTGGAGGGAGGAGGGCTCGACAACGACACGAGAGAGGAGTGTGCGTGTGTGTTTGCTCGCTCGCGTTCGTATTCATGCTACCTGCATTCGAGCTCCGACGAGAATGGGCGTGGGATTATACAGGCTGAGAAAGACAGGGGTTGCAAAGCAACTCTTTTATTTGTTGCTTCTCGTTCCTCTTTCGGAGAGCGCCAACCCAAAACAGTCAAGGGCGAAAAGGGTTGTTCGGGGCTCATTTCGCAAAAAGATATCGCGGTTCGTCGGGCCGAGAAACAACAGCCCATGCTCAGTCTATCTCACTCTCTATCAGCGCGAGTGCTTGTGAACGCTGGCTGGAGAATCGAAGGTGGACGTCCTCGATGCATCCAAGTGGCCGTCGAGAATATTGGCGATGGACGAGGTTTGGTACGCTTTTTAATAGTTTTTATCAGAATTTCTTATTTCGCTGGTGGCGGGCTAATGAAACACGCGTGTGTGCCTCGCGGTTCGAGTGCGACTGAAGTGGTGCAGTGGTGCAGCGGTGCAGCGGTGCAGGGTACTGCAAGCATCTCCGGAACAGCGTCGTCTCGGTGTGCCCGTGGGTAACACGCCCACAGCTTTGGTGCCGTTGCTGCTTGTTGCTGCTGCACGCGCTCGGTGCACGTCTGCATAGCAAGGCTGCTTCGCCAGTTACAGTGGATTGAGCTTCCTCCCATATCATTTCATCCTTGCTTGCCCACCGTCGTCGTCTAACGTAGCAGTCTGCCTTGTGTTTGCACCAGCCCGTCCGTGGCTATCTGCATCGGCTGCAAGGCTCTAAGCCACCCTTTTTTAGATCCGTGCCACTTTCTCTCCTGGTACACCATCTTCACCGAGAGATCTGTGCCGATCCTTTCTCTTGCTTCCTTCGCTTACACCGCCTCGACCTGTAGAGCCATACGCTAGCCATCTCTTTACCCGTCCTAAACGCTCCACGCCGCCGGAAGCTTTTCTCTACACCTTCAGCGCTGACCGCTCCACTACTTTCGTGTCATCCATCATCTTTGGCAATACATCGAACCAGCCTTTCGCCCCGTTTTCTCCTCCAACATCGATTCTACAACCCTATCTCGCTCAAGCTTCTCCTTCACACTCACATCTGCCTCGCGTATCCGCACGCCATACTCTGCCTCGGCCTCAACGAAAGCTTGCATCTGTTCGCAAAGTCGAAGAACCCATCCTTTCGTGTTGCACTCCTCGTCGCACCTCACTATCACTACCTCTCTCAACCCACGCTCTCTCTCTCTCCCTCGACTGTGTAGAGCATGCACGAAGAGCCTCTCGACCGATCTCGCGACCTCTGGATTGAGCGAAAACGCAGGTTCGAGCAGGAAGAAGCTGCCAGAAGAGACGATCTCCTCGACGCTCACTATAGATCCAACATCGAAGCTCCTGGCTCAAGCCGTCACAGTCCACCTCGTCAGCCCAATCACGATCCGAGGTACTCTCACCTGCCTCCTTCCAACAGCAATCCTTCCGTCGCTGGCCACGCTTCCAGCCCCCGCTCTCAGCTTCCTCTCCCTTTACACCCGCATCCCGCCGCAGGCGACGCAGCAGCACCGGCTATGCGCGAAGACCCCGCTGCAACAGCGCTCAAGCGCAGAAGGCTCGCAGACGGGCTCGATCGCGAAGATCGACGACGCGATGAACCACCAAGTGGTGCTCGTTCCCCCTCCTTCCGCAGGGCAGACGGCGCTCCCCACTCCGCCCAGCGTTACCTCGACGAGAGAGACGCATACCAAGACGATCTGCGCTCGCCCTTGAACCCTCCTTACGCCACCAGACCCAGCGGCCGTGTCTCGCCTCTCGACAGACCTGTGCACAGTCCGGCTTCCGGCCAGGGCGCTCCGCTTCCGCCCATGCAGGATTCTACGAGGCCCTCCGTCCTCTCAGCCTCGAGTTACGACGACAGCCTCGATCACGGCCCGGGCATGCTCGCTCGCAGGAGAGGCGATGCTGCGCAAGCAAAGGCAAGTCGGCTGCACATTGACACTGGCAACAGCTCCGCTTTCGAAGCCGCTGCTCACCTCAGGTCATCTTCAGGCATCGCAAAAAGTGCTCCTCCCCAAAAGATCTCGTTCGGTCTCGACGGCCGCGACCACCCTCTGCCCCACGATCAGGCACAGCGTGACCCCAGCCTTCGGCCCAACCACGCTCCGATCCAGCCCCATCAGCCTCCCGTGCTACAACGCGGCGAGCAACAGCCGCAGCGTCTCGTCTCTGGCTCTCGTCTCGCAGAATCCACCGACTCGTTCCGTCGTGACGAGCGAGAAGACATGCTCGGTCTTCGCGAAGGCAGAATGCCCGACGTACCTCATACTGCCAATCCGCTCGCTCGTCAAGGCCCTGCCACGCGTTTGCAAGCCGGCGGCCACGTGCCTCAGACAGCAACGCTGCCTTCTCCCGCCTATCACACCACCCAATTTGCGCGCGGTCAACCCAGCGGACGCCAAGCATACAACCCGCCGCCCACCGCTAGGCTGCCCGACCATCTGCGTTCGCCGCCCTCGTCTAAAGCACACTTTCTCTCGTTGTTCTCCGACTTTTACGACTCGCTCTACGACAGCCGTACGCTGAAGGCTACGCTCGAAGACCAGATCAAGCGTTCCAACACGCTGCTCCACACTCTTCAGTCTAGCCGTCGCGTGCTTGAAGAGACGGTAGAGCGTCGCGTCCGCGACGAGCGTGTATTGTGGGAGGGTCGAGTTCGAGGTTTGGAAGCACGCGTCCGCGAATTGGAGGCCAAGACGGGCACTTCCGATTACGACGATGAGCCCATGTCTCGTGCCTCTGATCTGGCTTCCAAGCAGAATTCGATCAGCTCCGCCCCTCTTGCGCCTGATTCGAGTGCCGAGAGGGCCGATGACGGTGCTGCCAAGCCTGCATCGCGCGAACGCTCGCCTGTCGTCAGGAAGCCCGCCTCTGCTGCCAACTCGAACAAGGAAGACGACGAAGGTGATCAGCTGCAGGAGGATTGAACGCATTCTATTTTCGCTCGTTTTGTCTTTGTATGAAAATTTTTATTGCCTTGAGACGGTGTGGAAGAGACATGGTGTTAGCTCACAATGAGATCGTGTGAAAGAGACGTAGCGTTGGCTCACGTTGAGGATTGAACGTGCGGCATACCCCCTAGCGTCGGCTTTGCCCTGTTCTGCCGCGTCTTGGCGGTGAAAATGAGTGAGGAGGAACAGCTGAACATCTGCGTTGGTCGTCGGATCTAGCCCGAACCTGTGACCCGCCACGCGTCGTCGATCACAAAGAAGGTAGTGTAGTAGGAGTCTTCATTCCGCTTTCCAGGTCAAGCGAGCATTCGCTCTTGCGGATCAGGAAATGCGCTACCTCGCCTCCCAAAAAGACATGGTGGATCAGGGACGCGGCCTTCCTGTACAGAATTCTTCACGAGATCAGCAAGAGGTGGCTGCTGCAACTACCGCAGCAAGCGAGGGTGCGTCGGCAGGCATGGAGGCACTTGAAGGTGTCTTGGACTTCAGTACGTTGCGTGATCGCTTTGGACGTAACGGGGTGTCGAATCTCGAGCTTGGTTGATGTCGCGCCGCAACGTCTCGGTGGGATGCCAGCCAACTAAGCGCCAAGCGTTGCCTCTTCTTCCCAATCTCCTCTGGTCTCAACAGCCACAGCTTCTCTCCCATCGCGACTCGTCGGCTCCTCAGGTTCCGCACAAGTCAATGTTCGTCCATCGCCCTTTGACGAGATATGCAGTTCGCCTCTTCCATTGTGCAGTGTCCCGAGACGCCCCAACAGAACGATCGCAAGATTGTCCTGACCTTCGTCAACCTCACTGCGGAACAGGTGCAGCAGCTCAAGACCTCGAAATTCCAATTGCGTCTCTTCTGCACCAGTATGGAGGCGCACGCCGCGTCTTTGTTCGGCCGCAACCCTGCCACCGCTGAGTTTCCCCACACTTGCGAGGCCAGAGTCAACACGCACACGCTCTCCACCAATCTGCGTGGAAGCAAGAAGCAGGCCGGTCGAGTCCCTCCGCCAAACTTGAACAAGGACAACACGCTGGTCCTCCAGGAAGGCCGTCCCAACCGCATCGGTCTCACGTATGCAAACGCGCCTAAACGCTACGTGCTGGTCGCAGCCATCTGCTAGGTCACCACAGTCGAGATGCTCGTTGAGCGAATACAATCAAAGCAATTGAAGAGCAAGAAAGAGGTGCTGCTGAAGATGCGCAGGGAAGCAGAGGACGATGACCTCGAGGCCGGAGCAGCAACCATGAGCCTCAAGTGTCCCTTCAGCTACATGCGCATCGTCACGCAGGAGGCGTGCAGCGCTCCGTGTTCGACAAATCCCCCGTCCCAAGCATCGCACACGATGGATCGCCGCTCAACTCCCCACACTGTCATCGAGTTTTCGGTGCACGCATTGTTAAATGACGTCCGACCAAATCCCCGTCGGGAACAGAATGGAGCACGGACGTTGAAATGGTTCAAACTAACGTGCTGCATCCTTCTCGCGGTCTAGCGTGCAGCTGAACGAGGATCATAGTCGGATGTTTTCAGACGTCGGGATGGTAGTGTGTGAATGCAAGACACCTTGCAACGATTGCAGCTCTGATACGATGTCAGTTGTGACGGGAAAGGGAGGCCTTTTCAACAGACGAAGTCGACGTCGATGTTTGGAAACACGTCAGGCAAGCCCAACGTGCAGCCGGTCGATTGCATGGACAGACTCACAATGCCACCGGCGTTCTCGGACTTGGCCTGCTGATCGGGCGGTTTCGCAGGCGCCAGTATCCGACCAGATACATCGGTCACAAATCCGACACGGGCGTTGAGATGGTTCAACCAGAAAATATCATTCCAAGAGAAAGACAAAGCAGAAGAAAGAGAAAGGATCGCGGGCCGAAAGGAAAGAGAGCCTAAAGAGTGTGTGTCTGAGTGATGTCGAATAGAGGAAGCATTGACGAGAAGAATTTTAGGGGTCAAAGAACGAGCGTGTGAGGGGGATTGTAAGGAAGCGCAGTCTTCCCGGCGTAGGGTGGGGTATCTAGTGCGGAAGACCGGCTGAGTAGGTCTAGAGCTGCATTCGCAAGGGTGTGGGTTCGGCCCGTCTAGACAGAAGGCCTAGACCCAACACTCCACCGCTACCTCCACCGGTGGTGGTCGTGGCAGCCGTGGTTCCGCCGCCACCACCTCCGGTAAGAGTGTTGACGGCACTTGCAGCAGCCTGGGTGAGCGAATTGACGGCGCCGCCAGCAGCCGATGCTCCCTGTGACGCAGCGGAAGCAAGACCCGCCGTGGCCGAAGACACGACACCCGAGACGGCCGAAGCGGCCGCCGAGGCTGGGTTGGTGGTGGAGCTTGCGCTGCTGGCCAGGGATGAGTAACCTGGGCATTGGGCTTGCTGTCGAATCGGGTTGAGGATGCCAATTCCGAGGTTTCCGCCTGCGTCGGCGAGCGTGCACAGCAGACCCTTGCCAGCCGCATCCAGTCCGCCGATCACGTTGCCTTGCGCCAGGTTGCCGAGCACTTGCTGGAGAGTGGATGTGATATCACCACCGGCGCCGAGCAGCGCGCCGATCAAATCGCCGATCGTCTGTACAGGGTTGAGCGGGATCTGCGCAATACCAGTGTCGATCAGGTAGGTCGTGGGGACGTTCAGCTCGTCATACTCGAGGCCAGGTGCCAGGTAGCTGTCGCCAGCAGAAGGACCCAAACGAACGGGGATGTGGTTGTAGATGTCCAAGTTCGAGCCAATGACTGGGAGCGATGCGATGAGACCCTTGGGCAAGGCAACGTTGGGAACCCTTCCGGAAGTGGCTTGACCACCGGCGTTGACACCAAATGGCTGGGGGAAGGTGTACGAGACCGTGGCATCCGCGCTCGATGCATCTCTGGGCTGCGAGCCCGCCTTCTTGGCCGTCGTCTGCAAAGCGACGATGTACAGGTTGGTTTGCAGCTGGTTCTGCGCGGTAAGATCAATCTCCACCAGGGGAGGACCGGCACCGGGAAGGCCGAGCAAGCTCCCCAAACCGGTGATGACTGTCTGCGCCGTCAAGTAGACATTGATGTGTGTGACGATCCTCGAGCCGATACCTTGGAGCGTCGTGGTCAGCTTGATACCGGCGAGGGCAGGTCGCAGCGAATCGTACGGCGTCAAGTTGGTTTGAGGACCCTGCGAACCGTCAATGACAAGCGGAGCCGACTGAGGCGAAGTACCGTCCGACAGCGAAGGCTGAACGTAGCGGTTGAGCAGCAACTGCGCCGTCGTGTCGTTGGCGTTGGCGGGAGCGTAGTAGAAGTACGACTGGACCAAGTTGCTTCCGGGAATGAGGCCGAGCACCGGGATCTCGGCTCGACCCACCACGGTGCCGGAGAAGAGCACGGGCAGGAAGACCTCGTTGGTGAAGACGGTCAAGTTCGAAGGGTTCTCGAGCGTCACCTTGAGTGGCACCCACAGGAAGGCTGCAGTACCACTGCTGACCATGACGTCCGAAAGCGTCGTGACACCGTTGAAGCTGTTGATACCGGCGAGCGAGGTGGTGACGTTGAAAGGAATGCCGCCGATGGGGATGTTGCCGATGACCGTCTTTGCCACGACATCGGTACCACCGCGCAGATCGAACGTTCCACGCGGCGTGTCGGTGAGCTGAGCGAAGAACGCCTGGAAGTTGGGTCGGTCCACGGCAACAATGTTCTGCCTGCGCCACATGAGCTGCAGGGCCTGGAAGTCCTGCGGACCTCGCGAGGTGCCCGCCTGCACGTTGGCCAAGGGCAGATCCAAGTATGCCGTGTCACCACCGGCGTACGACAGGTTGATGTGCGGCGAGGCCTGGATGGGCTGCAAGCTGAACATGAACGGATTGGCAAACGTCGCGATGGTCGAGTTCGAACTCGAAGGCACCGTGTACGAATCGGCCGGGTTTCCGTTGACAAACACGGTAAGATCCGACAGCGTGATCGAGAAGATGATCTGGTAGATCTTGCCGGGAAGCGTGACGTCGATGGTGAGCGTGCGGAAAGCGGCACTGAGCCAGTTGACGGGCTGATTTCCGTTGGCCTGGGTGACAACCGACCTACCCGAGACCTGGAGGATCTGGGTGCGACCCTGCAAGAAGTTGGTGAAGAGAATACCGGTGTTCTGCAGGTCGCGACCCGACTTGGCCGTGATGGAGCCTTCGAGCACCGTGTTGGTGGTGGTGAGCGCCGCAAGGAAGAGGTTGGTCGAGTGGATCGGACCGATGTCGGTACCCATGAAGAAGATCTCAAAGTTGGCGGTGTCCAGCTGGATACCGAGCGTGGCCGGACTGGGGATCGCTGCATCGGTGCGGATGAGCAGCGAGTTGCTGGTCTCTCCGTAGACGTCAAAGTTGCTCGTGGTAACACCGGGCAGGTTGTTGAACGCCAAGAAGTCGATGTTCTTCGAGAGGATGACGTTGCTGTAGATGATCTGCAGCGCGCGTACGGTGACTCTGTTCGACGAGACGGTCCACTGGAATCCAGGGTTGTGCAGAATGTACGTGGCGAAGTCGGTGAAACCGCCGAGGTCGGTGATGGTCAAGTGACCGCTCGTCCTCAGATCGGGCACACCTTCGTTGGCAAATGCACAGATAGGGGGAAGTGTGAGCTGGGCGATGTTTCTGCCCTGCCAGGTGACGGTGAGCGGGCCGGTGAACTCGATGTACGCGTCGAATGGACCGGTGTTGGTGAGCGAACCGGCGAGCGAGACGTCGAAGCCAGTGTTGGTGACACTGGTGATGTTGGCGATGTTGACCTTGAGGATAGCCTGGTCGACAATGTTCTGCACGATTGGCGCACCTGCTGGACCAAGCAGGTAGAGAGCGGTACGATCCGTGTCGGTGGGCACAGGCTGCTGCGCAAAGTTGAGGTTGGTGAAGTAATCGTCGAGCTTGAGGGACGACTGGATATCCAGCCTCGTGGTGAGACCCTGCAACGTACGCAGAATGGCGTCGAGCACGTCGAACTGCCTACCGGAAACACAATTGGGAGGATTGAAGTCAGGGTACGGGCTGATGGTCGTCTGTGTCGAGGCCTGGGCCAACACCTGTGCGAAGAGAGGTGGCAGAGGACCCAGGTCGACCCCCTGTGTGGCAGCAGCCGCCTGGACGAAGCGGATCAGGTTCTTGGGGTCGAGGTCAAAGTTGAACGGCAGGAAGCGCGAAGTGATGGTGGTATGACCGGGAGCGCGGATCGGGTTGTTCGAGACATCCTGATTGATCTCACCGAGGAAGATGCCCTGGTACGAGGCGTCTGCCTTGACCCTGAGCAGGTTGATCGAAGCCGTGAAGGGGTTGCGCAGGTCGAAGTTCGCCTGAGCGATACCGGTCTGGGCGATGTTGGGAGGGATGGTGAGCCTGGCCCTCGTGATCAGCAGCTGCATCAGGGGAGGAATGTCTGCATTGAGGCGGATACCCGAGAGCGCCTGCTTGAGCGACTCGATGGGGGTGGTGTCGCGCGTGCCCTGGATAATCGTGTTCGAGACGATGCCCTGCACGTAGTTCTCGAGCAGCGTCTGACCAGCACGCGTGTTGTCGGCACCCTGCGGCGAGTAGCGCACCTCGGTAGGCACGATGTTGACACCAGGCACGAGCACGAGACCATTGATGACGGCGGTACCAATCTTGCGGTTCAAGTAGTAGACGTCAAACGTGACATCGCCAGTGCCAATCGTGATGTGCGAAGGGTTGAAGAGCGTCGTATCGACATTGATCTGGAGGTACGACGGGTAGCCGTGGAACACGTCCAGATTGGAGACGATGGCGGGACGAGCGTTGAGGTTCTGCAGACCCAACAAGTTCGTGTCGACGTTGAACGGGATGTTGTTGATGGACAGCAGACCGACGGCGGTGCTGGCCTTGGTGTTGGCATTACCGTTCAGGTTGAATGTCACCTGATTGTTCGCTGTGGTGTCAGCAAGGAACTGGGAGAACCTGGAATGCTGGTTGCCGTAGACCGAGAAGGGCACGTTGCTGAACATGAGCGTCAAGATACGCGCTGTGACGTCGGTGATCGATGGCGAGAGCGGGATATCGAGAACGGCCATGTCCTGGTTCTGGTAGTTGGCGATGAAGCCACCACCGACCTGCTGGATATCCAGAGGGAACGCGAAGGGGAGGAAGAACTGCGACTGCGTCTCGTTGGAGCTCGTCGGCGGGTTCCAGGCGGTCTGCGTGGTGAAGAAGAGCGAGATCTGGTTGATCGAGATAGTTCGGATGACGGTGAACTTCTGCGATGGCAGCGAGACCTGAACCGCAAGCGATTTGATACCGTCGTTGAGCCAGCTTACGCTCTCCGGGCCGGCGTAGTCACCTAGTACCATTACCTCCGTGTTAAGGTTAGCAACGAAGCGCGTGAAGATCTCCGAGACGACGGCCAGGCCCTGATCGGAGTTCTGAGGAACCAAGCGACCCACGAGTGGAAGCGTGGTGACCGCAAGCGCCTGCAGCACGAACGTATCCTGGGCGGCCGAGGGACCGATAAAGGTGTTGTTGCGATCCAGGTTGACACCGAAGCGGGAGAGCTGGACACCGACCTGCGAAGGATTGTAGATGGTGGTCGCGGCGGTGAGATGGATACCACCGGCAGGATCGTTGGAGGGCAGATCGAACGAGTTGATGATGACGCTGTCCCTGAGACCGTTGAAGGCGCTTAGGATGACGTTCTTGGAGATGCTGATGTCGTTGACTGCGATGCCCAGAGCTGCAACACTGAGGCCGTCACCAGCAATGTTCCACACGAAACTCTGCTCGGTAAGCAGGTAGCGGGTGAACTCGGTGAGGTATCCGACGTCGGCGACGGCAAAGTCTGCCAGAATCTCGAGCGTGGCACCGACGTCGCCGGCGAGCGAGACGTTGGGCATGGCAATCTGACCGAGAAGTCGGCCGTTCCAGGTGACGTTGAGACCGTTGGTGAAGGCGATGGTGGCATCGAAGGGACCCGAATTGGTGATGGTACCCTGCAAAGCGGTCTGGAATGTGTTCTGCTGAGGATTGAGGATGGTGACTCGGTCGATGTTGAGGATCGAGTTGTCGACAATCTTCTGCACGATGGGACCGGCCAGGACGGGGAGAAGCTTGTTGAGCGTGACATCAGTACCAAGCGGCACGTTCTGCTGCGCGAAGGTGAGCGTGGTAGAGTAGTCACCGATGTTAGCCTGCGAGACAATCTCGAGGTTGGCTGTGGCCGACTGGAAGGCGCGGGAGACGTAGGTGGGCAGATCGAAGCCAGTGTAGAGGTTGGCACGCTTGGTGAGCTTGCCGGCCTCCTCGATCGCGCTGGGCTCATCGCGCTCGGCCCAATCAGCAACATGGGCGAGCGTCTCGGCGTTGTTGACCCCATCCATCATGGCGTGAGCCAGCTCGTTGTCCTCTTCGTAGTCGTAGCTAGCCTCGGCGTCTTCCGAGCTGAGCGAACGGCGCGTATTAGCCGAGGTGGTGGGCGATAGGGTGTAGCCACCGAGCTGAACAACACCATCGATGTAGGCCGGGTTCTGACCGCTCTGCACGGCAAGCGCACGCACGAGCGCAAAGATGTCGGGTGGATAGAGGTTGAGGCCGAGCGAGATTGGCGGGGACTGGGTGACAGCGCGACCTTGCGCAACAAAGTTGAGCGGCGTGTCGATGCTGGCCACAAAGATGCCGTGCGAGGTGACGTTGGAGCGAATGCGCGTGATGGTCAGCGGCGCAGTGAAGGGGTTGTTGAGGAAGACGGTCGAGTCGGCAAGGTTGTTGGTGATGCCGGTGGTGTCCAAAACAGTCAGATTAGCCGAGCGCACGAGCGTCGTCTTGAGGCCGGGCAACGTGGCGTTGAGGCGAAGCCGCGAAAGGGCAGGAAGCAACGACTGCACGTTGGTGGAGCCTTGGTAACCGTTGATGCCCAATTGGGTGTCCTGACCCGAGATGAAGCGGTTGAGCGTTTCGAGACCGTAAGGGCTCGCGTTGGCGTCAAAGGTCGAGGTGGCGTTGACGTCGTTCCTGCCAACCATCAAGTCGAGGCCGGGGATGGTGACGGTGCCGAGAACATCTCGGTTGACGAGCTGGAAAGAGCTGTCGCCGACGGTCAGGTTCAAGTTGGAAGGGTTTACGAGCGTCGTTCCCACCGCAAGACTGATACCGTCTCGAGTACCGCCGGTGACATCGACGCTCGTGATGAGCGTAGGGTAGGCATTGAGACCCTGGAGACCCAAGAGACCGCTGTCGACGTCGAAGATGATGCCGTTGAGCAGCACACGACCAAGGGGAGTGTCGGTGACGGCCTTGGCGGCGCCCTGCAGACGGATACCCGTTCCGCTGCTGAAGGTAAAGTACTCCTGGAAGTCCTCGAGCTCTTTGCGACCAGCGGCGGTGTTGTTGGCGAGCGTCAGCGTGGAAGGGGGGAGCGTGAGGTCGAGCGTACCTGCCGTCTGGCCAGCGCTGACGAGCGAGAGCGTCGTACTGGTGTTTGAGTAGGCCGAGTTGATGGTGGCCACCTGAGCACCGTCGAACAGGATGGTAAAGGTGGTGGCCGTGTTGACAATCGATAACGAGAAACCGAAGGGCAGGCCAAGCGTCGCCGAAAGCGCACTCGAGTAGGCTGTGGGACTGTAAGCGGTCTGGGGTGTGTAGAGGAGGGCGAGCGTGCCGATGCTGATGCCCTTAATCGGGTTGATGGGCTGGGGCGCCTTGAGCGGTACAGCGAGCTCGAGAGCTGTGATACCGCTGCTGAGCCAGCCAACATACTGGCCATCGGCCTGCTGGACGGAGACACCGCGCGCCTGTGTAGGCAACGTCTCGCCGTTGATGTAGCCGGTGAAGAGCTGTCCGAGCAAGTCGAGCTCTGTGGCATTGTCGGTATGGGGAACGAGCCGACCGTTGAGCGTGATGACGTTTCGACCTGCGGAGACGTTCAGATTGGTGGTCGAAGCAGGACCGAGGTACATGCCCTGGTAGTACAGGCCGAGGTTGAGCGTGCCGAGCTGGACACCGAAAGGCGAAGGGTTGACGAGTGAAGTCGTGACCGAAAGGGTAACACCACCGGCAGGGTCATTGCCAGGAAGCTGGAAGTCGAGGATCTCGACGTCTTCGAAGTTGTTGAAACCTTTGATGATGATGTGCTTGTTGAAGACGAGGTTCTTGTAGGTGGGCAAGAACGAGAAGGCCTCGACATGGACGCTAGAGCAATTGAGCTTCCATGTGAACTCGGGTTGAGAGATGAGGAACTTGGCAAACTCGCTGAAGCCATCGACATCGTGGATTTCAAAGTTGGTGGCCTGGATGCGGAAAGGAGGGAGGAGAGTCAGTGTCGGCCGATCCGGGCAGGAAAGAGACTAATGGAGAGGGAGAAGGAGAATACGTACCTGCTTGATGCGTGCGTGGCCTGCAGCGGCACCAATGTAGTCGAGACGGAATTGACCGAGGTTCACTTCGGTCAAAGTCTCCGGCGAGGCGACCTGACCTGACTGAGGTGGGAGGACCCAATAGACCTGGACAGGCTCACGGAAGTAGAGGTGGGCGGGGAAGATGCCGACCTTCTTGGTCTGACCTTCGAGGGTGAGCGGGAACGAGGTGTTGCCGGGCGAGGTGATGTTGGACTCGTAGACGTGAAGCACAGCCGTGTGGAGAGCATGGTTGGCGACGGCGTAGAGGACGGGTAGGAGGGTGATGGCAAGGGTGACGAGGAGGACACCAGGGGCGAGGAAGAGACAGCAGAAGCCGAGCTTTCTGGAAAAGTACTTCTTCTCGTAAGGACTGCCGCGAGCGCGGATGAAACCGATGGGTTGACCGGGCTGGTAAAAGCCAGCGGCGGCGGGAGTGTCGGAATCGACGCTCTGAGCAGCAGAGCGTCGACGCAGATTCTCGCGGGAGCCGTAGCCGTCGTCCGCCATGTTGAGGAGACTCAGCTCCCTATACGGGATGCGTGGGTATGGGTGAGGAGGGTGCTGATGCGCGAGGCTGGTCGAAAGATAGACAGAACCAGAGGGGAGGTGATGATGACCAGATCGATCGCTTCGAGAGAGTGCTCTGTGCTCGGTGACCGGTGTCGACGATGCGGAGAAATGGCCGTGTCGAGAAAATCGATGCTAACGGATCAAAGGTAGCGTCCAGGAAGCGTGCCGAGCGGTGGGTGGATCACAGAGACGTGCTGATGAAGAATTGTGCTCTACACGATCGAAACGTTGGATCGGCTGTGTCTAAGGAGACAAGTCTTACAGGCACACGATTACAGAAGCCGAGGAGAAGGATAAGGAGGAGTGTCGATGACGACCGTGTCGGGAGGGTCGATAGTGATGATGATGATGGTAGTGGTGATAGGTGGTGACAGTGATGGTGACGACGAGGTGAAACGCAGACCAGAATGGGGAGGGTGAGAGAGGTGAGATGGTGGCGCACGACGACAGCAGCGGCGGACTGCGAATAGGGCGTTGACAGTCTCAAGAGTGCAACGCTCCAACGAGGAAACCGGAAGGGGAAAATCTCAAAAGCCACTTGGGAGCAAGAGTGGATCCGGGGTCGCAGACTGTCGAGGGATGGGGTACGGCAGTTGGACAGGCAGTTGGAAAGAGAGAGGCTTTTGCGAATTCGAACCCCGTCGTTGAGGGCTGGGCTGCACTGCCGCCACAGAACCAGAAAAGACATCATCAGACGAGGGACGAGGTGAAATGGAGAGAGACGCATCGAGAGGGGTTGGAGCCGAGCAGGGATCGCACAGTCGTGCAGTAGCCAGGTAGAGCCATCACGGCCTAGGCTCTTTTCCCATAAGGGCAAGAAGAAAGAAGGGCCCAAACCAGCCGGGGCAGCGAGACAGCGGAGTAACTCAGGCGAGGCGAGACGAGGCGAGGGCGATCCCTCTGGCGGGTTTCATGGGAGTCGCAGCAGTGCGATGCAGAAGGTGCAGTAGCGAAGGGCAGGGCGCGCGACATTGCAGAAAACGGGCAAACTCACGAAAGGCGTCGATGGAGTCGTACAACGGCGGCTAAAATCACAGGCAGACTCACACAGGCACAGACCGTAGAAAAATGCAAGTGGAACAAGGAAAAGAAAAAAGGCTGATGATTGGCGGGCGCGGATGGAGGTGTTGCAGCAAAGAGGAGGGGCCGGAAGTTAGGAGAAAGCATGGGGAAACCAGGAGATTTCGTTCGAGATTGCAGGCATCACCGCTTCAGTGTTTGCAGGCGTTTGCGGTTACAGACGGCAGCGGCGGTTGAGACAAGAGACGAATCAGAAGCCAGTCACTGGATGCGTTTCACGAAAAGTAGCAAGACAGCCGGCGTGGCGGCTTGTGCGGAGGATGAGCGAGCCTCGAGCGGAGTCGAAATCAAAATTAGAATAAAATCACGGAGCAAGTCGTCACTTTGTTGATTCACGACAGCGCTAAGCCGGCTCAAGCAAAAGACGGATGAGGGATCAAGTTCGCATGCCAATTTTCTGAGTTCATTCCATCTTCTCCCTTACTCCCAATAGTCAGCACCGCCTGCCCCCTTTTGTTTGTACTCTGGCCCATTTCACTCGCATGCGACCCAAACAGAGCTCAATTTCGGATGCCGCCGTCCGTGACTGCTTCAGAGAACAGAGAGCCGCCCATTACACACCCCTTCGCAGTGGGTCAACTTCGAGCTGAACCCAATTCTCTCGAGTTGGTTCGATGCAGTCTTGTCTCTCTCGAATCCAGTTTTGGCCTGCATGACATGGAACCACGTATTATTTTAGCTTCAAACTGGAGCGAGACCGCATGTGCAAAGGTCGAATGTTCTGCGCAGTCCTTAGAGTGTGAAAGGAGCCGGTCCAATCCTGCCAGGGCATCGAGGTTGCGACGAGCTCGCCTCGCTTGTCAGAGATGTGCATGCAGCGATTCGTCGACGAGACGAGAAAATAGGAACAAGGAAATCTTCAGAGTGCGGGGCAACCAGTTGGCGTCGTCGTGCAGCTGCCTAGAGGACTCAAGCCGCGTTTGTCGACTGCTCCAATGCAGTGCTTCAATTGTTGTATGCGCAAGCGGCTTTACGCGAGAACGGTCGGGGCGCCAGACAAATTCAAATCGCGATTCTAGAGGATCGACATGACAGCACCTCTGCTCAAGTGCCATGTGTTGCAAGCCAGATCGGTGGGCAGTCCACGCTGAGGTTGAAATTTGGCCTCGCTGCACGCCCGTCACGCTGCATGCGCCAGCCCTGCCATGAGTCAAGTTGGGATTTCAGTCTGGCACCATGGTGGGGTCGGCTGTCGTCTTCGTCGTCGTCGTCGTGGCGAGTCTTTCGCTGCTCACCTATATTGGCTTCTGTGTCGTGGAGAGGCTGATCTTGGAGAGTTCAGGAACTCGATCTCAATATCCAGCTCGCGGCGAGGCGGCATTGCGAGATCCTATTTCAGGGCCTCGCTTGGAAATCGGTTGCCTAAAAGGCAGGAATCTTGGACGAGCCACAGGCATCAGCCTCTGTCGCAAATATCGATCTGCACTTTTGGACCTTAGTCGGAAACACTATTCCTTACCCTGTAGCTGATTCCCAGATCCTTGTTTCGTCTCCATCGTTTCAAAGAGAACGGGTTCAAATAGAGGCTGTGTGTGGGGATAGGATATGAGACATCTGGGCTTGTCTTCAATGCACACCTACACCCTCGCTTAGCATGGATCGGCCTCCGAAACTGCGCCCAGAACTTGATCAAAAAGAAAAACGGCAAGTATCGTACGCCTCATTCCTTTTCGACAAGCAAGGTCGCCCTCAACTTTGCCCCGCAAAAAGAAAAAAGAGCTCAATTTGCTTGAGGTAACCCGTCGTCGCCAACGACCGCATCTGCCGCCGTAACATGAGACGCCCCATCCAGGAGCCCCGCTTTGCAAGAACACAGTTTGTTCATTGGCCGCAGCAAACAACATTGAGTGGCGTACGTACTGTATTTGGTTCATGATCAGGTGGTCTCTGCAGCCAAGTTCGTCGTGTCCTGCACCAAACTTTTCATTCTCCGCCACGTTTCACGTCCCTCACTCTCCTTCCCTTCGATTGTCTACCGTGCAGGGAACGCAGTCATGCCGAATGCAGATAGCCCCTCCAGCGAAACCACGCGATTGAAACCTATTCTCATGAGCAAAGGTAGAGGTATCTCCGCATCTCTATGCTCCCTTTGGTGACAGGATCGACAGGCACATGACCTACTTCCAGGCTTTCTCCCCGGTAGTGCGGGCAGCTTCGGGCATTGTTCATTGCGGCCTTGTGAGTGCAATCCACGTTGGCGGCTGAACCTTATTTGTGGGGCTCCTCAAACGCGTGGCAGCCAGACATCCACCTCTTGAATTGAGCGCTTCCAATCCTCGCTGAAATCCCTGAATTGCAATGCATTGAGACACGACGCCGATAGACAGATACAAGCAAACAATGTCAAACGGAACATTCCTAATCGCGCTTGCCGAGCATGAAAGCGCCCTTGACAGGAAGGTTGCGCAGCTGCAACGCACCCAGACCTGAGTTCCAGATCTTGGCACGGCTGGTACCTTCGATGCCCACCATAGCTCCTTGGCCTGTCACCAACTTCCACGTGAACGATCGGAAAATGGGTCCTCGTCCCGGCAGCACCGTGAACGGTACGTCCTTGAGCACCGCTCGAAGCAGCTTGCGCTCCCCTTTCGGATCTGTGGGGTCGATGAACGTCTCGGCGGGGGAAAAGTCGTACGGTCGTACGCGTCCAAATGCTTTCTCTGGCAGCGGATCGGGCAGAGGAGGTGCAGGCTCCGGCTCAGGCTCCGGCTCAGGCTTCTTGGGGTCGTCCTTAGAGGTGACGTGCTGGTCTTCGCCATCCTCGGCCGATATGTCGAGGAACGCGAGTCGCTTGAGGCTGTCCAGCGCACCATCGAGCATGTTGAATTGACTCATCGGTCGACTCGAACCCATCTCGATGCTCTTGCGCATGCTCGGTGGTAGACCGTCGTACACCAGAATGTCGGGCCACATGTGCGTGATCTTGACGTCGATGCTGCTCAGCTCGCCAGGCATGTTGATCTCGCCCAGAACAGTGCCGCTGCAAAGAAGCTTGTCCTTCTCAAATGGGTGCGGCGTGATCTTGAGATCGTTGATCGTCACGTTTTTGATTAGCTCGGTCACCTCGGCACCAGGGAACGAGATGGGCAAGTCAACCAAGCGCAGCGCAGAATCCATCCAGTCGGGCAGATCCGAACCTTGGCCAGGAAGCTGCTCCACTGCTGCAGAAACAGACGGCTCGGATCCGTTGACGCGGCTGGCACTCTTTGGCTCACGGAATGGCGATCCGCCACGCACGTAGACTGTGTTGGCTTCACCCCGCAAGAAGCGGCTCAAGAAGTTGCTAAGTGCAGCCTGTTGAGGCGAGTCGCCAAATGCAGCGCTTTGCGCATCACCTTCCTGCGAGGCATACTCGAAGGTCGAATCGCTAGCAGCTTCGAGCGAGAGTTGGTCTGTCGGAAGATGGCCGATAACACGCAAGCTTCCCTCGTCTTGAGGCGGCGGCACGACACGACCAATGATGTCAACGTCGACCACCTTTTGTCCCGTCAGCTGGAAAGGCTCCGTGGCAACAGCAGCCATCAGGACGGCAGCATCGGGCTGATCTTCGGAGTCGTCTTCTGCCAAGTCCTTGCCATGCTTGGGATGTTTGGGTGCTGATGGCGAGGTACCGTCGACAGGCAAATAGATTCCGAAGGGCAGACTGTATCGCACGTTGCCTTGGAGGACTTTGCCAAGAGGGTTCATCGCCTGTGCCTTGGCCCTGAGACCCAGTGCACGCATGACCATCGACTTGAAGAAGCCATGCTTGCCGTCTTTACCACTGTCGTCGTCGTCGTTGCCGATCTCAAAGAACTCGTAGCCGTCCACCTTGAGTAAATCGTCTGGATTGGTGTCGTTGTCCAACTTGGGCACCTTTTCGCGAATGGGACTTCGGATGCGATGCTGAGCAATATCGATGCGACGAGGAACGTCAAAGTAGCCCGCTTTTCGTCCGCGGTTGATGCCGTGGATCTCTGATTTGGCGAGCCCACGGACGCGGAGGCTGGCAATCTTGACATCAAGCTGAGCGAAGCCTTTTTTGATGGCGTGCTGGGCGTAGTCCAGAATGTAGGGGGCAGGCACGACTGGCTTGAGCAGCAGCGTCAGATTGAGCGGACTCATGTTGTGCCGCGCTGCCGGTGTGCTGTGGTTGCCGAGGATGGGAGGGCGGAGAGCGTCGGCGTCATCATCGTCGCCATCGACCTTGCGATTGAGAGGAGGCAGAGGCAACACAAGTGGATCGATGTGGAAGCCGAGCATATCGCGCGGATCGAATGCGTTGGAGCTCAAGCTGGTGGATGGAAGCGCCTGCTGGTCCCAGGAGGCGCCGATCTCGGAGAGACGAACCTCGCCGACGTCAACTTGGACGCCAGCGACTTTGCCTACGGCCCACTCGACGAGTTTACGCTCCTTGTTCTTCCACCAACCTTGATGGCCGCGCGGGCCAAGCCAAAGATCCAACGCATGATCTGGATCGAGACCGAGGCGGGCATCAACGCGCACAAGGATGCCTTCATCGGAAATGTTGAGCAGCTGTAGACGGTCAGGCCCTTTGAGCAAGAGGGATTCGTCGAGGATGCGGGACTGAGCTTCTGGCGATGGAGTCTTGAGCGTCGCAGCGTATAGATGAGACACTGCCACGACGATAAGGACGAGCAGGATGAGAAGAAGCGATGCGATTGCGTAGATCGAGCGCATAATGAAGGGGTGCTCTTGTCTCCAAGCGGCGAACGAGGCGGCTGACGAGGTATGGATCGAGTTCCTGCGAGCGACCGATGCACAAGCGGTGGCTCTTCGTTGTTTGCGACGACGCGCAAGCTTTGCAGAATACGCCTTGTCGCCGCCCCAGAGCTTGGACATGTTGAGCCAGGCACGATCTAGCGGACCGATGGCGTTGGCGCCACCGTGACGTGCGGAACCTCCCAACAGCGAGCTGCGTTCATGATCGCCCTGGCCGGGAGGGAGACCAGTCTCGAGCGCTTCATCGTCAACATCGGCATCGAGACCCTCAGCTTCAGCGTCGCTATCGGGATAGATCGGTTTCCTGCCGTGTCGCAGAGGCTGCTGCGAGGATGAGATGCGTCTTTCGAGAGGAGGAGCCGAGCCGGCGTCGTTGGATGGCCTGGGAGTGGAGGGTTCAGTCGTCGCTGCCCCATCCGTATGGGACGTCGCTGAGCCTGCCTTGTTCGTTTCTTCCGCCATGGTTGCACGCTGGCTGCTGTCAAAGCCCAACCGACGATTACGACGCTGAAGAGGCTATGTGGACGAGGGGGTAATGCAGAGCCTCTGATATCTTGTGGAGTGACGAGGTTGGATGGCTGGAGCGGTCACTGCTTTGAAGCTGGCTCTGTAGGCTGCTCACTTAGTGGAGAGAGGCACACGAGCAGTCACAATCCGGTCGTCGCCAGAAATTAGGCTTGGCAGCTGCAAAGCAGTCAAACCCACGAAAGGGGTCCGATTTTACGCCTTGGCTCTGCAGCAGCTCAGCCTGGATGCGTGTGGGGGAGGGGGAATCAGCGCAGAGAGATACAGTGACTGAGCGTCCCATCGATCGGGTCGAGATCGGTGATGGCTCGATCGGATGCGCTGCTCGTGTCCAGCCTTCGCTCGACCTGTGCATGGATACAGATCGAGCTTCTCAGCTGAACCATACGCATCTATGGGCTTGCCTTCCTCGAGAAGCGGGCATTGTGCTGCGTTGATGTCCATCCAAACCAGTCAGGTCGGTCGATGGCGCCAAGCGAAATTGGCCGTTTCCGGCGTATTTCGCGGCTAGCATCACAATTCGCACAGACAAGGAAGACCCTTCGGAAGATCGTATGCCGGTCTCCTGCGTGACTCGCATCATTAAGCTCGACTGCATCGCACAAGCAGAGCCTCGTACTTTGGCCCGTCACCTACGAACTCTTGCTTCAATCGAACGATTGGCCACTCGACTCGATCTTCATAGCCGCCATGCTGGCACTGCCAATACCTTCGGAAACGAGATTCGTGCGCACCTTGTATGATGTTGATCGTACAAGACCTTCGCCGTTTGGGTGGAAGCGATGCACCAAGAAACCTCGTCGCTACATTCGAAGGATGGGGCTCGTTGAGTCTTTCTTCAACACCATGGCAACGCTGCACGAAGGACGAACCGACATCTTCTACCGCCTGCCTCTGAGCTGTTCTGCTCGCGTCTACGAACAGCTCACCCATCGTTTGCCGCTCGTCTGGGCGTTGATGTGCCGTCGGCATCCTCTCCTCAGCGCTCACGTCGACACCTTGACACCTGACGGTACCTCTCTGGACCCACAAGAGGCAGCGACAAGACGGCATACTGGCGAAGCAGCAGAAGACGGCTCGAGCTCCTTCGAGCCTCATTTCGTTTTTGACATGCCCGCATCTGCATCCGACTTGCTCGAACAAGCAACACAGCGACTCGTATGGCTTCCGGAAGCATGGCAAAAGGACTTACAGTCACCTTCAGGTACTAGTGCCACCGAATTGTCCGGCGATGATGCAGTTGTCACGTGGCTCGACACCTTTGTTTGGAACGGCAAGCGACGATTCCTCAGTCAATACTCTCCATTCGGCTTGGCCAGGCTCATCCTTCTTCCGCCATCGTTTTCCAGCAGAAGCGGAGACCAGGTCCACTTTGATTTGATACTGTGTACTGCTCATTGCATCTCAGATGGTCTCAGCATCTCGAGCCTTGCCGGCGAGCTGTTGCAGGTTCTCGCTTCTCCACAGTTGCCCGTGGACCTACCTCCACTCGTGACAGAGGCAGATGCTTCGGCAGATGTGACGGAAGCATCTCGAGCTAGGTACGAATCGGTCAGCGACGACATCAAGCAATGTCTGCTGAGCGGCCTCTTTGACTCTGCTCAGCCGAGAGCACAGGATAGAGGCGATGACGGGCTCCAAGAAGCTCACTTTGCGGCGCTTCTCCCCCCTTCGATAGAAGCTACGTATCCCGAGCTGTTACCTGTACAGTCTCAATCATCAGCGCAAGATTCTTCTCTTCCCAGCTCCCGACTTGCGAAGCTGCGTTGGTTCTGGACCATTCGGCGCGTCATCCGCCAGATCCGGGCAGCTGAAGCCGAGAAGGCAATTCTCTCAGACTTCAAAGCAAACCGCTCCGTCAAGGATGTCGAGGAGCCGTGGTGGGGAGCCCAGACCAGATGGTCGGTGGTGCGTCTATCAACCGAGGATACATCTGCCCTGACGCAGTTTTCCAAGCGAAAGGGGGTCAGAGTCGGTTCGCTGCTTTACGCTGTGGCAGCTTGTGCGCTCAACACGCTCGAGAACAAGCACATGCCTCCCGGCAGTCGCCCCGAGCAGCCAACAGCCACGGTGATGGGCTTTCCCTTCTCCGTGCGAAGGTTCCTCGACGCTCGTGCGGCCGTGGACACATTGCAACCTGTCGACGCTCAGGATCCGTTGATGGACCCCTCGAGTCTCGGAGTGAAGCTTGGCTTCAACGGCGTCTCGCTTCCACCTGCAGACGTGTTTTCTCTGCCAGAAATGCCGTCGACCAATGCTGTACGGCTGAGCGCGTTTCAGGCCGCCCAGTTGTGGCAGACGGCCCGACAAGTGCAAAGGCAGTTCAACAGCATCTTTCAGGAGCCTCGCTTCATGCACGCAGATGGGTTTTTGACGGGTCTCGAACGTGAGACGCGCTTCCGTCGAAACGGTGTAAAGGACGTCTTTGAGGTGTTCAAGGATGATGACGAGGCCGAGGAGGTGGCGGGTCAGGACGAGCGTCGGCCAGGTCTGACCAAGAAGAATATGCAGGGCCCTGGGTCTTCTCTCAACTTCAGTATGGTCGGGCTGCTGGATCCTGTGCTACCATCACAGCTTACGTTGCCTTTTGCGGGGCCGCAAAGCGAGGGTGCTGCAACCCTCCAAGTGCGCGAGAACCTGATGTTTGGCGTTCGGACCAGAGCAGGCGAAGCATTCGGAACATCGTTCACTTTCCGCGGACAGCTCAATCTGGAACTTGGTCATGATACAGTGGTATGGGATACGGTAAAGATAGAAGAGTATCTGGCATTGATGAAGGGCATCATCGAGGCGCTTGTCGCCTTTGAACAGGGTCGTTGACGTTGACGATGATCATGGCGACTCGAATTCTTCTAGAAATGTGATTTTTGAAAGGTGTAACATCTTGACTCGCCCCAAAATTTGGCTGATCGGTCCGTGCGATTGGAAATGAGCAGAGTGGAGCTGACGAGCGCCTTTTCGAGAAACGCAACCAACTGACGCGGCTTGCGCCATGGCCATTGGACACTTTGCATCTCCAACACCATCTCCGCTCTTGCCATCGTCGTCCATTCTCGTTTACCAACATCGACGACGTGTTGCAAGTCTCGTATCACTGGACCTTTTCCATCGCTCGTTACACTCGGCATACACTCCCAGCAACCATGTCGCTCTTTGGAACCTTCCCCGGCTCATCACGCGGGCCAGCGCATACGGCGGCGCCCAAGGACCACGTTGTCGGTCACCAGTTCTCACCATACGACTCGAACGGTGGCAGTATCGCTGCTGTCTGCGGTACCGACTTCTGCGTCATCGCCTCCGACACTCGTCAAAGCACCGGCTACAACATTCAAACTCGCTACAAGCCCAAGGTGTTCCGACTGAACGACAAGGCGACGCTCGCCACCAACGGGTTTGCCGCCGATGCGGAGGCGCTCGTGTCGCACGTTCGTCAGAGGCTCGAAATGTATCGTCACGCGCACGGACGATCCATGCCTCTGCACTCGATCGCACGCATGATCTCCACCATTCTCTACGGCAAGCGTTTCTTCCCGTACTACGTGTACAACATCCTCGGCGGCTTGGACGAGGAGGGCAAAGGCGCCGTCTACTCCTTCGACCCCGTCGGAAGTTACGAGAGGGAATTCTGTAGAGCTGCAGGTGCCGCACAGTCGCTCATCCAGCCGTTCTTCGACAACCAGATCATGTTCAGGAACCAAACTTCCACCCCGGAGAGGACAGTCCCCACACCAGGTCAGATGACCTTGCCCGAGGTGTTGAAGATCGTAGTCGACTCGTTCACTTCGGCTACAGAGAGGCATATCGAGGTGGGCGATGGGTTGGAAGTGTTTGTCGTTCGTACGCCTGTCGAGGCAGGGGCACAGGGAGGCGAGGCGAAGGGCGCCGCTGCGGTGGATCTGAACAGTTTGCCATCGGATGTACCTTTCAGCGTGGCCGAGGCTGTAGGCGGAGAGGACGAGCAGCAGGAGGGTGCTGTCATGGTCATTAGGCGCGAGCTCAAGAAGGATTAGGCACTCATTGTGTAGCGGGCTCGTGTCGGTCTTAATCGTGAAGTCATTCTTTATGATCAGACAGTTTGTGATTGCTCGTGCGTCGACGCTTTGAAGGTGAAGTGTGTATTGAACTTCAGACAGCTTTCTAGAGCGCTTCCTCATGTCCTCCGTGCTCCTCGTCCACTGAAGCGACCGGCAAGCTAGGCTGGACGATAAACGCATCCGCCAAACCAGCTACGGGCTTCAACAGTCCAGCCTGGACCCAGAACTCGAGCGCATCCCTTGCGTCCTTCTCCCTCTGCAGGTTGAGCTCCTCCATCACGTCTGTCAGCGTGACGACGTTGGCGCCGCCCGCAGATGCAGCGTCGGCAGCGTTCGCGGTTCGACCCTTGCACCTCGAGATCACTTCGAGCGTGGACGCCTGGATCAAGCTGCACTCGACCGAGATGTTTTCACCCGAGTCGAGCTCGACGTCGAGTTCGACGGTTCCGAGGTGGTTCAACCAGTGCAGTTTGCGCATCGCTTTGGTCTGGCAGAACGTCTTACCGTATTCTTCCTGGGCGTGACGGAACAGCGGTGGGAGAGTGAATTCTGCTACGCTGCCGGGTGTTCCGGCGGGGGCACCTGCGCCACCAGCGACAGCGGTCGCAGCGTTCGGTCCGGCGGCTGCACCGGTACCCGGCTTGATCGTGGGTTCCGGCCAGAACTGACGAGAGACGATCAACGGGTGCAATTTCGAGATCATCCCTTCCACCGCAGATGTCGACGGCGCCGGAACCGCAGCCTGCCTCCTCCGTTGATGCACCTCGCTATCGACGCGTCTCGACTCGGTGACGTCTCCGAGCATGACATCGCACTTGCCCATGTTCTTCTCTCCGAATCGCTTCTTGAGGATCATGTTGTTGCGATACTCTTTCATCGCTTTGTATCCTTTCACCTGCACCAGCTGGTCCGCCATGCTCTTTTCGAGTGCGGCGATGAATCCGCTGCGATCGTCAAAGATGCTCGTGAGCATCGAGATGATGTCCTTGGACGTCGACATGCGGTATCCGCTGCCTGCTTCGACCGGTTTAGGCACCCAGCTCGGATCGTCCCAATCCTCCTCGGAGGATGCATCGCTGTCGGAAGCGTAAGAGCTGCTTGCAGCACGTCTTGGATGTGCACCTCGACGCTTGTGGCTACGCTTGCCACCATTTGTTCCAGCAGAAGCAGCAGCGTGCGTTTGAAGCGATCGTCGAGGTCGACGTTTCCGTTTTGTCTCCACTTGCTCTTCCTGTTGTTGTTCTTCTTGATCCGCGCGTTCTAATTCGTCCTTGAGCAGCGTGAAATCCGGATCGTCTCCCAACATGGACGCTACGATCACCAACACTGTATCCTTCCTCGCGCGCAGATACCTCCGCAAGGGCGAAACAACACGCGATAGGACCACGCCTGTCGGATCCATCTCCCTCAACGAGCGAACGAGATGGACGTACATCTGAATGATGTCGCGAGTATGGGCACCTGGATGCAAGAGTCGCATGTGGAGAGACTCGGAGAACGTCTTGGCGACTCTCAGCCTCTGATCTGCGTTTTGCAGACTCAGCCGCAGGTCCTCCAGCGCCGCCGATGACTCGGGGTACAAGGCAACCAGGTCGAACAGCTGCCCTGCGCGGGTAAGGCATAGCGCTTTGTCCAGTTGGTAGTCGAGTCGGCTCTTCCAAGCGTCCTCGTCTGCGCTTTCGGTGTCCACGACCTTTTGTTTCGCCTCCGGAAAAGCGTCATCGGCTCGCAAGCACTGTCGAATGGCAGCAAAGCGTGGCTTTACCTCATCGTCGAGCCACTGCTGCAGCACGGGTCGAGCAGCAGATTCGAGCGGTAGTACAGAGTCCTGCGGTCGTACGTCGGCAGCATCAACCACGGCGCGAACTTTGCGCGTGATCTCGCAATGCATGACCCGAGTGAGCAGGATCATGGCTGGCGTGGCAAGACCCGCAATGTTGAGGTGGGCCACGAATGTTGTTGGCAGGTCCAGGTGTTCGGGGTCGACCACGAGCTGCTCGAGATGGGAGCGGAGCGATTCAGCAGCAGTATGATCGAACAGGGAGCGTATGTATGCTTGCAGTGATTGGCTGAGTCGATTGCGGTCATCAGAGGTGCCGGAAAAGATGGATGTGTCGGCATAGGGGGAGAGCCAGGCTCGGAACCACAGGGACAGTTTGAGCAGCGCTCCTGGCAGATCGTCGCTCAGCGCCGAACACGATGCTCGACTAGCATCTCGAATGGTCAAGCCATATTCGTATGCCATTTCTTGAAGCTTTTCGAGACACCGATCAACATAGTGATGAGATAGAGCGAAGAGGGCAGGATTTGGCGAAGAAAGGTCGATCTTTGAGCTAGATGGCATCGACGCACCGCTGCCGAGAAGAGCATGCAGTGCATCGCTGGCTTCCGTATCCAGCTTGAAGACCTCTGTCTTCTCGTCGAAGAAGCGGCATTCTGATGGCGCTGCTGGCTCGAAGTACTGCGTCAAGAGAGTGTACGCATTTGATGATGGGAGTGGACCCGAGGCTGCATTGTGTACAGATTGGTGGTCATGCGCGGCAGTCAAGCTGTCCAGTGCTTGCTGCCACGCTTGCGTGAGCGACATTGCAGCCGAATCAACGACGCCGCTCGGGATGATAATGGGTATCGTGAGGCAGAGGTGGACGAGGGTACGAGGGTGTTGGTGTCACGAGCTCGAGAACAACACTTCCAACACGAGTCGCTCAGCCTGGATCGGGTGGGACGCGACTCAGAGACGCAGGATCGTGGCGCAATCGGGCCCGATAGAAAGATGAGAAGGAAGATTTCGAACAAACTTGCTCCACAATACTTTCTGCATCATCATCGACAACGACGACGATCACTACCACTTCAGTTCACCAGAGTCGCAAGGATGGTGAGTATAGATACATGCTGCTGACGTGGCAAGCGTAGCTGTCAAATGTCATGACTGACGACGTCTCGCTTTGTCTCCCACTTCGCACTCCCTACAGTCAAGGGTCGAGCTGCTCAACGCCGGAGGCTTCCGAGTCGACGGGCGCAAGCAGTACGAACTCAGATCCATCGCCATCCAGCTCGGAGGCTCCCAAGACACCTCCGCCGACGGTTCCGCTCAAATCACACAGGGACTCACCATCGTATCAGCAACCGTCTTTGGTCCACGAGAAGCTCGCACCGGAGCCAACGTCATCCACGATCGCGCCTCGGTCAACGTCGAAGTATCACTAGCACCCTGGGGATCGATGGAACGCCGACGACGCAATCGAGGCGATCGTCGACTCCTCGAGTTCGCCAGCTCCATCAAGTCCACCTTCGAGCCCGTCATCCACACCCACCTCTACCCACGCTCGCAGATCGACATCTTCGTCCAAGTACATCAGCAGGATGGAGGTGTACTACCGGCGGCGATCAATGCATCTACGCTGGCGCTTTTGGATGCGGGCATTGCGATGCAGGACTTTGTCTCTGGTGTGTCGTGCGGGATCCATTCGACGTCGGCGATGCTGGATCTGAGCAATACGGAGGAGCAGGATCTGCCCCACGTCACGGTAGCGGTGTTGCCACGGACGAAGCAGGTCACGCTGGCCTCGCTCGAGACGAGGTTACATGTAGAAAGGTTCGAGCAGATCTTTACGCTGGCGATCGAGGCGGCAGCGGTATTGCATAACGAGATGGAGATGGCGGTGAGGGATAGGACAAAGACGTTGGTGCAGGCTATGACGGGCAAGACGGTAGAATCGACCTCGGTGGTCGATCATGACGATGACGGCGAGCTCGATGGACGCAACCACGACGACATGACGCTCGCGTGAACCTTCTGACACGGAAGCAAGATGTGGCTATTCCCAGCAAACTTTGTACTTGTACCGAATCCATTCCCATTCACTTTCGTCCTCGCTTGTTGAATGCACTTGAGTGCATCCTTCCGCGGCTTTGCAGATAGCTCGACCTTTCATTTGCTCCAACACTCTTCACCCGAAGCTCTATTCACCACGTCTCAGACGGCAGCTGCAACACAATCCCCTCGCCGCCCTGGCTTGTGGACATCCTGATTGAACATTCCAAGGCAATTCCAGTATATACAAATCTGTACACTACTCTACAACTTGGGCTTCGTGTTGGCAGCCTTCATCTCTGCGAAGCGCTTCTTAGCAGCATCCTTGACGATGGCCTTGTCCACCTTTCCATTTGCATTCCTCTCCAACGGTTCGTCCCTGATCCAGACGAAATCAGGAACCTCGTGCTTGGGCAAGTACTTTCTCGCCACCGCCAGTACGTCCTCTTCCGTCGGTCTGTTTTGCTTCTGATACTCTACGCGGGGCACGCAGACCACGCCGACGGTCTCGCCGAATCTGTCGTCCGGAATAGGAACAGCGGCGCAATCGATGATCCTCCTTTCCGCATAGATGGCGGTTTCCACCTCGGTACCGCTGATGTTCTCACCGCCACGGATGATGATGTGTTTGGAACGATCCATGACGTAGATGAAACCGTCGTCTTCTTTGCGACCGAGATCACCGGTTCTGAAGTATCCGTCCTTGGTGAAGGCTTCCTCGGTGGCGGATTTCTTGCCCCAGTAGCCGAGCGCGACGTTGGGACCACGGATCCAGATCTCACCCGATTTGCCGTTGGCGACTTCGGTGAGTGTGTCCGGGTCGATGATGCGGATGTCGTTGGTAGGGGGTGGTCGACCGGCAGAGGTGGGTCGAGCCGCGTAATCGTCGCTGGCTAGTCCGGCGGCTGCACCGTTGACTTCGGTGCTTCCGTAGCCTTGACCGATGAGCATCGAGGGGGCTTTCTGACGTGATTCTTCGGGAAGCTCTTTGGCGCTGGATGATCCGCCGTGGGAGAGGCCTTGGACGGATGGGAGATCGTGTTTGCTCAGAACGATCTCGCGCACCATGAATCCGATACCGAGGACGATTTGGATCGAATGCTGCTGAATGAGTTTGGCTGCGGCGTCGACGTCGTACTTGGGGAGAAGGGCAATCTTGTTGCCCTTCATGACCGAGGGGCAGAGACCGGATTGGATGCCGGTGGAGTGGAAGAGTGGAATGAGGAAGATGATCGAGGGTTGTTCGTCGTCTGGCTGCGGCACGGGTGGTGCGAGTCCACGACGGACGTAAGCGCGAGCCATGCTGAACGCCGAATTCGGTCCGGCGGAGAGGAACTGTCGCTGCGTAGCCGCAACACCCTTCGGTTTGCCCGTGGTGCCCGAAGTGTACAGGACGGAAGCCATGTCCTCGGGTTGGATGTCAACCTTGGGAATCGCATCTGCGCCCGATCCTACGGAGGCGTACTTGCGATCCAGCTCGGAAGCGTCAAACACCTTGTCGCCGCCTTTGCCGTTCGCCCACTCCCTCTCGTTCTCCTTTACAACCCCGGCAAAAGCCCTGGGAAACACGGCAACACCACTCAACCCACCATGGGCTCCCGGAGTGCAACCAAAGTCGTCCACACACTCGTCGCCCGCCTTTGTGAAGAGCTTCTGGACGAGATCCTCCTCCGCATCCCTCATCCTCCTGTACCTTTCCACGTCCAACAGTGCAGCTTTGCAACCGACGTCTCTGATGCAATCGTACATCGCTTTGCCCGGCAAGAATGCATTCACCAGAGCGGGCACTGCACCCAACAGATGAATCGCAAAGAAGCCGATCACGAACTCCACGTGGTTCCTACCCACCACGGCCACTCTGTCGCCCTTTGCTACGCCGAACTGTCTCGACAACCAGCTCGCAGCCAGCACGACACGTTTGTGAACATCACCGTATGTGTAGGTTTCGCCTTCGGCGACGATGAACGTGCGATCGGTATGAGTGGTAGCGGCAAACATCCATAGGTCTCGGACCGAGGCGGGCAGCTGCTTCCAGACGGTAGTGAGTCGTCCGTGGAGGAACTTGACTTCAGTCTCGAGGACCGAGCCGGGTGCGGTGAGGAGCGCATCCACCTTTTCGAACGGTACGAGAGTGGACTGAGCTCGATCTCCCGTAAAGTCTTTAGGGATGGATCGCTTTTCGCCGCCGGTCGGAGGTGTGAGCGGGACAGAACTCATTTTGGACCGAAGACGGTTAGGATTGAAGTTTGGGGGAGAGGGGAGAAGGATGGAGGTTGATACGCCCGCCGTTGCCCGCGTGACCAAGGTGGTTCCGATTGGTGGTGGCTGAGTCGAGATGAAGGTCGTGTACAGCAAGTTTCCGTTCTAGCAGGGCGGCGGAACTGATGGAACGGACGAGATGATGGAAGCGGGTCGGGACGAAAGACCGACACGGGATGGGGCGATTGGAGCAGTCATTCGATAGGTCTCTCGTCCACACTCGACGGCAGACAGCCACTCCACTGGAGGAGCATCCCCATGAGGGGAAAGCGGTTTCGGCAGCACGGCAAAGTGGCTGGAGCGGACAGCGAGGCCAGTGTTACCGGCAGGCCGGAGGAAGCAAGAGAGCGGTGGAGGAACAGCTGTGCGGGGTCTGAAGCGAGACACAATACAGTGGATCGAGTTTTGCGGGGGAAATAGAAAGTGAACCCAACCGAGAGAACGAGAGAAGAGGAGAGAGACAGAGACAGAGAGACAGAGGAAAGAGAGACGGTCTGCGCGCAGCCACAAGAGGCTAAACGCCCAATCGCCGCGGAAACCGGAGTGCCGGTTGCTGTTCGAAATCTCCTCTCGCACTGCAGTCTTAAGAAAAGGAGAACCGCGGGATTGCTCCGTATGTACATCGCAACCCCGTGCACCGCAACTCACACTTTCGATGGCAGAGGCTTACCGGCAAAGCCTTCCCACCGACGACTTACAAGCACGGAAAAGGCGGAGAGTTCCGCTCCAATATCAATACAGGCGCAGAAGCCCATGCAATTCGAAAACTGCGGGGCGGAATGCTCTCCTCTTTGGCGTGCCCAGCTGCCGACTTCTCGAGCACTGATGCGAAAGCAGCAACAACCACGCAGCCAATGCACAGTCCGAAATTCTGAATTGAATGGAAATTCATAATTTACGGTTATTCTCCGGTTTCTTCGGTAAAACAAATGACCGACTCACCGGCTGTTGTTTGAAGCTTCGATGCTTCTATCCTAAGTCCATCTCTGACAGACACTCAATGAGAAGGCCTTTCTGATAACCACAGAGAATCTTGACACACATTCTCGCATCAGCGCTGTAAAATTAGAACGGAGCAGTACAAGAGCCCATAGCTGGAAGCAAGCAAAGTAAACGAGTGTTGGGCAAGGAGCGTGTGGCGCAGGTGTGCTGCCGAGGATTCTCTCGTGGAGTGGGTATTCTGAGGTTGGAACATGAGTTCGGTCGCGGCGCTACATTCTCTCCATGATTCTCTCTCAGATGGCGATCGTTTCGCTGTCGTTGATCAGCGGACCATCTGGGCAAAGCCCGATCTGGTTTCCGTTGCCGTCCTTGATGCAAAGGTGTTGCTTGTCTCCCAGCAGAGCTGGAACATCCAGCTGTGGCAGTTGAGCCGAGTTGAGCAGCGGCAGCAGGTCAGTTGGTTGTGGCAGAGCGGGCAACTTCAACACCGATGTGACGCCGCCGATCACCGAAGTCACCTCCGACACGACATCGCTCGGCTGTGGCAGAGCATTGGCCAAGATCGAAAGAGGGTTGATCACTCCTGTCGTCGGCAACGTCGGAAGTGTGGGTGTCGACGTCATGGTCACATCCAAACCTGCATCGTTCTTCGTCACGAAAACGACCGGAGTGGGTGTTGGCGCAGCAGCAGCGATGGAAGCGAGTGCCGAGCTGAACTCGCTCTGGATCTGCTCCAAGTTCTTCACCAGCATGGTGGGGACGGCGTTGAGTGCTCCTTGCGCCAGCTGTGCAAGCGCATCAGCCTCGGGTGGTGGTGTGGGAAGCGGGACGTTGACACCGAGAGACATGGTCACGTCGGGAAGCAAGTCTTGCACGCCAGTAGGCAGCGACAGCGAAGGGATTGTGGTGGGGATCAAGCTCGTGACTCCATCGACCACCGAGGTGATGATGCTCACGAGCTCACTTGCCACAGGCGGGATGGTCGGTGTAGGTACCAGTCCGCCGAGGTCGAGAGAGGGGATGGTGGGTGATGCCTCGAGAGACAAAGCCATCATGAGTCGCTTTTCCAGAGGTGCGGCTGACGTTGACGAGATGGCCAGAGCCGCCACCAATGCCGTCGTGGAGCCTGCGAGCAATGCTGCCTTCATTTTTCGTGATGGTATTCGGTGAGTCAATCGAGTCTGTGATATGAGGGGTGGGCCTTCTTCGAGCTGGGACTTGGAACAATAGTGAGAGGATGGGACTAGGGGACGGATATGGTAAGGGAAAAACAGTGGGGAAGCAAAAGCATGTGATGTAGACCAACATTTCCTTATGTACCACCGTAGGATGGTACGCGGCTCTGACGCTTGCGACCGCCTCTACTTAGTTAGCTCACAAGTTGTTCGGTGTCTCCGTTTGTGGGCTTCAACTTCATCGGACATTCGTCCTACTGTTCCGGACCGACCTGTTTTCCCGGCGAGCAGTCACTCACTCGGTTGCAATGTCCAAGCAGCGCTCCTTTCCTATCCAGGTGCCAGCCCGCAAGAACATTGGCAATGTTTCGAACAGTGTCTCAGAGGATCTCCGCAAGACTCGATAGTTCTTGATCGCGGTAGCATCTTCCGACAGGCTCGCTTAGAGGCAAACGTCCGTCTTGTGGGGCTGGTCACATTGGCCCTGAGCCATACATCCGGGGCGATGTTCTCGTCGCTTTCTCCGCCAACATCCGTGACATTGGTCAGGCGCTCGCATTGGCGTGGATGCGCACCGAAGGATGAGATAGAGTATGAAGCTTGGCACATGTCACTTGTTTGTGTTCAAAGAAGCTCTCGAGTGGCGTCCTCTGCAGCCAAGCCGATGCACAATTTGACATTCCTCGAAAATTCGGCTTCGGTTTCCGTCGCCGCGGCGGCGCGTGTTCGCGCGTCTGGTGATCTCACCGCCGTTCCTACTTGACTCTCCCGATCGGTCGGGTACAGTAGTCGATCGACCTCAACCAGTATACCCTGCGCAGTATGCATAGACCCGCTGCTCTGTTTGGCAACGTCTCACAATTGCTAGAAGTGAATAGTGTAGGAGTGCACGTGATGGATCGGACGTGTATCGCTTTGGCGACCACGATCAATGAGCAAGCAAAAGTTATCCGATCGACCACAACGCTAGTCCGGAATTTCCTGCTGTAGGCAAATATGTGAACAAAAATTGAGGCCACAGAAAGAACGGCAAAAAACGAGGGGGCCAACCCGGAATCGAACCGGGGACCTCTGTCAACTTAGTGCAACCTCTGGAAGGAGGTGAAAGCCCTAAGACAGCATAATAAGCCACTATACGATTGGCCCGCTTACGTGTCGGACGATTTTGGCATTGCACATATAATTCCAATTTTACACAATTCCAATGACCTTACTAATCCTTGGTCGTCTCTGTGCTTTTCCCAAGCATCTTGAGCCGAGGTCTCGGAAGCGAGCATCGGTCCGGTTGCCGTTATGTCTAGCCCATCGGTCAATTGAAGGCCTACGGACCGACGCGACGCCTGCAGTCACGAGATCGTGTGCAAACGGCGCGGCAGTTAGCATTCAGTGCAGAAGTTGATGGAGACGAGGCGGTTGTGCGTCCGATTCTTAGGGTCGGGCTTCGAATCTCAATTAGCCGCCGAACAGATCTGCGTGCGCCCTCCTGTCCGACATCGTCGTTTGGTTGGGTGAGCGTGCCTCCTCCTTTGTGGCGGCTTAGTGTACAATGATCAGAGCTGCATTTCCGCCTTGCTATCGCCAAGCTAAATTCTGATGAGATGCACCAAATTGCAGGGTGGCAACCAGCCAATGAGCTGGCGTTTGCTTCTAGGTTGCACGAAAGGTTGCTTGATTTGACCGTATGGATAGCAGTCGAAGCTTCCATGGCGACACAAGTCACATCGTTGATGTGCAAAAACAATTCCTCAGTTGTCATGGAGACGTGTCCTCGTCACACCCAAAGCTAGCCGTTTTCGTCGACTCCAGAAGACTGCAACGAATACAAATCACTTTGCGGAGGCATACAGAGAGCGTGCGAACGTTGCTGTCGTACGGTCTCTACTGCATTGCAACCGCATGGGCGTTGACAAGGAATCTCAGATCTGCCTCAGTTGAGACAAACATGAACCAGGATTCATGCCAAATCGGTCCATCCGTAGCCTCGATGGCCGGCGATCTTCGTAGATCCCTTCTTGCGAATCGACCGACCGGCCTGCCTTTTCTGCTGTGGCTCATCGGACCGCATGGCACAGTCTTGCCTGCAGAACAAAAGGCTGCGATGACAGGGGGCTGTCGCTGCGGCCGACCTCATGGTCAGTGAACTGCCACGGACGTGTTTGACCCCTCGTCGTTAAGTGAGACATCGGACCAGCGTCAAGACTCGTGCCCCCCGGAATTCATGGGGGGTCGCAAAGAAAATCCCATGAGCCATGCTTAGCCGAGACCACAAAGGTGCATGTCGCAGTGAGAGAAAACAAGCTAATGCCTAAGCGAGGCTGATATCGAACGACCATCTCGACGAATCGACCGAAATTTGGCCTCATCTTCGAGCTACTCGCATGTCGACTAATATAGAGCTTGAGCGTTAGCTTACTAAGATGGTCAGATGCCGACTCCGATTTCTGCACATGCTATCCGTAGCCCCGCTGGCGAGCATGTGTGCTTGCGTCGACGTCTATCTGACGCTCGTGCAGAGCAAGCGAGGATGGCCGACCAGAGGCCGCATTACCGTAGTGCTGACTCAGTTCGCTTGGCGCGTCGCTTGTGCAACAGTGACAGCAACGATGACACGAGCTCCCAGTGGCGGTGATGATGCAGACACCGACGTGCGACGGAGCCAAAGTATGTGCTACGCCTCGAGTTTTCGTCCTAAGACCGTAGCGGCCGAGACTAGCGCACCTGGACAGTCGGGTAGGAGACCGCTACCGGTGGTGAACATTATGTCCACGTCAAGGAGTGACAAACCGAAGCGAAGCGTCGATCGAGTTCCCACGCGAACGTCTCTCGATGACCGGCAACAGCGAGCTTAGATCGAGTCGAACGACCAACGCTTATCTGACCGGATCTCGCGCGTCTCCATGAGGGGATCGCCGGACCGACTTGCGCCCAATAGGGGGACGGCGAGAGCGGCCGTGGCGTTCTCACGTCGCCCGTCCATCCGAGCCGCACCACTTCGAGCCGATGCGTGGCTGAGACGGAGCTCGTACGATGCAAGCGAGGTGACGATGCAGAACGTCTGCAGTGACTGGCAGCTGGTCTAAGCTGGGTCTCAAATCGAGAGAATTAAATAAGAATGAAACATTTGCGAACAGTCAAGGATCGCCGCATGTCCCGCTTGAGGTTGCACTCCTCTTGAGTTTTGGACAGTCTGAGATCGTGTTACAGTGGTCATACACTACAGCTGTACAGAGCAATAAAGAAATTCTTACACCGACTCGCTTTGCGGTAACGTGGGGATGCGACTCGAGCACCGTTGCCACGATGCTCATGGGCACAACGAAGAAAAAGCAAAAGGGTCCGAGGCAAGTATTTTGACGCGGTATCGTCCTTTGTCTCCCAACGATGCTCCAATGTCACAGGACTTTGACTTCTTTGCACCGACCAAGGAGCCCACAGATGATCAAGTCAGTCAACGGCTCGATGCGACTGGACTACGCTGGAAGCATAGCGTCGGAACTGTTGCAGCATTACGAGTTGAGAGATCCATCGAATGGCAACTTGAGACGTCAAAAGATGTAAATGAAAATGAATACAGTGTATTTCCTTTATTTAAAAAAATGGAAAGGGCGGTGCTTGATTTCCACAGCAGTTCAACAAACAGGACCCTCTTTTTTCGCTGTGTCTTCTTTTCCTTCCTCTGCTCCTTCTTCTGCTTCTCCTGCTTCTACTCCGGCGAGAGACTTACCGAGAAGAAGCAGCTTGCAAAACCGCCGATGTCTTGCCTCTCGCTGCCTGCCGCACGCATATCATTTGCATGGACGGCGCGTATCACGGCGAAGCCCCTCCTTGTGTCACTTTTTAAGCTGCAAACTTTTTTCCGCTTCTTCTTCTGGCTCGATATCCACCTCGGCTGCGAGCGAATTAGGGCTTGACAGACAGATGAAGCGCCTGGACGAGCAATCAGCCGATTGTCCCAATCTGAAAAATAGAGTGTGGTACAATGGCAACTGTGCAACAGCATTGTGAGCAATGGTGCGTGTCACCGTGCGACAAATAAGCGCCTTTGCACCATCTGCACGGCTCTGCCCGCTTCCACGCTACAGATTACTGTATCGAGAAAGACGACGACAGCGATTAGTGTCACTGTAGATGCAACAGTACAGCAGGCCCTTTCATCAAACGTTTGCTCTTTGTCGCCTCTCTCATCCGTGCGCGTTCTCAACCGTTCGCGATCCTCTCCCTCGGCACGTCTGATTCACGGGTCTGATTTGGACTACATCTGGGTCGCGTTCAATCTTTGTTCACCACCATCGTCACCATCCGTCCTTGTCCCCTTCGCAACTCATCTCCAACCGTAGCGTGGCCCGGCTAACAGGCTGTACTGTACTGCACGCTTCCGTGCTCCAATACACGCGCTCTCTGCTCCGTACAGTTTGCGGCCATCGTGCTCACGTCCTGCCCGACTTCGTATCGGAGATCGTTGAGCAAAAACGATAAATCCCCACACACAATTCCTCGGCACTCAGCAGCTCATCCCCGCCCACTCGCATCGTTGTCCAAAGTTGGGGCTCATACATCTTGCCGCACCATCCTATCCTCTCTGCTTAACCTCGCAACCGCAACAGTCCCGTCCATCCATCTCGACTCGGCGCTCGCTTGCGATGCATCGGTAGGCATTGCGCCCACTTGACTTATACTCAGACTTTCACTCTCAGGTGCAGCCTAAGGCGCATTGTAGGCGATCAGCACGCCACGGACACATTCTTCGCAGAGATCGGCAGCGGTTCCCTTCAAAAGCCCTATTACGAATTTCTTCCACTCCTATGGACGTCACCCACAATGCATCCGTCCATCGCAAACCTCTCTTCGCGCCTGCACCTGTGCGGCGGGGACGTGCCGCCTCCGCTCGTGGGCGCTTCTGCCACCCTCGTCGAGCCATCGCATCTTGGACAGGGCAAAGGCGCGCAGGTCTACCTCTTCGGTGGCCGCCTCGTCAGCAGCCGTCGCATGGTCAACACGCTCTACGTTCTCGGCCTCGACGAGATGAGATGGTCGAGATTGACTCCGGCTACTAAGCCTCAAACCGGCGCAACCGAGCCAACGTCCCAACAGCCGCAGCCGCGTTACTTCCATTCGGCCGATCTGTGGCAGGACAAGATCGTCTTTTTTGGCGGCATGGGCTACTCGCAGCGACCACAAGACTCGGCCGCGGGGACACTTGCCGAAGAGCTCTGCGTCCTCGACGAGCTGCTGGCCTTTGATCTCACCGCCCAGCAGTGGGACTACAGCTTTGATGTAGCCTCGCAACGCGCCTCTCGATCGGAGCCATCCTCGAGCTCGCAGCCCGACAGTGCCCAGCCGGCTCCTCGTTACGCCCATCTTTCCTCCCTCTCCGGCGACACGCTCTCCATCATCGGAGGCCAGAACCTCGCCAACCAGTACGTCGAATCCATCAATCTCTTCAGCCTCTCGCAAAACAGATGGATTGGCGCTCAGCGCTTCCGAAAGCAATGCGGTAGCTACCGGTCGCTGGCGGTCGGCGCCAAGTATCTCTACAAGGACGGCGAAAGGGCCAAATGCTACCCGCGTGCCAAAGACCCCTTGGACAGCGCCAGCAGCGACGCTGACGCTGCCGTCTCGAGTACTGCTCCACAAGGTCGTGCATCAGCGGAAAAGCCAGGCGGCACGGTCGAGCAGAATCCGCTTCCAATGAGCTGTCCTTCGGATCCGAGTCAACCTTTGCCCGTCCACCTGTACTCCAACTACAACTTCACCGACGTCCGCAGAGAACTCGAGGTGCTCACCGTTCGAGCCGACGCAGCCAGCATCACCGAGTCTGAAAAGACGCAGCTACGTGCTCGCAGCGGCTCGAACGCCTCCCAAGAGTCGGCGATCGACGTCGATGGACCGCTGACTCCGTCACAAGCCGATGCTGCCGGCGTCGGCGAGCTCATCTCCATGCAGGATCGCTCGAGCCACATGGGCGGTGTCACATTACCTCCTGGCCTTCGATTCCCTACGGGCGCCATCCTCGGACCCTACCTGCTCATCTCGGGCACCTACCTTGCCAACGCGACACAAAGTTTCTCCATCTGGGCTCTGCACCTGCCCACCATGGTGTGGTCCCGCATCGAATCCGGCTCGACTCTCTCTACGGGAAGCTGGAACCGCGCGCTCCTGTGGCCAGGCAAGAACCGTCTGATCGTCGTCGGTCACAAGGAGAGGGACCTCGTCAGCGACTACAACCATCGTCAGACCAACTGGGATCACGTCGTGGTACTCGAGCTCGAGGCGTGGGGCATCTATCAGCCTCCCATGTCGGCCTTCTCCGAACAGGCTGTCCAGCTCGGGCTCGACAAACTCGCAGCAACCGCACCGTCGGCCATGGCCTCAGCACAGGCGCTCGCGCGCGGTGCCGAAGCGGCGGCCGGCGCAAGCTCTTCCGATGCGTCGGCTCCCGAGACGCACAGGGATGCCGAGCGACAGAACGAGTCTCTCAACCTCGGCGGTCGCGGCGATTTTGAGATCGTCTGCTCGGACGGTGTTCGGATCGGCTGCGATCGGGCCATCCTTGAAGCGCGCTGGCCATGGTTCAGAGCCAAGATGGACGAGTTCCGAAGAAAGGCGAGACGCACTCTTCGTATCGCCTACCCAGCGCCGCAGGAACAGACTGGACTGGGTATGATTCCTGAAGACATTGCCGAGTTCCTCGCAGAAGACGACGAAGGTGACGCGGCGGCAGATCCGATCGTCGCTGACCCAGCCGGCAAAGACGGAGCGACGGATGTCAAGCAAAAGATTCGTGATCCGCGCTTTCAACCTCGTCACTTGCAGATCTCGGAGCCTTCTCCGGTGGTGCTAGCGCTACTCCAGTTCGTGTACACGTTGCGCATTTGCACGGCTCTGCAGCGACATCCTGCCGTGGTGTGCGCTCTGATGATCCTGGCCAAAACGTACAACATGGATCACCTCGCCGCCTGGGCGCGACATGCTGCCCACGTAGCTCTCGCAGACGATCTGCATCCCAAGACGTCGTCGACGCAGCAGCCGCGGCATGGTGATGTGCTCTCGCCATCCTCTTCAATCACACACGCTATCGATAGCTATGAAAGCAGTGGTCTTGATCTTTTCCGTCCTTCAGAATCGCTCGGCTTGCATCCCGAGGAGAGGCATCGGCTCGCCGTGTGCCTGTACGAGGCGGCTTCGCTCTGTGGCTGCGAAGGTCTGCAGATCCGCGCCCTGAGGGTGGTCATGGCCATCGCCCGTTGGCTGCAGAAGCACGGAGCCGGGCCTCAACCGGGAAGTGGCAGCGGGGCGGGACTCGAAAGGCAGGGACAGGGCCGCGGCGAGGGCGCAACGCGCGATCGATCTGGCTCCCATTCTCAGCATGGCTCTGGCACCAATGGTGCGGGCTCAACTCAGTCTGGCGCCACTCAGTTCCGTTCTGGCGCCGCTACCAGCTATCGCACAGCCAACGGCGGCGTTCCGAGCGCCGGTCCTTCGCCTACGCTGCCCTTGCCTTCCCCGGTACCGTCCATGTCACGCGCCGGATCCGATGCCGCCAGCTCGCATGGCCCGTTGACGCCCAACTCGATTTACCAGAGTTTCCTGGACCGTCGGGGCGATTCTTTCTCGTCGTCCACCGACACTCCGGCCGCCGACAGTGCACTCGCCCGCCTCAGCGGGGCGATGGAATCGCTCGACGATCAGCCCAGCACGCAATTCCGCAAGGGGTCGTTTGGCAACAGCCTTCCTGGCAACAAGATGGAGAAGTACAGCATGACCATGGCGTCGCTCGATGCTGCCAATCGCAACAGTAGCGCGACCATCTCGCCTCTGGCACCGGCCACGAGCGATGTTGAAGCAGAGCTTGCGCCAGCGTTCAGCTCGACTCGAAATCGATTCAGCTTGTTTGGGCGCAATACCACCTCGAACACGCCTGTCTTGTCGCAAGCGGAGAATACGCAACCTGTGCGCTCCGGAAGCTCGCTCGGCTTCCGCAGCTCGATGACGGGTGACGAGACGGTGCGCGCTCAGACCGGTGCGTCTCAAGGCGGTGCGTTGCTGGATCGACGCGCCAGCGCCAACGCACAGATGAACGCCGGCCCGAGTCAACTCTCGCCAACGATTTTGACGGGAGACGAGTGGTCAAGCCGATTCCATCTGCCTCGCCATTCCATCGCATCCCCTCGCGACGGCGCTGGAAAGAGCCCGGCTACTTCGGCACCGAACTCGCCTGCGTTGACGATGGATCCGAAGCGAAGTCACTTGCACGGATCTGCAGCTTCTTCGCCGGCGATCGAGCAGTTCGCCGTCAACTCGTACGGACCGCGATCAGAGCAAGAGCAGGTCTCGCGCTCCGCGTCGCAGCATAGCCTCTGCACGGACACGAGCGTGACGTCGGGTCTGCAACGAAGCACTTCAAGCGCTAGTCAGCACCAGCCGTCCACGCCGCTGGAGGGGATCGAGATCTCGAAAGAGGTGACGCACCTGTCGGCCAAGGAACTAGCTAAGCTGGACAAGGAAGAACGCAAACGAAGCGAGAAGGAGGAGAAGCAACGCAAGAAGGCGGAAAAAGCCGAATACAAGCGTCTGGCGGCCGAGGCCGTGTTTGGACCCAAGGGAAGCGCAGGACCTTCGCCAGCGTTGCCGACGAGCGACTTTGCCGAGTACACAAGAGGCACGCAGGTAGCGGGTGCAGGAAGTGGAGATGCGCCGTCGTCGCGCCGATCGTCTGAGCCGTCAGAGTCGCGATCCAGCACGAGCACAGCGAGCCCGCGAACCGGAAGCAGTCTGAAGACGGCGTACAGTCCACGCACGCCGGCTCCGACCGCGCCGCTGAAACGAGGCGAGTGGTCAGTGACGACGGCGACAAGCGGAGGGCCGTGGTTCAGCGCGCCTCCTCCAATGATGGCGCCGCCGACCTTCAAGAGCATGCCCAAGAGCAACAAGAGCTCGGCTTCGCTGGGCGGTCGAAGCTCGGGCAAGACGTGATTGATTTTGTAGAGAGAGCGCAATCATTGCGCAGCACAAGTAGCACAAATGATCAAAGTGACAATTGACAGAGAATTTGTCTCTGCGCCCGAGCAAAACGAGACGTGTTGGTGACATGCGATGAAAGACTTTTGTCCGGCTCAGGGCCCTGAATGTATCGAGAAACGAGCAGCACAGGCAAAGCCCGTGGCGAACGTCACCAGCAGCCGAGCAGACGCTGCGGCAGGAAGTGCACGACGAGAACGACTGCAGAAGCGAGCCCTGAAAAGAGCGGTACAGTAGCAAGCATTACAGTGGTGAGACAGCACACCCGCCATGCTACGGAATCGCACAGAGAGACCCAAGACAGACGTCCACGTTCTCAATTGAAACACCACTCTGGCGCTTATGCCGACCAAAAGTCAAAAAAAGGAAAAGAAAATGGCCGAACGTGGAGGGAACGTGGGGTGTGCCTCTGCAGATGGCGTACATCGCATCTCTTGCCGCTCGCACTGTCATCTGTCGAGGGAGAAGCAGAGCCAAAGGAGAACGGAGAACAAGAGCTATGCATGATCTGAGCTGCGAGATGAGGCGCAGAAGTCTTTATACGCGATCGTCCCGGTGGTCTGTTTGACCGGTGTGAAGTCGAAGTGTATCGACATTCCGCTCATGATTCCCACCGCGACCTCCTGTGCGCTTGGCCGTCCCGAGTGCCCTCGCATCGGGCGATCAACAGCTCACGACCAAGTCGTTGCTGAAGGTGATCCAATGCTTCAGAGCAGAGGTACGACGGCACCGCGGCGCGACGTTGGACGGTCGGCAAATTGCGCGGCATGATAACGCCAGCGCTTGGCCCTTGCAGGTCCAAAACTGTGTTGATCTCCTCGTCGCGGTTGATTGATTGGCCTTGACAGCGTGATACCACGGATCTTCGATATGCAAGTAAATTACTCGCCTTTGATTGAATAAATAAATAAAAAAATCATTAAATGGGTTTTGAGTGTCCCGCGGTCGAGCTGCCTTGGTAGGCGATTCTGGGCGCACACACACACACTCGTGTTCTCTCTGTCTCACCTCCACCATCGTCTCCATCATCTTCGGCTCCGGCCATTCTTCCCTACCATCATCACTCGAGCGTCAGCGTCATCAAGGTGGTGCAGGCATCGCGCTTAAACATCGGCCGACCTACCATATACGCTCGCACCGCCGACACGCCTCAGGTCGCAACACTTGGATTGTCTATCTTTGCAGCAAAGCAACATCCGCACCCAGAATCACATCAAGTGCATCGACATCCATCTCCTGTCGGCTCTTATAGTACTATGGACTCGACGTGACTCTGTGCAGCGTGCAAGTCACACCTCTAGACGTACCTGCCCAGTCCTCGGCTGGGTACGGCCTCCATCCACTGACGCCGTCTGCTCTCAGTAGCAGCTGCCGTCGTCATGTCGGACTCTGCAACCGCCGACGAGGCATCCTGCACCCCGGCAACCGGTCTGCGGACGGACGCCTCGACTTCCAACGCGCCAAATCTCCGCAGGCAGTCGGTCGATCACACTCTGACGATACCATGTCAGTCGCAGCCGCAGGCCGACCCCGACGCAGCCGCTCTCTCCCCCTCGATACACGCCCAGCTCGGCACCGCCTCGCTTCATGTATCGCTCCCGCCCAACTTTCCGAAGCCGGTCCAGACTTCCTTCTCTCCACCGGCCAGCAGAAATGTCTCCAGCGCGACCATCGTAAACCCTTTCTCCAGTCCGTCCATCGCTCAGGTCCTTTCGCCTCCTCTGCCACCACTCAACAGCGATTCGGCCGGTGGGAGCGCAGCAGCGGCATCAGGCGCGGTCAGTGTAGGCGAACCTTCTTCCTCTTCTTTCGTCGCGACCTCCCGCAGCAATGGCGGGTCTCCTAGCAAGGCAAGCACCTCTCGTCCCTCGCCAGTGCCGGCATCTTTCCAATCATCCTCAGTCGTCTTCAACCCCAACGCACCCTTTTCCCCGCCAGAAACGTACACCTATAGTCGTCCACCCGTAAAGCGTGAAAGTCCTGGTACCAAAAGCGCCAGAAGCACGCCGGGCAGATCCTTGACTCTACACGACGATGACGTCCTTGCACGCGAGTTTGCCGATGCGTCGCGCAAAGATCTCGAACTCAGTCTGCCTCCCGCAATGCTCAGCTCGGGTCGCAAGGCCAGTGTCAGCCTTCACCTTTTCAAAGAGACCTCCTCCAAACCCTCGCGTGCAGCGCTCGCGTCGAGTCGAGATACCGCCGTCATCGAAGAGGGCGCCCCGTACCGCTCGCGAGGCGAACGCGACGAGCCGTCCGGCAGGCGTAAGGCGCTTCGTGCTAGCCCCACGCTCGCACCTTCGGAGCGCTCAGCCAAGGCGTCAGCTCCTTCGAGTCGATCCCCGTTGGATCCCTATCCACCAAGCACCTCCGCAGCACTGCTTTTTGCCAAAGATGCAGACCCGACCGCCCTTCGTCCAGCAACGCCGTCGCTTCTTCTAGCTCAAAGCGACGATATCGCCGGCGGATACTTTTCGTCCACAGAGGCCGAGACCGCGTCCAGTGCCAGCGTACCTCTGATCGCTTCCGCCTCGTCCGATCCCATCTCGCGTCAACGTAGACCTCGACGATCGCAGACCATCGCTTCACCCGAAAATGTGGCTGCTGATCTCGACGCACGCCATCTGCTCGATCCTTCTTCGCTCGAGCCGCTCGATTCGCAACCAATCCCGATCGCACGTTCTCGCGATCTGCAACAAGCACCGACATCGCCCCTCAGGGTTCCCCCCCTCAGTCCTAATCGGCGTCCAATCGGCCGGCGGGGAGAGTCAGGCAATGCAGAAGCCCGTCAAGATCCGTCAGAGCCGGCCTCGACCCTTCTGCAGCGCCACTCTTCCGTGCCCGAAACAGAGTGGACAGGAGCAGGCTGGCCAGGCAAGCTTTCGATGACGCGCAGGCGCAGCCTCGACGAAATGGCACAAAGCTCATCCGACTACGAGGAGGATGGCGACGACCAGCTAGATGCTCCCTTACACACGGTCGATACAGACAACGACGCCACCGACGCATACGCCGACATGACGAGCTCTGAAGACGAGCGACGCAGATCCGACTTCGACCACGACGCGGCTGACGAGGATGATCTGCAGATGAGTGGATCTGAATGGGAAGCTGGGACAGCCCCTGCTCATTCTAGTGGAGTCAGCGGTGTGGCGCATTCTGGTGCGGAAGCAGCATCCCGCCGGGCCCGCGTGTCGAGTCGATCGCGCGCCGTGTCATCCAATGAGTTGCCTGCTGTCGTGCAGCTTCAGCCCTACCACAATCAAGTCGGCGGCCACAACTCCATCTTCCAATTCTCGAAGCGCGCTGTCTGCAAACCGCTCGTCGGGAGGGAGAACGAATTCTATGAGGCCGTCGAAAGGGAGCATCCTGTTCTGCTCGCTTTCATTCCTCAGTATCTCGGAGTTCTCAACGTAACGTACAGACACGTCGACAGGGCTCCGGAGGAAGCGCAAGCACAGCCGCCAATGCTCGCCGATGCCGAATTTGTGACGCCATCAGAAGCAGCCAAGACGGATGCGCAGCCGTCTCCCGTCGCTGGCGCGGATGAAGGCAATGTCTCGGCTGCTGGCAACGCTCGCCTCGAACGACAGAGAAGCAGTTCGCACGGTGGCAACCGCGTTCGTCGCAAGGTCTTTGAGGGCCAAGAGGACTGGGGCAAGGAGATACCCGAGGTCTCAATTGATCTCAACCGACATATCGTGCCCGAATGGATCCTCCGTCGATGCAATCTGGCGTCCAAGACGGAAGCGCACAGCAACTCTGCCGCAGACCCGGGATCCCGTAGCCGGAGCATCTCGAGGAGCAGAGCCTCCAGCCCCCTCCGCCCGCGCCGACCCGCCTCCTCGTTGGAACGCGCGCAAATCGACACCGGTGCCGTCCATATTTCAGCTGACGCTCAGCTGCAACGAGCGAGCAGCCCCGATACCGACTCGTTTCCTCAGCTGACATCCTACGAGAAAGCTTCACGCCCCAAGATTCAGCGGTCGACTTCATCCTCGCAGCATGTGGAGAAGGACCTCGGCTCGACCCCAATCACGCCGGCCATGTCTCCCGATGCATCGCCCAGATCCACCCGCTCCATGGGCCATGGGGCCGACTGGGGAGGTCGCGATTCGGACCGCCTGCATTCATCTAGCCTGGGTCGTGCCACTTCCGGACTCGGTCTCTTATCTCGTTCACGCAGCCCGGCGATCGGTTCGCTCAGCATGACTAGTCGCACGCCTTCGCAAGCTTCGCATGTGTCCCAGGTAGCCGCCGGCAACACTCCTCACGCGCAGAACGTCCATGGCATCCACGGTCGCGGTATCACCACGGTCAATCGCAGATTGCAGGAGCAGGTCTTGCGTGAGGTCTTCAGCAGTCCCATGCTCAAAGATGGCCTCGAGGCTCGTTACGAATCGAGCGCAAAGCGGAATGCTCGCAAGAATCGAAGACGCCTGGCAAGAGCCTGGGAGGAGAGCGAAGAAGGAGAGAGGCTCCGTTTCACGCGCAATCTTGGACCCCCCGTAGCTTCAACAGAGACTATGGCGGCGGAAACGCTTCGAGGCGGCCTTCGTACACCCGACCCCACAGGCAGCGGAAGAATGAGCGTCGCCAGCGAATTTGCGCCCACCGCGTCTTCTTCACCCATTCACTACCGTGGTCAAGCACGTCATCCTTCGACTCCACCTCGCACGCCGCCGCTTGGTCCAAGCAGCTTGACCGCTTCGACTTCATCCTTGTCGTCCAAGAGAACCACGGCGGGTGGTGAGCAAGAGTCTCCACGCATCACGCTCACCAGCGCATCCCGTGTAGGCGCCTCGGCGCAGCAGCCACGACGCGTGCTCAGTGATGTTTCGCTCTCGCTCCAGCCCAAGATCCCAGCTGCTGGACGCAGCCAGCTTGGCGAGCAAGCGTTGGTCGAACAGGCGCCTGCACAGTCGACTGATTTGGACGACGAGATGGAGATGCTGAAGCTGTCTGAGGAGCCAGAGTCTTTGGACACAGTTGCAGAAGCACAAAGCGTGCCGCTGAGCGCAGATGACACGCCAGTGGTCGACGCGAGCAAGGACACTGCTGGCTCCGTCCAAGCGAGCGCCGACGCCGAGGCTGTCGAAGCAGCGACTGCAGAGGCTCGAACGTCCTCAGACAGCACCTGCCAGACACGACAAGAGCAGTTCCTCCTCATGGAGGATCTCACAGGTCGGCTCAAGTCTCCCTGCGTGCTCGATCTCAAGATGGGTACGCGTCAGTACGGTCTAGATGCAACGGATGCCAAGAAGAAGAGTCAGACCAAGAAGTGCGACAAGACGACTTCTCGCAGTCACGGTGTGCGCATCTGCGGTATGCAGGTCTACGATTGCGCGCACCATGACTTCATCTTCCAAGACAAGTACTTTGGACGCAAAGTGCTACCCGCCGAATTCCCAGATGCGCTGGCGCGGTTTTTCTACGATGGAAGCAAGATCCTCATGCATCACGTGCCGCTGATCTTGCAGAAGATCTATCATTTGGCAAGGATCATCTGGGGGCTGCGAGGATATCGGTTCTACGCAAGCAGTCTGCTGTTCATCTACGATGGCGACTGCGAGACGCAGCGCAAGCTCGAGGAGGAATTCGATCGACGCTGTTCGCAGGGAGTGGGTGGAACGGTAGCTCCAAGTCAGATGATCTTGGATGGTGGAGCATCTACGCCCTCGGGTGTGTCGTCGTTGAACAAGGAAACGGATTTGGTGGATGGTGGAGCGAGCTACTCTATTGGATCGAGTCCATTGCTTGGTCCCATTGGAAGTGGAATCGCTGGCGGTGGTTCTGAGCCGACATTGTTGCGACGCAGGCGAAGGAAGGGAGAGATCAATATCCGTATCATTGACTTTGCCCACTGCACCACGGGTCATGACTACGATTTTGACGGCGAGGGAGGAGCGGCTCAGGGTCTACCGGTAGCTCGCTTCCCACCAAAACTCATCGATGGTCCGGACAGCGGATATCTGTTTGGACTCAAGAACCTCGCGGCTAGCTTTGAGGATATTTGGGAGACCGAGAGGCTGCGAAGACGGAAGCTGCGCATGCAAGCAGCAGACGCCGATGGACGTGAGGATGCAGAGGAGGTAAAGGTGGATGCGGACGGGGCGTACATCGGCGATCCGGGAGATTTGCAGGTGCCGGGAAGAGAGGTGTTTGCCGAGATCTTTGGCAACGGGCCAAACGGGCTAGATGGGTATGTTTCGACGTGATCCTGTACGATACGATAGTGGTTGCTTTTGATGCAAAGATAGTTGAGTCACCTATTGCCAAACACTAGCTGTGTGTCGTGTCTAGTGTCTCACGAACGATCTTCTGTGTCGACGTATCGCAGTGTGAAGGGTCAAGGTTCGCAATGGGATTGGGGCAGCAATGGCGCAAGGTGTGAGATCGCGGCTGCTGAGTCTCCTCGGTAAATTCAGAGAGTGGCTGCACGGCTGAGTGCGACGATCTTCGCTGCATTCGTGTGTGGAGAAAATAGGCGCGATTCGGACTTTTGGGAGCCGAGTGACGCACCGCTGCAAGAGCCTAAAACTTTGTTGTTGATCGTCGTCCACCTCGACTTCCATCATCTCGACAATCAGTCCCCCACTATCAGATTCAACTCATTTCCAAGCCAAAGATGCTCGTATAGGACGTGCTGCGGCATCTGCAGTTCTAGATTGCCTCCGAGCCCGCTGAGATTCGGGAACAGGAACCAGCTGCGGTTCGACAATCTCCATCGGCCTCATATATCGCTAGAGAGCTGCTCACGTAGCATCCAGGCACAGTCATGCGGGCTCTGACAGCCGCAGCCGCAGCTGCGCTGCTGGTTTCGCAGATGTTTGCTGCATCTGCATCGTCGCCGGTGCAAGCAGTATTTCAGGCGGATTCGACCTCGTCTGCACCAATCAACACGCTGAGGAAACCCTTCGGACGCTTCCTCCACGTCACAGACCTCCATCCCGATCCACACTACAAACACGCATCAGCGGTCAGTGGAGCGTGTCATCACAAGAAGCCCAAAAAGGGCAAGCCGGATGGAAAGCTGCGCGCGGGATGGTGGGGAACGGCGTTGACAGACTGTGATTCCCCGCCTCGTCTGGTCGAGTCGAGTCTCAATTGGGCCTCTCGCAATCTCGTTCAATACTCTTCTTCCAAACATGACCATGCGGATGTGATCTCTCCCTCTGCGGGAGGTGTAGATGTCGGCCTTGACTTCATCATCTGGACAGGCGATTCGGCGCGACACGACAACGACAATCGCGTGCCACGATCCAGTAAAGAGATCTTTGAACTCAACCGTTGGGTCCTCGATCAGCTCGAAACCTCGTTTCCAGGTGTACCCCTCATCCCCACTGTTGGCAACAACGACATCTTTCCTCACAACATTCTCTTCCCCGGTCCCAACGCCGTGACGAAGGAATACGTTCAGATCTGGCAAGATCACATCCCCGAATACGAATTTCACACTTTCGAACAAGGAGGCTACTACGTGAAAGAGATCCTGCCCAATCGACTCGCTGCGATGTCGCTCAATACGTTGTACTTCTACGACAACAACAAGGCGGTGGATGGATGCGTCAAGACGAAACGAGGTTCAAAGGGCAAGGATGTGGATCCCGGTACAGCACAGTTGGACTGGTTAGAGGTCCAGTTGAACCTGTTCAGGAGCAGAGGCATGCAGGTCCATCTGTTGGGTCATGTACCACCGACGGCAGGGAACTACTTTGAGAGATGCTACCGAAGGTATACGGACATCGTGTTGCGGTATCAGGACACGGTTGTTGGGCAACACTTTGGTCACATGAACACGGACGCGTTCTTCATCCAAGAGGACGAGGAGGAGGCGTATCAGCAAGAAATCGAGAAGAACAACGAGGTGGAGGCTCAGGAAGAACCAGGGCTGCCGGGCGATTTGAAGCAGGATTACTCGACACTGCCAGGCAAGGGAAGGACGAACGAAGATATGTACTCGGTGTTTTACATCGCACCGAGCATCATTCCGACGTTCTACCCGTCCATCAGGTTGTGGACGTACAACACGAGCGAAGCGGCGAGGTATGTTGCTGCCCACTCGTCGAGTTTGATCTCAGCGGTAGACGAGGACGAGGTGGAGGAAGCAGACGAGGAAGAAGAAGATGGAGGAGTCGAGTCGGAGTCTCCCTTCGGCACGCTATCAAGGCACCACCATCGACCCACACCGCCAAAGAAGCGCAAAGGCAAGAAGCACAAGAAAAAGAAACGTAAAGCTCTCCCCCGCCATGCATCGCCGGACTCTCCTTCGCGAACCAACACGTACCTCAGCCTGTTAGGATACAGTCAGTGGGTGATGGACATCGACGAGCAGAACGAAGCTATCGAGCAAATCCTGCACCCCAAGAAGGACGACGTTTCCACATCGGCATTCACACAGGAAAAGGGGGTCGATAAAAAGAAAACGAAGAAGGACAAGCACGACGGTAAGGACGACGAGGAGAGAAAACGAAGACAGCACGAGGCGGAAAAGATGCAAGTCTCGTACCGGCTCGAATACGCCACCTACACACCTGAGGTGTTGTGGACCGAGTTTGGCTCCACCAGCTCCGACCGACCGGGTCCGGTACCGAAAGCGCTGCTGGAGCAAGAACTGCATCGAGCAGGGCTGCAGAGTCCCTTCATCACATCCGACATCCAAGACGTGGATCAAGAGGTCGGAGCGTCGAAAAAGCGCGGTGTCAAACTGGCAAAACCGCTGAGGAAGTTCACCGACTATTCGCTCGCTTCGGCTACGATCGGCGATATGATGGATCTGGCACGAAGGTTGATGGTCGACAAGAAGTTGTGGAAGCGCTTCAAGAGGAGGATCTATTCGGAGAGCGGATATCTGCCGTGAGGGTATCTTTTGAGATGGGAAGTAGAAATACAAGATCATGTCATTATCTGGACGATGCAAGAGCGGAAGAGAGTGTGTATGCGTGAATATGTCGTGGATGTATGAGAGGTATACTAGTCGATGACGATAGCTTTTCGTTTGCCCTTCCTGTCCTGTACGGGACTGACATGGGTGGTTGTGCAAGCGATGAGATCACGCTTCGCCTGCTGATCTCGTTCATACATGGTCCAAAGGTGAATCGATCTCAACCTCGCGGTTTCGTTCCACAACCTCAGATCAAACTCTCTCCCCAGCGGTTTGACCAACAAGGCTTCCACCACGAACCACCTGTTGACCTCTGTCCACTCCTTACCGTTCCCCAGCTGTACAGCATCCTTCAATTGTACACGACTCCAGTCCGGTTTGCTCTCGGCTAAAAAGCCGGTGTCCACGGGTGTGGAGCGTTTCGTGAGATGTCCGATCACCATGAGGGTGGATTTGAGTTCGGGCGGTACGAGTTGCGCGTTCTTGCTCCAGAGTCTGGCGGTATCGTCCGGATGGTCGGTGCAGAGGGAGAGATCGACGAGTATGGAACCAGCGGAGGAGGTGGAAGCGGGAAAGGGGTCGGACAGGAGGATGAGGGAGGAGTTGGTGGGTGAGACGGCAGTGACGATCCCAGCGAGACGAAGTTTGAGCGTGACGTCGCGGGAGAGGGAGAGGTCGCTGATGGGGAGGATGATGGCCGGATCGGTGCGGACGGACGACATCTGGGCGATTCAAGCCATCGAAGCGATGTGAGAGGTCAGTCGTCACGACGGGGCTGTATGTGAGGCTATGTGGACGCCATTGTGGATCTTGCGATGGAAGGGGGTTGATGGTGTGAGAAGCAAAATGGGGCGACGGCTCGTTTACGCGTTGGAGCTGAGCTGCGCGCGGCGAGAGACCACAGAGGAGAAGTGTTGCTCTTTTCCGCCTTTTCGGATGCAGCCGACGAGAAACCAACACTTAGCGCAGCTTTTTCGCTCTTCCCGGACGCTCATCACCACCACATCTCGACGCAAGGTAGTCTTAGAGCTCGTCATGACGGTGTCGGAACATGCGAAGGACAACGAGCTGCGGCATCGCTCCGTCGCCACCTCCGAAGCATCCGAATTGAACGGCAATGCAGCCAAGGCATCCAGCACAACCTCCACTGCAACCGCAATCATCTCCACCACCGCTCCGGAATGGCTTCTCATCCTCTCCCTCATCTTCGGCGGTTGCTGCTCCAACGCATACACGCTCGAGCTAGCCACTCGTCAACTGCCTTCCGCAGGCACGCTCATCACATTCGCCCAGTTCCTCGTCACCACCTTATCCTCCCTACCGTATTTCCTCCGGTTCTCTTCGTCTCCTCCATTCGTGGGCTTCAAACCACGAGCGGTTCCGTTGTACAGATGGATCGTCCAGGTCGCATTCTACCTCAGCACGAGCCTGCTCAACAATATGGCGTTCGCGTATGACGTGCCTATGCCCGTACACATCGTGTTCCGATCGGGCGGTCTGGTGATCAACATGATCTTGGGATGGTTGGTCCAGAAGAGGATCTATACGAGGTTGCAAGTGGGTAGCGTCGTTCTGGTGACACTCGGAGTGGTCAGCAGTACCTTATACTCGACTAGCACAAAATCCACCTCAACAGTGGGTGAGGCTGCGCCTGACGCTGGACAATACCTGACGGGCGTATTGCTGTTGTTCTCGGCACTCGTGTTGACCGGGTTGATGGGGTTATGGCAGGAGCAGACCTTCAAGCTCTACGGCAATCAGAACTGGAGAGAGTCCATGTTCTACTCCCACCTGCTCTCACTACCGATGTTTGCGCTCAGACCGGAGAGCTTGCTACGAGACATCCAACATGCCAACTCCACCACGCCCTGGTGGTTTGGCTTCGGTCCCCCAACCCGTCTTCCCTCCTCCGCCAACTCCACCACCACCCTCCTCAGCCGCTTCCTCGCCCTCGTCAAACCGCCTACCTTCCCCTCCCGTCGTCCCGACGTCACCCAGGAGAAACTCTTCGACCTCACTCATCTCCCACCCTTCTCCTACATCGCCGCCCACCTCCCATCCAACACCGGCGTCTGGATACCCAGCTTCTACCCACCTCTCCTGCTCAACGTGGCCACCCAACTGCTCTGCATCAACGGCGTGAATCGTCTGACGTCCAAGGTCAGCAGTCTCTCGGTGACGCTCGTGCTGGTGGTGAGGAAGGCAGTCAGCTTGATGGTCAGCGTCATGCTGGTCGAGAGGTCGACGGGCACAGTGGGGTTGTGGTGCGGCGCTGCGGCTGTGTTGGCGGGTACGGTTGGGTATTCCGTTTCCAGACCGGCTCAGTCCAAGTCGAAGGAGACCGAGAAGAAGACGCAATAGAGGCAAACTGTATCGACATGGTTCTTAGATAGATGGAAATGGATGATTGCGTGTGCAAAAGAGTGGTGTGGATGATACGATTACATGTGTGCTGTGTGCTTTAGGATCGACCACGACGAACGAGCAGACCGAACATGACGGCCGTACACGCGCTCAAGGAGAACCACGTCGCCGCATAAACAGCATGCTGGTTCCTCAACTCGATCGTCGCCGCCCTACCCACCGGTACACCTTGAGCCACCCTCGCCGCTGCCTCGCCCACGTTTCCATCAAACACTTCCTCCAGATACACCGGAAGTACGCGTTGCGTTTCTCTCGAACCAAGCATGTTCTTGACGCTCTCTGCGACGCCTGCGCTTGGGGTGTAGCTGTCTTCTGCCTCTTTCATTGCGAGGGAAAGCGCTTCGACGCCGGCCTTGTTGGAAGCCCATTCGGCCATTTGGGACGGATTGACGTGGAACCAGCTTCCCTTTTCCGGAACATTGTTCGGCGTAAACGTATTTGCTGGGTAGATCCTGGGCAGTAAAGCGACGAATTCCTTCTCTCCGCTCTGCATCGCTTCGTCCTTGAGCCTCCTCTTCTCTCCCGTCCCTTCGATTTGCTTCTCGCTCACAAACCCGCGGTTGATCAAGATCATGCCGCCACCTTCGCTCCTACTGAACGGCACGACCACATGGTATCCCATCACACCGTCCCTCACCCTGGGTCCCACGAACATCGTCCGTGAATGATCAAAGGACCCTTTTACCGACACCAGACGGAAATCAAATTGCGGCAGAACATCGACGTTGATGTTGCGCGGGAGACGAAGCGGATCCTTCGAAAGTTTGTCTTCGAGCTCTTCGATCAGGGACACCTTCCATTTGAGTCGTTTGATCTGCCAGTAGCCCAGACCGAACGTGAAGATGGGGATGAAACCGAGCACGAGCGTCGTAGGAGAACGATACCACGGTTTGGAAGATCGGGACGAGGAAGGTTTGCTGTAGTTTTCGGGTGCGTCGGCGTAGTCTGAGGCCCGATCTTGACGGGTTTGGGAAGAGGCCGAGAAGGCGCGAGGTGATGGAAAGGGCTCCAGCCTGGTAGGCACGGTGAGAGGTTGTTGCCGGGACGAAAGTGCGGCACGGCGGAGTGGTTGGGTGACAAGTGAGCGGGACATGGACCGCGATGAACCGGCACCGCTGCCGATCGACTTGCCAACGGCAGAGCCAATCGCTCGTTGTAGCTGATACGTCGAGTTCATGATGGTGGCCACCGCCTGGACGCTGTGGTGTAGGTCTGACGAGACCAAGGTGAGGGTGTCACGATGAAGAGCGTCTTCTTACAGGTTCATCAAATGACCTTTGCAGTCCGAGTGGAGGCTTCCTTCGAAAATTGGCTAAGGCTTTCATCGAAATCGAAGCTGAAATCGGCAGCCGATCGCCTAAGCGCGAGATGCGATCGGCATCGAACGCAGATCGTCGCCGATTGGATTCGCTGTCATGCCGTCGTGGTCTGGCCCAAGGCAACGGTACCACAAACCAGCTCACACCTGTTCCACAAAGCGTAGAGACACAACCGGTCCAACGGAGCGCACATCACCCATCGAGCTTTATGCTGTCTCACACTGTGTCTGCGACCAACTGTATACCCTTTGATCAACACAGAGACAAAAAACGCGCCTGGCATTCCTCGAATCTGCAGCGAAATTCCAGGAGGTGGTGCAAATTGGTGTAAATCTCTGCTGCTTCCCGTGAAGTGCAATGCACGCGACCCAAACTCGACGACAGCTGTCAAACTGTGTGGCACGCGTACCCATTGCCGCGCTGATCTTTCGAGACCCTCTCATGTATCGCCGTTTTGCATTCGACGCCACAATGAGATGCAGCACGACGGACCTCATCCATTGTGACGTCCGATCCATTCCTGGAGGCTCAGCCACACGGAACGGGTTGTGACGTACCACACAAATACTGAGGCTGACTTTGCCTGCTCGGCCATAGCAATTGCCCCTTCCTCCTCGAGATTTGACTGGTGTTGTCAGTCGGTGTGGCGTGTGGCCTGGTACGCGATACGGGTCTCCACAGCTCGTGGCGGGAGGGAACCATACCCTCACTTGGCTCGGCAACGAAGCTCAGAAAGGGGACAACAGAAGTACAGGACCGAGATATTGGTGCGGGGATGAGCATGGCCTGGTTTGTCACGTCAAGACCCAAGCCGCTGGTAAGCGCTCTAGATCGAGGTGAATGAAGGATGCCTTGTTGTCCTTGTCCGTCCTCAGCTGAAACCCTCCTTCTTTCACCACCATCACCTTCTTCCCTCTCTACACCTCTTCCCCTTTCCCCCTTCACCTCTTCCACCTCCTTCCTCCTCTCGAGGGCATCACGTCAACTCCATCACGCTCTTTTCAGTCTCGTTACATCTTCGTCGCTATGAGGCTTACCACTTCCTTCGCCGCGCTTTACAGCGTCGTGGTCATCGCGCTTTGCCTTGGTCAGGCGCACGCTGACTCTGTCACCACACCCCTGGCCCTGACCCACGTCGACGACAAGGGTAAGCCTGTCACCCCTCTCACCTACCTCAACCTCGAGCCGTCTGCCAAAGAGCTCGCAGACGCCGCCAAGAAGATCACGACGCCTCCGCCCCTGCCAGCTGAACACAAGCGTCTGCTGCCGTCCGATCAGTTGCAGCCTTTCGTCGGACAGATCTCCAGCCAGGGTCTCGCGATCAAGAGGGAGCTCGGTCACAGTCTCGTTCCTTCGCTTCCCATCTTGGGCGCTCTCGACAACGAGGGCGACCACACCAACCAGGCTCCGCCCGCCAAAGCCGCCGGAGAGAAGCGTCTCCTCGACGCTCTCAAGGCTCTCCAGCCCGGCGAGGGAACCGAATACCTGCCCGAGAACCACCAGACGCTCGGTCAGCGTACCGTGCACCCGCTGAACCGACGTGCGGAAGAAGACCCGCTCGACGTCAACATCTTCGGCCAAAACCTTCACAACCTTGCGCTTCCCAAGCTTTCTCCCAGCAAGCGAAGCAAGAGCATCGGTCTCAACGTCCTGGGCGAAGATGTGCCTCTCGACAGGCTTTCCTTGCCGGGTTTGGGCAGCCGTGATGTACAGCCCCTCGATCTTGGTCTCAAGACGGGAAACCAGCAGGATCTCGACTCTGCCGAAGGGCTTTTCAAGGGTGTCCTTCCCTTCAAGCGACACGATGCTTCTGCTCAACCTCTCGATCTCGGTCTGAAGACTGGGAACAAGGAGGATCTTCAACGAGCGGACAGCTTCCTCACTGGGCTGCTCGGAGGTTCTGCCGCCAAACGCGACTCGATCTCGCCCGACGGAATCGACCTGGGCAGCTTTAAAAGTCTGGGTGACAAGTTCGCCAAACAAGCTCAAAAGGACGCGCTTCCACTCCTCTTCGCGCCCGTCAAGCAGGCTGCTAGCCCGGCCGTCCAAGGCATATCCACCGTCAACCAGGTCTGCACCGCATTCGATTGCGCAGGTCTCGTCAAAGGCACCCTTGAGAGCACCACCAAGGAACTCGGTCTTCCTGCCTTCAAACCTATCCAACTTCCCTCCCGCCGACGCGCTTTGGGCGACAAGGACCTCTTCGCCAACGGACTGTTGAACAACGGAGGTGAGGTTGAGGGAATCCCCATCAAACGCGCTATTCCCGGTGAAGACGTTGCGACCAAGAAGGTTCTCGGCCTAAGCGATGAAGCTCAAGATGCAGTGCTGGGTGTCAAGGATGCGGTGAACGATGTAGCGTTGGGTGAAAAGGACAAGGTGAACAATGTAGCTGGAGAGTTTGTCAAGCACCTGTACTCAAAACAGGCAAAGGTGGAGACGAAGAGGGACCTGACACTGCCTCCGTTCAGCTTGCTGCCCGGAACAGGACCGCAGGCCAAGGAGGCGGTCAAGGAGACGATCGACTTTTTGGGTCTGCCAATCCCTGGTGTGAAGAGGATGCACAGGGTTCGTCGTAAGCAACAGTAGGAGCTCGAATGCTACCGCACACCCTTCGTCGATCCTGCCACCGTTTGCACGGCTAGTCCCGGCTAGGATAGCCCTTCGTTTCGAGACTCTGCCGCCCTTATGCAAAAATGGCGCGCATGAGACTTTTCCTCGTTGTCTGTAGATACTTTTTGTTCTCATCGTCTTGCTCGACTAGCGTCTCACCCCGTGATCAACGCTGAGATCCGATAATCACACTCTTTTGTTCTCACGCTTTCTTAGTCGTCTGCTTGTCGACCAAAGGCTTGCTTCCGAACCTTCCAAAGACGTTGACGGCTCGCAGAGCATGAGATTCTTGGCTGAGCATCAAAGGCCGATGCAGTGAGGCTGAACCAAGATGTGGCTTGGATTATTGGGAAATCATGCAGCAGTGCCGCGCCAAGCATTGGCAGATGGCTTCGGCGAATGATGCGTCGGGCGCGTATGTGTTGAGAGCGTGGAGCGGATGTTGCGGCAAACGATGCAAAGCACAACTACTTCTGCACGCAAGCAAAGCGAAGCGATCCGTACTCGACAGGCTTGGACCGAAGATCGATCGGAACCGCGGGGCGGAGGTGACCAATCAGACCCTGGCCGCTGCTAGCCGGGCCAAGAGGCGTCCGGCAAGAGGCGGACGATATTATGCGGGCGTGACCACTGCCGGCACCCCTCTCGGGTAAACCTGGCAGCCGTGGTCCCTTCAATCGTCGTCGGACGAAACGATGTCGATTGGACGAGCGGACGAAAGCGGAGCAATCGATTGTACGACATGCTTGAAAGCAAACTGCCATGGTCTTTGCGGCTTGGAGGGAAAAAAAAGATCAAACTCAGCTTCTTGCCAAGCAGGTCGCGACCAAGTGCAGATTTTTGAGTTTTGCAACCGAACCTGGTTCTGGACTCAAATACGAAAATGCAGGTAAAAGTCAACGGCTGCGCTTGGTGCATCCGAACCTTGAATTCGGTGGTTCGAGCACGCTGCGCGATACACCGGACTGCAGTTCATCGAATTGGTTCCAAACCAGCCACCGGACGCCACCATCTCAAAATGAACCTGCCCACTTCTGAAGGGTGACGGCAAGGTCGAGTAAGGAACTGAGCACCGAGACAACTGCAGCGTTTTCAAAGCCAAAGGACAGCTTCTTCTGCGAAATCGAACCACCCGAATGTCGTGTAGTACCCCTCTCTGCATGGTACACAAGGCTTGAATGTCTTTGCTTCTTTTTTTTTCGTCCGACCGGCAGACGCGCTTTTTGACGGTACACCGACCGTGCAGACACCGACGTCCGGGCTCGCCACCGGTGTTTGCATGATTGTACCACTAGATAGTTTGAACGCGGTGCGAGCAACTTCCTGTGACTTTCAAATGCTTCTCTGGCTGTTGCTTTGCTTGAGTCTCGCAATCGTCTGGATGTCCATGACGTCGCCTGGTCTGCTTCCCACCTCTCTCTCTCGGATCGTTGAAGTGAGTCGGTTGCCCTAGAGTGGGCGGCTAGCGTTGTCGTTCGTTGCTGTGCTTTTTCCTTTTCTTCATTTTGAACCTTTTTTTCATTTCTTCGCAAAAGAGTGTGGCTGTTGCTGAGCATTTTGCCACAGAGACACAAACACACCCACAGCCACGTTCATTACTTCATTGAACCCGTCGCAAAGTCACACTTGGCCGACGGGCCCCGGGTCTACGACACAAGGCGACGATCGCGTCTCCGTGCCTAACCTCTTTCCTCTCTCCGTCCCCCTTCCATCATTCTATTCCTCTCCGGAGAAGAGCCGAGTGGCGGCAACGCTTGAAGCTTCTAGCAACAGCCTGTCGGAGAAATTGTATCTCCTCCTCGCTCTTCAACCTCTCCTTTTACCTTGCCTCTCAGCGGCTTCCACCTCACCCTCCTATTCTCATTATCTCTTCTGCTTGACGTACGCCTCTTCAGGCTTATTCCTTCGCCTCAACCAGATAACACTTCTGTCTGATTCTTTCTCGATCTCCGACATTCACTCTTCGACACGACCTCACGCAGCTCAACGCAGCAAAGGGCCTCACTACCTACACCTGCCAGGCGGTCAACATCAGCAAACCATTCTTTGCCACGACGTGTTGTCGCTTTGACTCTTCGGCTCAACACTCTGTCAGCCTGATCCATACCATCGACTCGGTAGCTTCGCTCTACCTCTATTCCCATTTCCTCTACTCGCCAAGTCAGCATCTCTCATTGGCCTGACCCGAGTCATCTGAACCTGCCCTGTGGTTCAATAGCCCTTTTTCGGACGATATTTCTCGGCAGCTACACCCTTTCGCACATCTAGTCGCACCTTCTACCAAGAGGTTTCAGCAATTTTCAAAGGTAAGTCTCACAAGCTCGATACTCGGAACGTTGCTAGCAGTATCGCAGTGATGGTTGTGATCTTGGTGCATGATCGTCGACTGGGATCCCCGCGCCGTGAGCTCGTATGCTGCAAGCTAGTATGGCACAGGATTCATCCAGCGGAAGATGCTTGGCTATCATTCTCAGGCCGCAGAGTTACGATCAGCATCGATATGGAAAATCTGATCGGAATCGGCATCTCGATTTTGCGAGTCGCTGCCGATCTGTGATCGTTACTTTTTTTGGCATGCTTTCGGCGCGCTCGTTCGGCTGGGCCGACAACAGGTTATGCAACTTCGGACCGTCGGCCTCTGCGCAATGCTGTCATAGCCAATCTCGTCTCGGATGTTGCTGCAATTGCGGCACTCTCTTGCCGATGGGATTGCCCGCACAAGGTCTCGGCTGGTCTACATGGCTGGTCTACATGGCCGGTCCAGACTCCGTCGACGCCTCTTCATGCAGGCGCGCTCTCTTCTGTTTCGAGCTCTCCTGCCACGGCAGCTGCTCTGAAGCATGTTCTGCATAAACATTAGTACGGCGCTGGCCGTCGGCGACCATGTCAAGCATCCGAACGCGCAGCAGCAGTGCACGGTACCACCATGTGTCGATCATATGGTTATCTCGCAAACAGTCCATTTTGGCGATGAATTGCAATGAGCCATCGCTATGGGTTGATCAGGCCACCGACTAAGACTGCCCGCGCTTTCGCTGCTCGTTGTGCGATTCAGTGCACCGCATTGTCGTACGCAGCGGTATGGTACTGTATCGCACTCGTCTGTATCGTCTTCGGCGGTCGGATCCGGATCGGCTCGACGCTACTACAGCATGATGCGATTCGGATCTTCTTGTCCTGCTTCCTGCTGCTCAGGTCAAATTTAGCCGAACAGTGTCTCAGATTCTGCTTGAAATCTCGGCTTGGGCTGCTCGACCTCCACTCGCATTGACGTTCTCCCGTTACTATTCTTGTTCCTCCCAATCTCGTCCGTCCTTTCCGCTCGTCCCTCTTCCAAACGGTTCTAGAAGCTGACTGGCTACTCCTTCTTCCTTCCTCTCTCTCGCTCCAGGGCCTCGCTCGACACTCTGGTCGGATCCATACCCTTCAGCTCGCATCGGAACATCATCCCTTCCGTCGCTACCACCTTCCCCTGCGGTCTGTTCAGCGGAGCAAATCCAGCTGTTGCTGCCACCTCTGCTGCCAAGCGTCTTCTATGCGCATCGCTCTCGCACCCTCAAGTTTTGCAACTCGGTAATTCAAGTCGTCCAGGCTGCCGTTTTGTGTACACCTCTCCCACCATTTATACAAACCATCGATTCGCTTCATCAGCGACCTCCCAAACATCGAACTAGATTTGACATCAGCTGGCTACGCTCGCCGCCATGTCTCCCAATCCAGCAAACTCACAGCGCCCACCGCGCGCCGATTCGGCTCGCAAGTCGACCTTAGCTGACACCGATCGACGCGCCCACACCGCAACGTCGACTGCCCCTCCACGCAATATGGCAAACCCCTCTTCAAGATACACCGCTGGCTACCATAATGTGCCGCCTAATGTCAACGCACACTTGCCGTATCATGCAGCGCACCAGCCCGCCGCAGCCTTCTCGCCCTATGCGAACCCAGCGCCCAACGATGGTTACAACTACGTGCGTCCGCCTTATCACCCAAGCGACTCTGTCCCCTATTCACGCGGACCTCCGAGCCGCAGTCAGTCGCAGAGCTCCGCCTCCGGAAGCAGCGCTCTTCCGCACGACGCCGTCGCAGCTTCACACTATGCGCCTCACTACCCTCCGTCGTTTCCTGCTGTAGGTTCTCACCCTGCGGCTGGCCACTCGGCACGCACGAGGTGGGCGTGGGTCCCCATCGAGGTTCCACAAGCTCATCTTCCAGAGGACGCGCATATGCAGTATCCACCCTACCACGGATCTTTCTACTCGTCTGCAGCCCCCGCAGCCACGCACAGCTCCGCCTCATCGCACCAATCCTACCAACAACCCTACGCCGAACCGTCGCTCCAGGCCACGCCAAGCTACGGCGTACAGCACTCTCATTCCAACTATACTTCCTCGTACCCCTATCACTTGCACGCCGCGCCTCAGTACGCCGCGCCACAAGCTCATCAGAGTCACACCCATAGCGCATACACTCATGGTTCGCGCTCGGGGCCCCATCAGCCGCCGTCACGCTCGTCGCGAGACTCTACTCCAGGAGGTGCCAATCGTCGGCAGTCGAATCAATCGGCCCGTTCCAACAGCGCTCAGCGTAGCTCCAATTCTTCCGGCAACACTGCGTCGCCGCTCCCAGGTTCCACTGGCTTGCCGCATCGTCCCGCTTCCTCCACCCTCGATCTACCTGCCGACGTGCGAGACGCCAGGGCTCGTAACTCGAATCGTTCCGACTCGAGCGTGGCCGAGACTCTATCCGGCAGCGCAGTCGCTGGTGTACCCGGTCTTCCATCCGAGGCTGACCTTGAATCGGAGCTGGATGTTTCGTCCAATTCCAAGGCAGCTGAGCGTGTCCCGGGCAGTGGCTTGCGCCCTCACTACCACCCTCAGCAAGGTCCAAGATCCGAATGGGTGCTCTGGTGCGGCAACGTGCCCCAAGATGCCACCGTCGAAGAACTGTGGGAGGTTTTCTCTCGTCTCTCCTCGGACGAGTATCGCCGATGGCTCTCAACTCCCGAAGCGCAAGAGCACGCCGGCGAAGCATCCGACACGGCCGACGCCAACGATGACCAGGATGTCGACGACCATGGTGTCATCTCCATCTTTATCATTTCGCGCAGCAACTGCGCCTTCATCAATTACACCAGCCAAGCCCACCTTGATCGAGCTGTCAAGTACTTTCACGGCAAGCAGGTGCGGCCTCACGATCCAAAGTGTCCCAAGTTGGTATGTCGCGTGCGCAAGAAGGACGACGAGGCCCAGGCAGGTGTTGCCGGCCAGCGCGGACGTGGCATTCACGTTGCCTGGCTCAAACAGCAGCGAGAGCTTGACCGAGCGTCGACGGAACCCGCCGCAGGCGCGACATCTCCAGAAGAGACATCCTTGCGGTCTTCCAACGAGCCCATTTCTCCATCTTCTTCTAAGGACGTGCCTCCACCGCTGGTAGGCGGACTTGCTTCGGCAGCATCCTACAGTTCGAGCGGATCCGCCTCATACGCCTCGACCAACTCTTCCCTCTTCCGCCATCCCGCCTTCCGTCATCGCTTCTTCATCCTCAAGAGTCTTCGCACTGACGATCTGGATAGATCCATAGAGACTGGCTACTGGGCCACGCAGCCTCATAACGAGAGCGTGCTGGATCAAGCCTACCGCAACAGTGAAACTGTCTACCTAATCTTCGGCGTCAATTCGACCGGCCAATTCCATGGCTATGCCAAGATGGCCGGACCCATCTTAACCTCCACCAACGAGGGCAAAGGCAATCGCCGAGCCAGCCTCTCTTCACATTTGTCAGCCGCGTCTGGCAATCAAGCTCCGGCGATGATACCCGAATCCGTCGACGAAAACACCATCGAGGACGGTTCACCCGAGTTTCGGACTGTCGCTTCCCCCGATCTTGGAATGCGGCAACAGCATCCCGTTCTCGACAAGGGCGACATTGAGGCTGCCAAGGGCCTCTTCAGCACGCTGACGGTGGACGGCGATGCACCTCATTCTCTTGCCATGACGTCGCCTCTGCCCATCTCGCCGTCCGTCGAAGATGCAGAGTCTTTCAAGGGCATGCTGACACTAGAACGAAAAGACACCGTGACTCCCCAGACCGCTGGTGCCTTCGCCCAATCGAGCACGTGGCCCTATACGTCGCTCAAGAGAGACGGCGGTGCAGGCAACGGTGCTGACCTCGAAGCAGCTGAGCGACCCAAGCTCGCCACCGCGCTTTCGGCCGACAACTCGGTCGCGCGCGTCACTGCTGAGCCAGACGAGTATGGCGTCCGCCGCATGGATATGGAGGCAGATCAGACGCACGCGAACGTGAGTCGGAGCGATCAGCCCTCGTTGGGGCCGTACGACTCGGCATCGTACTCGTCGGCCGATCCTCGCGTAGCCGAGCAGATTGCGCTGCGAGCCGTGATTCACAATCTGCGTCTAGACGAGATGGAGTCGCGCGGACAGGCCGAGATCCTTGAGAATAAGCTCCGATCCGCTTCCACTCACACCGATGCCACCGACGCTACCGATGCCACGGACGCCACCGTCACTGGAGGCGATCAGTCGCCTGCGCACATTCTGGACGAAGGGGCCATGTCACGGTCCCCACCTCGCCAGTCGTCGTCCGACTCGTGGGGCAAGCCATTCCGTGTCGAATGGATTCGCACCGACCCGCTTCCCTTCCAACGAGTCAAGAAGCTGCGCAACCCGTGGCGTGACAATCGGCAGGTCAAGGTGTCGCGCGATGGCACCGAGCTGGAACCGGCCGTGGGACATCAGCTGCTGGAGGAATGGAATCGTCTGCATTCGGTCGCTCCTGTCGATGGCACCAAGGCGAGCAGCAAGAACGTCGAGCTCAAGTCGCCTTCGGCACGCTCGCGCAGCGACGAAGATGAGTAGGCCTCGTGCGGTTGGCGTTCAGCTCGACTCTGAGTCGCTTTGCTCGAAAAGTGCTGTTCGGTCCACGGCCTGCCAATGGATCCGAAAGACTGGATCGGTTGCGTATCGGCCGCGCACTATCTCTGAAAAAACTTACGTATTGGTAATGCGCAACAACTTTCGTACACACCGTGTCGGTCAACATACTCGTATACCGACGGTCTCCCCTTTGCCGCGCTCAAGGCGACGAAGAGATGATACTCCTTCCCCTATATTTCCTTCATCCTCTTTTTTGCTGTCATACTCGCACTGCATCGTACCCATCCCAAAACGTCTCTTCTCTTTCTCTCTCTCAAAATTGTACTCTTATACTCGGTTTCTGGAGCACCTTTCTCACACACGCATTCTTCACACGCAACAAGCAGCACGCACACGTCACGACAATTTTTGGGCTATCCTCTCTGTCTCTCTTCTCTTCGAGTCGGCCTCCTCCTCCCTGTCATCTCTTCTTCCTCATTAGCCTTCTGGCTCTCGGGCGTTGTAATGGCCTAGATTGCAATCTATCATATACTCGTTGAAGATCAGCTACGATATCTTTGCCGAATTGCACTGTGCGGGCGTGAGTTTGGCTAATTGGCTTGACAGAGGCAGTACGTGAGCATAATCTGGGTGAGCAGACTATCTGTTGGGGCCCTGCAAGCAATTGACTTATATTTGCTTGAGGTGCCAAGATGTACACAACGAGGGAATATGGTCTAGTGGTATGACGTCGCTTCCGCATACCTAGAGCCCTTATAAGTTCGCGGGTCCGTAAAGCGAAGGTCCGGGGTTCGATCCCCTGTGTTTCCATTCCTACGTCAAACTTTTTGGTTTCTTTTTTCCTTTTCCATCCCTGCTACTACTCCATTTTTGTATCGTATTAGGTGTCGGCCATTCTTTTTGCCATTCGTTATACATTGCCTCGATATCAGCGCCATTTGGTGAGAATTCGGTCGAGGCGGCTAAGCCCTTTCTGGACAGCGGCAGCTTGTCATTCGGTCTGGAATGTGGCAGAGTGCTTTGTGTGAGCAGCAGGTCGTTCGAGCCAAGACGAGGCATCAGGCATTTCATATTACGTAGCAGGGCAGGGTTGCATCGGGTGATGAAGATCCCGATTACGGCTCGATTTTCAGAGCTGAGGCCACGGCGATAGCCGAAAGCCAAAACTCAAATTTGGGATTTTTGGAACGGTGAAACGGCTTCCTTCCTTCCTGCCTTCCTACCTGCACCTGATCAAACCACGTACACACACCTGTCAGCCACGCTCGCCACCGTTCCCTGTCGACGAGCGAGACAATCTTCGGTGACATCACCATACTCTTTCCTATCTTGCGCTCAGCGAGAGCCGCCGCTTCGTGGCCTCTAGCTTGCCTTGTTGTGCCTAGCGGCGCGACTCCGACTCCCTCATTTCGACAGCTGCGCATTCATCGTTCATCACCACATCGTCTCTTTAGCAACTGCATCGCAACCATGCCCGAAGCGGTACCCACTACCACTCAGGTCTCGACCGAAGTCGGACCTGTGATCATCCCCGATCTGGACTCGTTCCCACCGACAGGCACGCCCAAGCACGCTAAACTGTCCTCGTGGGATTTCTACCGATCCATCGGCTCACCGCAACGCATCGTAGCACCCATGGTGGATCAGTCCGAACTAGCCTGGCGGATCCTCTCTCGCAGGTATGGTTCCGACCTCGTCTACACACCCATGATCAACGCCAAGCTGTTTGCGGACGAATCGAGCAAGAAGAAGAAAGTCAAATACCAAGAGGTCAACTTCAACCGCGAATTCGCCGAAGAAGGTGCTGCCTCCCTCAGCCTTTCCGATTCTGACGGAGCGGATACGGATCGACCGCTGTTCGTCCAGTTCTGTGCGAACGATCCGGCGACGTTGCTCAGAGCAGCCCAGGTGGTGGAGGATCGATGCGATGCAGTGGATCTGAACCTAGGCTGTCCGCAGCATATCGCGAGGAGAGGTCACTACGGAAGCTTCCTCATGGAGGATTGGGAGCTGATCTTCAGGTTGATCAACATTCTACATTTGGAACTCAAAGTGCCGGTGACGGCGAAGATGAGGGTGTACGAGTCGATGGAAAAGACGATAGCGTATGCCAAGGTGTTGGAACGAGCGGGGGCGCAGATGATCACGGTTCATGGGAGGACGAGAGTCATGAAGGGTCATCACACGGGGTTGGCGGATTGGGAGAAGATCGAGCGGGTGAAGAGGGAGGTGAAGGTTCCGGTGATTGCGAACGGCAACGTGTTGTATCCTCAGGATTGGAGGGAGGCGTTGGAGCGGACTGGTGCGGATGGCGTGATGAGCGCCGAAGGTAACCTGTACAACCCCGCGATATTCTTCGAAGCGGAGGGCAGCGAAACGATGTTCCCGAGCAACAAGGGTTTTCCGAGCATCACGGAGATGGCCAGAGAATACCTGGATATCGTCGGCAAGCTCAAGACCCCGACGCAGAGCAGTGCGATCAAAGCGCATCTTTTCAGGCTATGTCGTCCCGCCCTGGAGGTGCATCGTGATCTTCGCGAGGTGTTGGGCAAAAGCCGATTCGACAGCAGCGCTACTGGTGCGGAGCGGGTCAAGAGTTACGGAGAGTTTGTCGAGGAACTGGGGAGGAGGTTGGAGGCGGATATGAAGGATCCAAAGTGGGAAGCGAAGCCGGAACCGGCGCTTCCGGGTTCCGTGTCGTACCTGACGGAGGCGGGAGTGGGGGGTAGGCCGGTGTGGGTGCCGCACTGGTTGGCACAGCCGTACTTTAGGCCGCCCCTGGTGACCGATGAAGAGAAGGGGGCGGGGGAGAAGGAGGATAGGAAGAGGAGGGTGCTCGAGTCCACCACGGCGAAGGTGGGGGAGGTGGAGGGAACGGTCAAGGATGAGGGAAAGACGAACGGCGGCGCGAGGGTAAGGTCGGATAGCGCGGAGAGGGAGGTGCAGGAGGCCAGGAGGGTGGACGAGAAAAGGGTCAGGGTGCAGTGATGCGAAACGGCTCGGCTTCCATGGCAGTTGCGTGGTGACTCGCATGGTCAGAGAATCTCTTTCTCACTCGTTTCAAGTGTGTGGCGGCGGTGCGCGTGTGCCTATTCTGAGTCGGGTGGACACTTCGGCAGGTGATCTGACGGAGAGATGTCTATGAAAGTAGATTAAGAGAAA